GAGTTAAGGTACTATGCCACAGAGACACGCAAGTTTATATGTTCATGCTGTGTTAAGGTACTATGCTATATGTTTATGCTGGGTTAAGGTTACTATGCCTCAGGGACACACCAATTTACATGTTAATGCTGAGTTAAGGTACTAAGCCTTAGAGACGCAACAATTTATATATTTAAGCTGATTTGAGGCTCCTAAGTTTTTTTGTACTCAAATGAAAGAAGGGACTTTTTAATTTCTTTTTTAATATTGAGAACCAAGCCATAAGCAAAAGAAAATATATATATTATTATTTTTAAAAAAAATAAATTAAAAAGAAAAAGCAAGGGTGCTGATAGAAGAGATTATTAGGGGTCTGGTTTACAATTTGGAAACATCTATCGAAAATACTGTTTATTCCAAATAAAAATTCATACCAATTCTTTTTCATCAATTTCTTGTCATGTCTACAAAGCTCCCAATTGATTCCCTCCTAAGATCAGACGTCATTTTGATAGCGTAGTCGAGATCTTTGTAGCTTAAGGGGGATAAATATGTTTTAAAGCAAGTCCATTATTCATTCATAGTCTACATAAATTTGATTTGTAAGAACTTAAAAAGCATTGATCTATGAAATAAATATGGGCTCGTAAACATACCTATAACAAGACACGGTACCCAGTGTAAACATAAACATATAAGCTACCCTTTGTAAACACACCACCCTTTGTAACCACACCGCCAACAAGCTACCCTTTGTAAGCACACCACCAACAAACCACCCTTTGTAAGCACACCACCAACAAGCTACCCATTGTCAACACATCATCAGCAGCCACTGTAAACTAAACGTGCATTAGTTAAAATTTAAGTTAAATAAAAGTTACACTCTATTAACTTATATCATATGCAAGGTAATTAACAAAGACTGAATATGGCACCTTTCTGCAATTTAAAAGGAAAAAAAAATTAAATTCATCTTCATTATTTTTTTCACATGTTCCCATACGAATACAAAGGGTGGCGTGATAAGGTCCCACACCAACCCCGAATTCGCCTTTGTTTATCCACACGTACACACGACACATACATCTAATTGATAGTCTATCTTGACCAGCTAAAACCTTATGAAATCTTCTTACCATATAATGATATCACTGCAGCTGTCTGAAACACGCCACACTCACAGGTTCCAATGCCATCCTTACTGTGCTAATATATACACATGAGAAGCCTCCGGCAATAATGAGCACTAAGACACCTGTGGGTTGCTATTTACAATTCGCACAATCAGATAAGAAACTAAACTTAACCAGCAAACCGGCCCCAGTGTTTAATCTTCCGCAGGCATTTACTGAACTGATGGTAGCTTTTAATAAGGATACAAAACTTTGAATTGAAAGGATTGTGTCCCTTGAAAACACTCCACCTGAAAACAAGTCAACTTGAGTTATCCCAACCCTTTTTAGGCATACGGGAACCAGAGAAATTATAATAAGATTTAGGAATTAACACTATTATTTGTATACTAAATATATATATATATGTATATATATATATATATATATATATATATATATATAGTGACTATTTAAAGCTATTTAATATGAACACAGATAAACAAATAAAAAATGAAACAAATATTAAAACGTTGAATAGAAAGGATTGTGTCCCATGAAAACACTCCACCTGAAAACAAGTCAACTTGAGTTATCCCACCCCTTTTTAGGCATACGGGAACCAGAGAAATTACAATAAGATTTAGGAATTAACACTATTATTTATATACTAAATATATATATATATATATATATATATATATATATATATATATATATATATAGTGACCATTTAAAGCTATTTAACCTGAACACAGTTAAACAATTAAAAAATGGAACAAATATGAATTATAAATGCATATTTTAAGAGAAAACAATTTATTCTCTGTATAATACTGATTTTGTTAATTCTACAGCTGCTTATTTGCATCCATATTTTATTCCCATTATACCATTATTATCGTTTTTCCTCGGAGACTAATCGCTGCTTTGACATTCACTCACATTCATATTTGTTATTCTACTGTCCACCATATAACGGTATATGCAGTGTATCCATTTATCCTCCAACAAAGACTCTATACTATGGAGGAGTAGGTTAGCTAGGGTTTTTCCCACCACCTTTTTAAGAGAAAAAGAACTCTGCAGTTGGCCGAAAATGCTGACCTTAATATAAAGGAGAAAGTGCCGCCATTGGGAGAACCGCCCTCTCCACACCACCTTACCACGCCATAAAGTTAAAATAAATGTATGTAAATATCGTGTATTATTTTGGAGGCTCGATCAAGGCGAATCCTTTCCCTCAAAGTAAGGACCGAAAAGTATTAAAATTTATTTGTTCACAAATCTAAAAGCCTGCTCCCCCGGCTTTAGAAAAGCAAAAAAACACACACACTAAATAATCACTCTTAAAGTTAGAAAAAAGAATATGTACGTAAGTGACAATAATTTGCTGTAATTTTATTACATAAAACTACTAATTATCATTATAATTTTATTTCAATACTTAATTGAATTTTGAACACACTTTTATTTTTAATACATAATGTTGCTCGTTTCTGTGCATTCTTTATTTCTTTATAACCACTTCTCTTTAGTCAGTATGAACAGCATCATTGTCTAGCTCTAAACGCAATTTATAAAATCTAATAAGTCATCATATATTTCTGGCTCTAATTTTGTATTTATGATATAATAATTTAAAGTAGTAAAGTTTAGCAACATTTCAACGAAAGTAAGCATACAAGTGACGGTTAATTTTATTTAATTTAAAGTTTGAACTAATTGGGAAAAAAATCTGGATTTAATTTTACTAGAAAGTTCTTGGAATTACCTCCCCTGAAATGAGGTTGACTTCCATAGATCTGTAGGTAGAGATCAAATCTTTATACCGTTAGTCAAATTTGTTGTTGCCCTCTAATAGGAGGTTCATTGTTCACAGTTAAAACAGTTTTGGTTATCTTCCTTTTAAGCGTGTTAGCTAATTTCTTATTTCAGCATTTTTATAATGTACAAAAGATACATTGGCCTTTGTCTTATTACTTTTATTTTTATTAACTTGGTCTAAGTTTTAAGTTTTAGTTAACTTAGACTTAGTCACTAGTACATCATAATCATAGTACGTTGTACATCATAATCATAGTACGTTGTACATCATAGTACATGTATTGAATTGGCCTTCTTATTCTTACTTCTTATTCTTAGTCTTATTGCTTAAAATTAGTAGTAGTTCAGCTGCTTAGTCTTAAGTCAAAGTAGTCAAAGTCTAGACCTAGGTAAAATAGGTTAGAACAGTGAGGTAAGGTAAGGTAGATGTGTAGATGTAATTGAGTTAGTAATTGAAACTGTACTGTAAGCCTAATTTTCTTGGGCATGGGGGTGTGGAATTAACTTTTTTTTTTAAACAAACAATGTCAATGAGATTGGGTTAGCCCTCTATCTTACTTATCATGATCATAGTTCATATTCATAGAGCGAATAGAGGCAAAGTAAAGTAATCAAATAGAGGCGTAGTATTCAAGTCATACTATCAAGCATAGGCGCTCGCAGGTAGGGACAAGGTGGGGCACTTGCCCCCCCCCCCCTGGATTGATTGGATAAAAAATTTTTAGATAAAAATAGAAAAAAAATGTATTAAAGTAAAGAGAAAATAAAGAGAAAGTAACTAAGCTGATGTCCTGTCTGTTCGTTCACCATACAAATACGCTACAGTAAATTAAAACTACTATATTAAAACATTACTAAAAAATTTATGCCCCCTCCTGGAAAGTTAATCGATTTTTTTTGCCCCCCCCCCCCCAGAAAGTTTTCTGCAGGCGCCCATGCTATCAAGTCATACTATCAAGTCATACTATCATAGTCATACTAAGTTACTAAGACCTGCTACTAGTAGTAGTAGTACTACTACTACTATTAATAATTAATAGGCATATGGCATATTAATATATTCATATAAAGTCAAGTAGGTAGGCAGGTAATAAATTATGATAATTTAGGCTTAGGCTAAAGAAAAAGTCATGATTCAAGTTATTAACAGTAATATAGATATAACATATAGACGATATAGTCTATTAAATAAAAGTAGTTAAACTATTAAAGCCATAAACTATTAAAAGCCATACATTGCCATGCATCTATACTGACCATAGGATAGTCATACTTCTTAAACTTTGCATTCTTTTAGTCTTTGTATTTTTGTAGACATAACCTTCATAAACTTCAAGAATGTCTCCGAATCTGACTTAACTGAAATCATAATGCTCAGTTTAGTGGCACCTAGTCTCGAGGCTCCACCCTTTACTCTTCTTTAGACTTCACATTTTTCAGTAAACTATAGATTAGACCAGTTCAGCAGACCCTACATGTCTGGTAAAATGTAATTAATAAAGTCAATATAGGCCCTAACAATGTGTGTAATTTTTAAGGTTTAAAAAAATAATTTCAGTAGAGAAGTAAAAATTTACCAACAGTGCCAGCAGATTTCACTGCACTGCTCAGTCTCATATTAGACTGTAGAGCAGATAATTCAGTAGCTCTCATCAATGAATTTAAATAATTATTAAAACTAGAATTTAAGAAAGTTAAGGAGGCATTTTTTACTCCATTGCCAGCTTATTAGGTATAAGCTAACAAATATAGTACTCTGTCTTAAACTTTAGGCACTTTAAGCAGAAACATGTACCTGAATGCAAGTGCTAAAAGCAGTTTTAAAAATTAAAATAATTGACCAGTTATTCACTAATTAATTTTTAAAAATGTTGCATAAAAATGTCTGAAAGCATAATTTACATGAGGTAAAGTTAAATAAAATGTTAATTAGGTCTACAAGTATACATAAAAGGTTTATCCAGGTTTAACCATATCAGTGTAAACATTTTTAATTTATCAACATTTGTTACATTGTAATTTAAAATAATTCTCTTATTAAGTTAAGACCTTCATGTGAACTTAAACGGTTTTTCTGTAAATGATTTTGACTGATCATTTTTATTTTTGTCTATTACATATTCTCACTTTGTCTATTACCTATTCTCGCAGGAAAGTCAATATTTGTTAAAATAATGGCTGAACATCCAGTTAATGATTTGTCAACCATTGCTAGTGAAACAGATGATAGATTACACAGTCATGTATCTGTTGCTGGAGAATCAGAGGAGAGCATGGTGAATAATACAGTAGAAAATGGTTTTCGTGACAATTTATTAGACCTCAATCCTTCTGAAACCACAGAACCGATTTCTATTTTTAAATCTGACACAGTGACTGACACAAACCCTGTGAGTGAACAAGATTCCAATGACGATAGTAGCAGTGACAGTATGCCTGATTTACTATGGCCTGAAAAAAAAAGCAATTTAAAAAAGTCAAATGGGGCTACATCAACAACGACCTTGTCATCTTCAACATCACAAGACACAGGCTTTGTCTCAGATAACATTGTAGACACACCAAGTCCAGATGAAGCCAGTAAAAGTATGGATGATTCACTCGGTAAAAATAGTTCAGAAACGTCGGTGAACAAATCAAAAGAGCAAGCAGAATTTGACACCCCAGAGGAAGATGGTGTAATGGATATTTTGGGAAATGGTTTATTGAAGAAAAAGGTATGTTTTGTAATAAATAACCACACATTTTTTTTAAGAGTTTTTTTTTTTTTAAATAAATTTTCTTTTTGTATTTGTATGCTTAAATTTATTTTGTTGGATTTTTAGTAATTTGGGCAGTTTTGGGCATGCCAATTGAAATGTATTTTGAAAGCTATTCAAAAGTGCCTAGTTTAAAAATTTTGCCTTTGTCAGAATAGACTTTTTAAAAAGATCTGTTAAAGTGTGTTCAAATTGAATATGTAAACTTCTCTTTCACCATGTTGTGCCCACTTTGTCATTTTTGTTAATTTCACAATTCACAAGCATACAATATTTAAAGAAGAGCACTAAAAATGTGATTATTTTCTATTAAATTTATGCAAATTTGATATAATTAAAAAAATTACTAGTTACATTATAAATTGGATTGTTAAAATTGCAAATTAGTGAAGCATTTTCCTAAAATGTTTAATTTTGAAGATACAAAATGTTAAGTATATGTCATTCATGCATCCTGTATTTTTTTGCTGTTAGATATTAATTCCAGGTAAAGGTGTAGACACAAGACCAAACAATGGGGATACAGTCACACTTAAAGTTGATGGAGTGTTGGAAAATGGAACTCATGTTGATACTGGGGAGATTTCTTTCATCCTTAATGATGGAGATGTCATACTTGGTAAATGGCCTATATAATGTTTAACCTAATTTTAATCTATTATTATTATTGTTTGTCCTTCTCATCTTTGATGCTGAATTTTGTTTAAAGTAAGTGAGAGTCGCTCAGTCTGTCAGCCTCCTCTCTCGTCCTTGCTTATTTGATCCAATGGTAAGACTTAGTCAAGATGACTGGAAATAGACCAGGATGCAGTGGATGACCAGCTGTTTTTCTTGTGTGTTTCACTGTGCTCTTTATGCATTCCACTTCGCAAGAAATTTCAGCATTTTCATTATGTCAGTGTCATACCGCCTACAGGACTCCCATCTCAGAGTTTGATTTCAGAGTTGCCTTCCCTTAGATGAGTACCTTCCAAGGTTAATGTTTCCCATCCACCTGGGTTCTGGTGTTGTTTTTGGTTGAATAGGCTTACTGGGGATTGAGCTTCAGTCCACAAGATTGGAATTGACTCGGATTAGATCACTCGGCTACCCAGCACCCTTTTAATATATATACCTAGGTAATAGCTGCTGCCTCAAAATGTATTAATTATATTTAATGATTTGAATATATTGTCTTTGTGGAGGATCTTTCATTGTTGCAATATAGCTTTTCACCTTCACCCTTTTTTCTTCTTACTTCACTCAGATGATATCAAAGACACTGATTATGCATATTGTATGCTTATGTATAGTTAAGGATACAAAATATACAAGATTTAGACTATGTAAATACTAATGAAATAAAACAGCGTGATCCATATTTGAACATGTGTTCATTCTGATCTTAGTACAGAAATAGGGATAAAACCAATACATTTACTGTGGCTTAGGACAGTGGTTCTCAACCTTTCTAATGCCGTGAACCCTTTATACAGTTCCTCATGTTGTGGCGACCCCGAACCATAAAATTATTTTCGTTGCTACTTCATAGCTGTAATTTTGCTTCTGTTATGAATCGTAATGTAAATATATGATATGCAGGATGTATTTTCATTGTTACAAATTGAACATATTTAAAGCATAATGATTAATCACAAAAAAAAATTGGTAATTATTTATTGTGAAATATTTATTTCTAATTACAAATAAATGAGATTTTGTCTTGAAGCATAGTGTAGCATGGTTAACTGTCTTAACTGTAAACTATATTGATACATTTTGCGACAGTACGCGTAAAAAGCCAATGTCAGTGCGAAGCTGTTTCAAGAGCACAACGAAGATTATCTTCCACAACAAGCCTACATTTAGACTTGATTACCAACAAGCTGGAAAACCCTGTTTCTCAAAGATATTTTGTTGGAAATGGATAAAGAGGGCGCAACACAGTCTCAGACAGAACAGGAAATGACTACAAACACTTGATCCAGAATTTTGTAACTGGCATTGTAGAGAAATCAGTTCTCGCTGAATTGCTGTTAATAAGTTCAATGAACTCCTCTTGTGCTGTCTCAGGAAGATCTTCAACTTTGACAGTGAATGGACTTCTGGCAACTGCAAAGAGTGTGTCAGGTAGATTTGGAAAATACGATGTAATTTCGTCTCCAAGCATGTGCAAGTGTTCCTTCACAGAATTTATCATCGTTATCCTTTTGTCTGGTTCAATGTGATGTTCCTCAAAAAAACAAAAAAACAACAGATAAGATGAGCAACATGTAAATTTTATTTTCATCCAATTTTGTTATTTTGCCAAAGCTGAAATTTCATTTGGAATTATCGCATCTTTTCAGAAAAATCGATGCATGTTGCATTTGGTCCTTGCAGTGATAAATTTAACTCATTTAAGATGGCAAAGATGTCAACCAAGTAAGCTTTTTTCTGCAGTTCAATTTTATCACTAAAAAGTAGTTTGAACTGCAGTCTTGCCTTCTGATTGAAAAAGCGTTTTGAGTTCATCACGAAGCTCAAAAACACGTTTTAAAACGTTTCCTCTCGACAACCATCTCCCTTCAATGTGAAATAGCAGAGCTCTGTTCGGCGCATCCAACTTTTTGCACAGTTGCAAAACAGTCGACTGTTTAAAGTGCTCGTCTTTACAAAATTGAAAAAACTTATGACGCTTTTCATTACTTCTTGTAACTCTTGTGGCAGCATCTTCGTTGCTAATATTTGCCGATAAATCAATCAGTGAGTTCCGATGAATTTTGGTGACTCATTCAGTGCCAAATGTTGAAATCCAGATGGACATCCTAGCACAGCTGGAGCAACATCTGAGCAAACACCACAACACCTTTTCCCAAAAGATCTTATGATCTTTCAGAAATAACTCGTGTCAAAATTATCACATACAGTAGTTGCCGTTTTTTCAAGAGGTTTGCAAAAAGGAAACATCTTTAAAGTCGCCATCATTAATATACCTCACGTAAACTAGTAACTGTGAACAGTTTGCAACGTCTGTAGATTCATCAAGCTGGATACTAAATATTGGGAGTGGAGCACATTTAATTTCCTGGATTACCTGGTAAAGATGAGTCAACAGACAGGTCATCTATTCTTCTGCGGACAGTGTCGTTAGATAAGGAAATTGCACTCAATTTCCTAACAAATTCTTCTCGGATCATAACGCGAACAATGTCTTTGGTTGCTGGCAACAGTAAATCCTCAGCAATTGTTTGAGGTTTCATAGCTCTGGCGATTCTGAGTGCAACCAAATATGAAGCTTCAATGGCTGCTACTTTTTGTTTGGGGTACTTGCCACCAGTGTCAAGTCTGGCTTTCTTGATTCCATCAGCTTTACTTCTAAAATAGTTGGTATCCTTCTGCTGGCAAAGCCTGGATGCTTGCTATCAAAATGGCGTTTTAGTTAGTTCGGCTTCATAGATATTCAGCTGATAGAACTTCACAGCAAATAACACATTGCAATTGAAAACAATGAAAACATAGATATATTCATACGAGCATACAATTTATTTTGCGTTTTATTTTTTGATTTTATCAATATTATCAGGCAATCATCATTCATTAGAGGCAATTTTTAACTGAGACGTAACTTAGTAAGACAGCATGCTGAGCTTACTCTCATACAGGCACTATATTACTGATTGCAGGTGAAGGCTACTAGAACTTAATCCTTAACCGATATTTATTTTTGCCTTTAAATTTTTAATTTAAGCTTATCGTAGATAACAATAGTAGCATTTATAGTTAGGTGTAATTTCAGCATCGGACATTAGACCTATATTCTTTATTTATTTACGGTTTCCCTACTTGTCATTGGTTAATTAAACCTATCACGTGATACTTGGGGAGGTCAGTTTGATTTTTTCTTCTACATTTTCTCTGGACTTGTCTGATTCTTCCAAAGTATGCACTAGTTATAATCCGTTATTACCCGTTAAGGAGCTGATCTGTGCAGTAGTTTTCACTGTCGATTTAAACTTTATTATGGGGTGAATGGTTCAAGGGGGGTGATATGTCTGTTTCTAAGACCATCGGAAATGTGTGTTTTCCAAAGGTCTTAGGCAACCCCCGTGAAAGCGTCCCGCGACCCCCAAAGGGGTCGCGAGCCACAGGTTGAGAACCCCTGGCTTAGGGGATCAGCATGATTTTTAAAAAACTATTTTACCATAAACAATTTCTATTTTACTGTTACTTAACATTATTTCATTGAATCTTAATCATCTTCCAGCTTTTGACATAGCAGTAGCTCTAATGGAAGAAGGGGAAAAGTGTGAACTGTCTACAGCTGCAAAGTATGCCTTTGGTTCGCTTGGACGGTATGATTTCTTTATCCCGCAGTTTTCATATCTTGTTAAGTCTCTTGTGTCTAAGTGCACTAAAAATATACTAATAGCAGCCACATTTAGTCCTGGTTCCATTGACAGCAATCAAATTAAGTTATTTATAAAGTTATTTGGCCTATATAAATTTTATTTCTTTTATATTTATTTTTTAAAATAAAAGCTGTCGTCTTTTGTTCTTCAGGGAACCAGATATTCCAAAAGAAGCCAACATAACATACACACTAGAACTTGTCAACATTCAGAGCCCTCCTGAACTTTCTTCTTTAAGTTATGATGAAAGACTGAAATTAGGGTAATCATTTTGTAATGACTATATCTTATACAGCCTGCCCAAGTGGTCCACAAGCAATTTCACTGTTGAGCTGTGCGTGCGCACACAATGGGGAAAAGGTGTGCACTGCTAAAAAAGGTGTGCAACTCAAAAAGAAAACTGTGGCGCACACAACATTTTTAAAACCTGAAAAATATAGTTAAGCGCCCGAAATCGTTTCTCTAAGGCACCAAAATATAATGAACTTTACTTGTTTGTAAAATTCGTAACTCCTCTTTCAATAGAACATGAGGTGAGATGGTTTTAAGACAGTTTGCTTGGAATTCTATTATAAGAAATTATGACAGCCTCATTCAGTACCTCATTCAACTAGTAAAGAGTGATTATCAAACATCAAAAAGTCTCATTGCAAAGAACTGCCATTTAAATTGAACGATCCACAAATTCATTTTGCTCCATAAGTTCTCAATGATGTGTTTGAAGAGTTTGCAGCCATATGTGAGCCTTTGAAGACAAGTAGATTGACATCAATAGATGAAATGATATAAAAAAGTCAAATCTCAGTACCTTGGGGATGTTTCTAACTTGAGTGAGAAAGTCGAAACTATTCTTCAGGAATACGCACCAAAAAATGGTTTCGGTAGATTCAAAACCTAATTTAGCTTTTATTGAAAGTGTGTGTTGTCATTTTGAAGACATATTTCCAGAAAATAAGGTTCAAGATTGGGTGGCATTTTACACAATAAAAATTTTTTTTTTCAAACTTTGAACATCATAAAAATTTTGTGCACAGAGACTCAAAAAATTAGAAGGAACTTAGTGCACAAGTAATAAATGCAACAACAAAAGAATCTCTTATCAATTAATAATTTTAAGGGCTGAAGCTCTTTTTTTCTAAGTGTAGTTGTAGAAGTTGTGTCAAGCCAGATGTATCAATCAAAACATTGAAGCCTGCAATTATGCAATGACAGATTTTTAATTTTTGTGATTATGTTTTGAATGTAGAATTTTAAGCAATACTAAGTGTTAACACATGGCTCACATTAAAATTAAAAGAAAAATTAGGAAATTTCAACTATGTACCTTTTCAGTTCAGGGAACCAGATTGTGTGTATCAACTGGATATAGAATTGTGTTGGTGTAGTTTGTGTTTACTTTTAAGACATTTTATTACCAATTAGATTCATAGCAATACTAAATTATTTTGTTTCTCAGCTTGTTAATGTCATATACCATGCATTAATTTAGTAATAATTTTTATTATTTATTTGCAAAATTTCGGTCTAAGTATAGTCATTAAAATTTTAAAAATGTTAATACTAGTAAAAATAAATTGTTTAGGCTTTCAGCTTTTTATTCCTATTTTAATTTATACTCATTCTAAATTCAGTGAAGCCAAGAGAGAGAGGGGAAACTACTTATTTGGAAGGACTGACTATACAGGTGCAATTAATTCATATAACAAGTGAGTAAAGTTTTTATGAAATATCCATTTATAAATGCTTTGAAATGCCCTGGAACATTTAATCAGATTCTGGGGACTTGATATTTTTGGAGTTAATTCTTCTTAATAATCTGCATATCGTTGCTGTAACCACTGTAACCCTCATGATGGGTAAGGATAATAAATGAAGAAATGCGTTCAAGCTGTATGAAGGAACTAGTGGAACAAGGTATGTTGAAGCTTGAAATGAAAAGACCGGGCAATAAAAGGAGAATGTTTCGGCTAAAAGCCTTTTTCCGCTTCTACCATTTCCCTCCTATATGGTGAACTCCAGATGCTTCAAATTTGTAAACTAATTTCTTTTCTTTTCTTGTTTTGTCTTATCTGCTAAAGAAGGCTTTTGCCAAAACATTCCCCTATTATTGTCCTGTCTTTTCATTTCATACCTTGTTTCATTAGTTCCTTTATGCGTAAGTCAAGTTTTCCAAAATTTACATGAGACACTACAAACCTAATTACTTAAAAATAAACTTTTAAAACATTTGGTTAGGTCTACTGATAGAAAATGTACTGCCCACTACTAACATTTAAAAATATTTTTACATGGCATGAGGAATCCCTAGATCTTAATAAATTAGACATTTTTTGCATTTTTGAAACCATTCTTCAGGAATATGCAGGAAGTAAGGTTTTAATAGATAATAAACCTAATTTAGCTTTTATTGAAAGTGTGTGTTGACATATTGGAAGACATACATATTTCCAGAAGAAGTTCAAGATTGGCTGTCATTTTACACAAAAATTGGGGAAGCCCTAGATCTTAATAATTTTTTTTTTAATTTGACTTAAACTTTTACAGAGTTACAGCGACAATATACTATTTTCATCTCTGCTGAATTTCAAGTTTAAAGCAACATCTTAAACAGTCATGGATTTGCTTACAGCAATACATAGTATAAATATTTATTATATAATTTTTTTATCAGTGCTTTAAAGTTTGGACAAAAATATTAAAGTAAGTGATGAATACTAAATATACTTCTTTTGATGCAATGTGCTAAAAGCTCAAAACTCTGATCCAACAGAGCTATAAAAATACTAGCTGATACAGATCTCAATGCAAGCCTTGACGAAGCCAATCTGGCATCATTGACTGAGTCATCCCTCAAGTGCTACAACAACATGGCAGCATGTCAATTGAAGGTTAGTACATTTTTGTATTTTAAGAAATATTATTTTTAAGAAGTTCTTTACATTGTCCTTTTTACATGCATATGTTGTGATTTAACTCTGAATTCTATTGAAGGCACCAAAAGCAGTGGCTATACTAAAAAAGTTGATTAAATATTTAAAATAAAAATCTTTTGTTACTAGTTTTTTCGCATTTTGTGTCTTTCAATAAATGTTTGCTTAGAAATTTGTGTACAATTTTATTGCTAAGTTTTTTGTTAAATGCAATGAACTTTTCACAAATATTTTTGTTTAGATTGATGCCTTGGATGCAGCGATAAGGTCATGTGAAAAAGTTCTCACGTCCCAAGAAAATAACATCAAAGCTTTATTTCGAATAGGCAAGGTATAAACTTATATAACTAATTTTGCTATGGCTTATCTCATATTAACATAATTGCTAGATTCATGCCTATGTTGTTGACTAGTAGGCTCTCGAACAACATAGTAATACTTTTAAAAAAATCTAATTTGCAGGTTTGCAAAATTTTCACATGTAAAAATCTTATTAGTGGGCTGAGAATAAAGGGGGGGGGGGGGAATGTATGATCTACTAGCTATCTAAATAAAAGAATAATAAAATGGAATATTTATTTTAAGTGTGCTTAACCATCTTAATATTAGCCTCATTTAACAATTGTACTTCAAAAACAACAAAAAAGCATTAACTAGTAAGACCATAGGATTAATGAGCAATTTGATTCTCAATTTAAGGGACTAGAACCTGTTAGAATGTTAAAATAAACCGCTGTGATCATTGACAACCACCTTAAACTCCTTCATTCCCACACATCCTCTCAGTTGTTTAAATTTTTTTGTTAGTAGGTTGTCATAACAAAGTCAAACTATTCATATCTAGAGTTTTTAGCTCTTGTATTATTATTTTTTTTGTTGCAAAAAAAAACCTCAGGAGTCAGCTGTATTCTGATATAAATTACATAGATATAGATATAGCTTTAAACTTGTAATGTATTTTTTTTTACAGGCTTATGGTGCTAAAGGGGAAATTGAACATGCAATAACCTATATTCGACGAGCAATTAAATTGGAACCAGAGTCTAAAATGCTGCATCAGGAAATGCTAAATTTAAATCGGCGTAGAAATAAAGAAACAGCAACAGAAAGAGAGTTATATCAACGGATGTTGGGTGTTAAACCTGAAAATAAAGTATCCACTGACAAAAACAAGAAAGCATCAAATTCAAACTCAGTAAGTTTTTTTGTTTTTTTAATTACAAAATGAAATATGTTACAACATATATATATATCATTCACTTCCATCGTTCTATAATTTTATTCTAAATAGAAATAATGGAGAGGCCAAAATTTGTTGGCAATTTCTTCTTCTATATTTTGAGGGCCCACGATCAACATTTTAACATATTGAAGTAGATAATATATGTATTTTTTAAATATCAAAAAAATCCTTTCTGTTTCTTGATTTGTTAAATAATTTTTATCTGTTATAATTTACTTTCCCGAAGTATTCTCACATTTTATAAATATAGCCTTTTTAAAAATTTAGTCATGAACAACTATATTCTTCAATGAAAGTCTTTTTTATTTAAAGTTTCATATTTATTAAAATTCCTCCCATATCTTATATGCAAAAACGATCTTTTAAATTAAATATATTCATGAAATGTATATTTTCTAACAGTTTCTGAAGTGGGCTCTCCTGGTGGGAGGTGTGGCTGCTACTTTAGCATCAGTAGGTCTTGCCATATACAGAACATCCTGAGACAGTGCTCAAACTGCTTTGCTGGTGTCTGCGTATGATTGATATCAATAGATGATAGAACAAAAAATGAGTGGATGGGGATTTGTATTTTGTTATTTTTTATGATATTTTTTCTTCTTAAATTTTTACTTAACAGAAATATAAAGATTTCTTCCCCATTATTATTATTTTTTTTGTTTGTTGCATTGCTGTTCATTATTGTTTTTAAACCTTTAAATTAATAATTAATTTTATTTAAGAAAATACACTTTACCAATCAATATTATTAAAGGTTTTGGATATATATAATTGAAAAAACTATTCCTATCAAATGGATTATATTGTGTGCCTAGTCAGGTCGGTTGACTGGAAAATAAAAAAGAGGCAAGGGTATTTACTCATGCACAGTAGTTTTTAGAGAGTAGGCCTATTGAAATTATTTCAGTTTACAAATTTGTCAGACAGTATTTTATTAGGGGAAAGCTGTTGCTTTTTTTTTCCCTGCGGGGCTTGAAATTTTTTACACTAATTTAGGAGAATAAATTAATGTGAACATTTAAAATAAAATTACATTTGATTTAGGCAGTGTCTACACGTACGGCGACCGGACATATATTTCCCGCACTATTTGTCCGGCGACCAAGTCACATGACCGCCGTAACAAAGTGGCGAGAGATATCTTGTCCGTGAGCCTTGTCGCGTGAACGCGAATGATTCAAAACTATTGTTAATTTTAAAATCTATTTCTCTACCATTAATGTACTGAGTGTCTTGAATGCAAATAATAGAAAAAAATTAAGCTAAAGTGGCTTGTAAACATTTTTGTTTTAGTTTGTTATTTGAGTTTGTGTACCAGTAATCCATAAAATAAAGTAGGGGCCAGTGTGGAGTAGGCAACCAATAAAAGTAAAAGATTTCATCTTAAATTGTTTAAATTGCAACAAAATATTTAAAAACTCTCATGAAACTACTGTTGCTAATGAACATGATAATAGAAATATAAGATAAAATATTTTTAATTAAAATTTGGGGGGGGGGGGGGAAAAAATCCCTACCAGGAATTGATCCTCAAATATAATAATGTCAAGCAATCATTCTACCACAAGACCACACAAGATCTGCCAATTGGCTCTTCGTTGGGAATAATAACGACTACTAGTCGTCCGGCGGTCACGTGACATGTCGCCGGACGTATATCTCGCGCACTATTTGTCCGGCGCGCCGGACGTGTAGACACTTTGTTTGATTTATAGTAATTTAAAAATAACTTTAACTTTCAATACACCTCAATGTTGCATGACAGTTGTTTTATTTTAAAATCTTTCAGAAGTAATTGGAATGGGTTGTTTTAATTTTAAGAACTAATTTTCATTTAAATTTGAAAGCAAATTGATTGGTGCAAAGAACTTATGAAGCACTTTGTAAAGGAAAATTTGTAATGCTTCTGAAATACCTACGTGGTTTGTCTGTTAAGATTACACTACAAATCCTTTAAATATGTGCACATGACCCTTGAAAAGTTTCAACAGTTTGCCACATCATCTTTGCAGATCCATATGATTTTCCTGAGTGAAATACCATTGTTCCTCTAATCAATATAACCAGAGACATGTTTCCTGACCAGTGCAAAGATAAATTCAGTTATGCATGCATGTTATCACTTATCATCTAACAGCTGATCTGTCTGTGAGGGGCAGACATATAGTTGCAGAATTAATTTCCTAGCACCCATCTTATTTAAAAAATTTTAGGAAAAGATTTTAAGGAAGTATTTTTTGTGTGCTTCTGTTTACATTTTGAATTCTTAAAATGTGCTGTCTTAAACCATGTATCCTCACATTGTACCAGGCACATGTGTCAAGGATTTTCTATGTCTAGATAGATACACGTTTTTCTAGATTTCAGGGCACTGCTCCATTCCCACAGATAGTAATATTAAGTTAGGAAATAATAACATATACTTGTTGGAATTAAAATTAAAGTCTCAAATATTTGATTATCGCCTGAGAGAGTTGATGTCTAAGTATTTGAAAATGTAACACAAGTGAAACAAAATAAGATATGCATTAGGACTATACAATAACAGTTTTTAAAGTCAACTGGTAGTATGGAGTGGGTTCCAGCTGATGTGAACGTCTGAAAGAAAACATTACTGTCCAAGTTTTTTAAGGAGATTTGCTTTATCCACAGTTTGATGTTACATTATCTTATGGCTTGCGTTTTTTTTTACCACCATTCAATTGAATTAGTTTATGTGTGATTTTTACCATTGATATTGATTGCATAATTGATGCCTTTTCAAGAGATATTTTTAAAAGTTAATCACCAACACAATGTGATATTCTGAATAATTTTTGTCACCTAACTGTCAGTCGTCATGTATGATAACATTGTTGTACATCAATGAATATAAAATGAATGACCTGCAACTTAGTAGCACCTGAAAGCACATTCCCCCATCTCTTAACTTTATTGATGACCAACCAATGACCATTGATCGATGACCATGTGCCAGGAAATGATCTGACACTCTTACTGCTTTTAAATTTTTGTTGCCTTGTTATGAAACAATGCAATCAGTTTATTCTTGTTAATAATATTGCTCCATATCTTCATTACAAACTAATCAGAATAATTGTTCATGTTTTTGCTATTTCAATACATGTTATTTTTTTTTTTTTAAAGTTTTATACTCTTGTGCGAACATTTTATGAGTTCAATAGTTCAAATAATTGAATCAATAAAATTATTCCTCCTTTTCCTGTATAATAGTTAAAATTTTTGGACATCTTGGTTTATAATCAAATCTATTAAAATGCAAAATACTGGCACTGATTAAAAAAAAACAATGTAGTGGACATCAGGCTTAGTTAAAAAAACAACAAAAAAAACAACAACATATAGTATGTTAGTGCCTGATAATAAAATAATGGGCCCACTGATCTCTCCATTATGAACAAAGATTAAATGAAATCTTGATAAAGGATGTAGGATATTTGTAATTTGTTAATGTGCTATCACTAGTAAGCCTTTAATGACCACATTTACACATACAAAAAAGAGCTTTGTTGGCCTTTTTCAAAGTTAGCTGTACGGAGAATTAACATTACAAGGAAACCGTTTCCAAAAAAAAAAAGGGAATTTTTTCATACCGATTCAAGTTGTGGTAACTAAATGTGCAAAACAAGATTCATCATGGGTGACAAAATAATCAAAACTGGTAGGCTACATTAAATAGCAGTAGCAGGTCTTAATCGAAAATAGTTTTCCAGATTATTCCCTGAGGTGAGGGACAGTTTTGTGTTGTTGTTTTTTTTAGGGGGGGGGGGTGGGTGGGTGTTACATCATTCTTCAGCCAATCTCATCCACGGTTGAATGATATTTTAGCAGAAATTGACCTGGAAAAAAAAAGTTGGGATGGGGTGTCTTCATTCTTCAGCCAATCTCATCCACGGCTGAATGCTATTTTAGCAGAAATTGACATGGAGGGGGAGACATGCTTCGAGGCGGAAGTAAAAGAAAAGCGAAAACTCTATACTCCCGGTTAAAGGGGCGTCACTTTTTACCTAAACGTAAAACTAAAATTAATTTTTTTTTCTAACCAAAAAAAAAAAAAGAGTTTTTATCAAAGACGAGTTGAAACACGCTAAGAAATATAAAATACTAGATTATAGCCCGCCAAACATTGGCAACAGCAATGTATGAACTTCCCATCTAGTAAAGTTACTTGACAAGACATGAACTCACATTTAAAAGAAGTATTACGCACTAAACGCAATTGCGTTAAAAAAAATATATAAATATATAGCCTAGTTATCGGGAATTATATTTTGCGCGCTAGGGGACTCATTGAACCACACTCTGGCGTATCTATAAATAGCCTGCGTCTTGTTTGACCCGTCTTGTTTGACCTTTGCTGGCGAATTATATACATAGATGTTAAAATTTCTTAAACATGATGCAAAGAAAGACAGTAGATAAGCACACTATTTAGCCAAATGATTTACATTGAATGTAGGTTAAACTTTAAATATGTTTTTTAGTTTTAATAATTTTTAAAAACTATTCTGCACAGACTTGGCGTAATGCATTTTAAGAAATCAGCTCAACCCACCCACCCGTTCACTCATTGAAGAAGCTGCGGTCAACCACGATAATTTGAGCAACGCTGTCCACCCGCCTTCCCAGTATTCTCTTCCAGTCGTTCACCGGGTGAACACTGCACAAATAAAATACGCGCAGTACGTTGGAAATGCGAGTAGAGAAATTGTTTTTTCTACTTTCTAATTTTAATATTAAGATGTAATCTTTAAATTATCGACAAAAGTAGAATTATTTCATTTTTTTTTCTCCATAATATAATCGCAGGCTTACAAATCCCGATTGGAGTGCCTTAACTCTTTTCCTAGGCATAACATTAAAAAAAAAAAAGGAGATCTGAGTTCACCCACCCACCTGTTCGCTGAATCGCGAAGCCAATGCAGTCAGCCGCGAGAATTTGAGCGACAGTTTCACCCCGCCTCCGTCGATCGAGGAGTAGACGCGAAGTTGACACAATTGAGTAGTAACTACTAGTAACGAGACGGTCATCACCTTTGATGTGATCACTTCACGAAAAAATGATCAGTGGGGCGAAAATGGCAAGTGTATTACAAAGTGTAAACAAATAACGCCAACGTCCCACAAGATGAAAATGCGAGTATTCTATAAAAAGGAAATAATTGGGCTTTAAAGCTTTAAAATACAACTAATTAGTATACAAATAGATGACTTAGATTTCCTTTCCTTTGTATTTCATCATATCAACCAATGGGGTCGTCCATTAATTACGTCAACATTTTTAAAGCAATTTTTGCCCTCTCCCCCTCCCCCACTCTTTCAACAACTGGCTAACTTTCAATGCCCCCCCCCTATTAAATTATGTCAACATTTTCTACCCCCTACCCCCCCCCAAAAAGGAATTATATTATATATAAATTACGTCAACATTTTTAAAGCAATTTTTGCCCTCTCCCCCTCCCCCACTCTTTCAACCACTGGCTAACTTTCAATGCCCCCCCCCTATTAAATTATGTCAACATTTTCTACCCCCTACCCCCCCCCAAAAAGGAATTATATTATATATAAATTTATAAATACAATTTACTTTGTTCTGATCTATTTTAATGACAATACAATTGTAGGAAAAACAGTTATTACATCTTTAGCTTGTTAATCAACAAGTTAAAAAGTTTTTACACTTAAATTTTAAAATGCAGAATCAATTGAAAGGTTGTTAAAGACTAAATATCACTGTTTGTGGTATAAATATGATTATTGTCAGTAAAGCTGACAATTATAGTATAGTTTCTAGCTGCTATCATCTTTCCAAGGAGTAGCCAGGTTTGCTCTATCGTAATAATGGGCATCATGGGCATCATTTGGTTAGGGCAGGGGGGGGGCATTTGCACCCACTCTCTAATTTGCTGGTTTTATTTTAAATTGCTGTGTACTGTAGTGCCTCCAGTAATAAACAACTAAACAAGCCGACAAAATTTTGGATCCCCCCCCCCCACAAAAAAAAATAAAAATAAAATAAAATGACGCCCCTGATGGGCATAGTCTATAGTAGCTAATTGATCCTTTTCATCTTGCGGCACTGATATACCAGACAAGTCAACGTTATCCTCATCTAATTATTCAGCACTTAAAGTAGAAGCATTTTCGGTGTGAAAAATAATTGCCATAAGCTCTCTTAATCTCCTTGCAGCTACTCGCATTGGTCGAATCCTTTTTTGTTGAGGAGTGGGTGCTAATTTTTGTATGAGCAAAAGGGCATTTTAATGATGTAATAACCAGTCAATTTTTAAGATTAAAATTTTAATAGAGAAAACATTGTTGACGTCAACTAATCTAAACCCCTTCCCTCCCCCTGTCAAACACTTCCACCCCCCCCCCTATTTTGTTTACGTAATTGATGTACGCCTCAATATGATATTATTTTTATTTTATGTTGTTTTTTTATTGGTGAAAGTTATTATATTATTATGATTTAAAGACCCAATACAGATTATGCCGCCTTTCATCATACCGCATCCGGGCAACGGAATGCGGAAATCAAACATGGCTACCGAAGCATTGAGGGCAGAAAATCCCGATTCTATAGAAGCCTTGAGCCGTGAAGCGGAAGCATTGAAAGCACGGCTTACCGAAGAAAAAGCAAAACTAAATGATGTTGATTGTAAGTTAGGCTATGTATACTTAAACATACAAAGCATTGCACATTTTTTCCTCGCTCCAATTTACTGAAGGTCTCTGTCTCAGTAAACTGTCTGACAAGTCTGGTCTCACAATCTTGAACCTATCTCAAGGCAAAATTTGAGACTATTCAGTCTCAAAAGGAAGGATAAAGAGAAGATAATAAATCACCCCCCCCCCCAAATGCAACATTCTCTACTTTAATATTGTATGTCTTTAAAAAGTAACTATAAGAATTAAGTATTATGATTTCAGTTAGATTTTAAGGTGTAGGGTTCTTAAACCTCTTGAGTAGATACTTTGGTCAAAAATTTAAACATTTTGTAAAAATAAACCAATGGCATAGTTGAATAGAGGTAATTTTTTACAGAATTATAACACCAAAATCATATTTGTAGCTGTTGTAGTTTTAAAGTTATGAATTTTTAAAGTACGACTTGGTTTGTCCTTTTTTAACATGGACTGCATCTCCACATTCTGTGACCTCATTCCGCTGATCGCGTCATGCCCAATGACTATATAGTTTATATAAGGCAACACATTCCTTTATCACTAAAATACTGTTTAGGGTCGACTTACTTTAAACTTTCAACTTTGGCACATGAATAATTAATTAAAGCTTTCCCTGACCAATGGTTTAATAGTTTTTGCACACGGCAAACTCTTATGAATAAAACTCTGAGATAGTACTACGAAATAGCCATTATGCAAGTGGCTGTCAATGGTTGCCAATGACAACGTGTTGCACAGAGAAAATTCTGATCATTTATAAAAATAAAATGGACTCTACAGGGTTTTTAAAGCTCAAATTAAAACAGTCCAGTTTAAATGTCTTCAAAATGCATTCTGAAACACAAAATATAAAATATTTTGATGTATATAGTGGTAATAATTAAATATTTCCTAAGTATCGGCAACTTCCACCATTAAAAAGGGGGCGTGGCCCACGCCATGTCGAAATTAGGCTAAGCTACCTTATGGTGATATGGATCACTGTGAGAAGCGTAACGAACGGAAACTTAATCATGCGTAAAAGACATTAGCAATCATACAAAAAACAGTACAAACCAAAGAGTCTTCTTCTTCTATATCTTAAGGGCCCACGATCAATTTATTGATCATTTTGGCTCCTATGCATGTAGATGGGATTTGCAATGTTTCTGTTACTGGTGGTGATGAGGAAATTATGCACTAGGGGTTTGAAGGCTTGAGGCAATAGACACAAATGTGTCTAGTGTTGTCGCCTCAACTGTTCCTTTTGAAAGATGGTTCCAGTCCCTGATTGTCTTGGGCAGGAATGAGCAGCTCCTATACTGGCTTCTTGCTGGTATGAGCCTGAATTGCCTGTCATGGCCTCGTCGCTGTCTATGGGGGAGAGGGACGAGTTTCTGTTTAATACTGGAACAGTGGACCAGCCCATTATTTATCTTGTACATCATGGAGAGCCTGGATTGTCGTCGTCGTTTCTCCAATGGTGACCAGCCTAGTGTTTCTAGCATGCTGCCAACACTAGAGGTATTCCTGTAGCGGTTTAGGACAAAGCGTGCTGCTCGTCGCTGGACCGCCTCCAACCTGTCAATGCTCTTCTGGGTAAATGGGTCCCAGACTGAAGATGCATAATCTAAAATCGGACGGATAAAGGCTTTATATGCTCTTTCTTTCACACAGGAGTTGCCAATCTTTAGATTTCGCCTTAAGAACCCTAGGGTCTTGTTTGCTTGGTTACATACATTGTTAATATGCTCGTCCCAGCGGACCTCTCTTTGAATGGTAACACCCAGGTACTTTACGGAGGAAACTTGCTCAAGAATATGGCCGTGCAGTTTGTATTGGTAGTGTAGAGGAGTACAACTTCTAGAGATTGATAGTGGGTTGCAAAATGTGGAGGTGCAATCAATAGTAAAAATAGTCCATAGCATTACAAACAAACTCTTAAAAATTAATAGCTCGAATAGTACTAAAGCTAGAAAGTTGATTCTGGTTTAATTTTTTTTTTAAATTTGAAATTTTTCTCAGTACAAATGTAATATATCTGTGTTCATAATTTGTTGGAATTACATTATTTTTAATTACCAAAGTACCTATAATGATAAGACATAACTTTTGTCAGTACAAAATATTTCTAAAAAAAAAAATCAGTTACTTTCAACATGTGACAAAACATTTGTTTTATGGCTGAGATTTTGAAATAAATAATTATTAGAAATTGGTTTGACTAAATTAAATATTTAATATTGTTTTCTACAGGTGTAAGTATAAGATGAGGATGGTTTCATAATTTCAAGTAGTAATATATTTTTTACATTATAATTATATGGATCCCTTCATATTAAACTGTAAAAAGAACTCTCCTGTGATTTGTGAGCTCGTTAGTGTTTACAAAGGTTTCTATCTTTGCAATTGCTACTACGTGAGAAGATATGAAGGATATCACCACTTCTTGCCATTCTGAGGGAAAAAAAATAACATTGCTGTATTGACCTCATCATATGACATGTTTGCCATATGTAGTGCTCAATTTGGTGCCGGTTCGGTAAACTAAGAATTTACCATTTATATTTAGTGTTTATTAATTTTATCTTTCATAAAGAAGTCAAGAAACAAGGATATTTTATTATAATTTAAAAAATTTAATCTGAAAACTATTTAAATTGTTTTGCTATTAATTTCTACAATTTTGTAAAATTATTTTTTAATAAACTACTGTACTGCATTTTATTGAGACATTTAATAATGATGGAAAACTGTTAATAATTACAAATCTCTTCCTATTGAAAATAATCAATAACCATTTTTTTCATCTTGATCAAAATTAAGTGGTGATAAATATTTTTTCTTTCTTACTTTGCAAAATATAGCATTGGAAAATTAATTTTCTTACTTAGTCTTAATGACCTAATTAAAATGTGTTGTTTGTAGATATGGTTGAAGCAGTGGGAAGTATAGACCACTATATGGTTGTATTATGTATAAAAAAGTGATAAAGAGCAAAAAATTATTTTTTTATGTTTATCTGAGTTTGACCCAAAAATAACCTTGGTGTGATATTTACGTGAGGGTCACTAGAAGAAAGTCCTTTCTCGGTTATTGATGAGGATATCAGTGTATTTACAAACTATGATAAATGAAGCAATTAACTGAAGGCACAGTACAACTGTGTGCAAAATCAGATAACAAGTTTTTGTGTCATTTAGTGATTTAGCCAGATGGAGTACATAGAAAGTGTTATGCCCCCTGTGGTGTTCAATGAATTTGAACAAGCTCTTGGTCATGGGGAATTTGAAAAGGGGCTAACACTTAACACAGGTAGATTCTGAAGCACTACTGGCCAAAATGAAGGCAATCATTGCTCTAATATAAATATACTTTATTACATGAAATAGAAATATTAATAAAGATACAAAAAATCTACATATAAAGAAATGAATCTAATTATCATAGTACAAGTAATATAAATAGTACTTACTAACACAATTTTAAGTTCCTGGAGAAATATGAAATTTATTAAGTAAATTACTTTGATGATTATTGCTGCTAACTATTGTCACGCATCATTTCTCTAAGAGTCTCTCCCCAACTATAAATATTTTTTCATAAACCCAACCTCTCACTCTTTTTTTATTAATTGAAGAAATATGCATTTAAAAAAAAATAAATTCTGCATCGAAAGAGTTAATGTGATTTTATATAGCGCAGTACCCCAGCCTAGGGCTAGGCTCACTGCAGTACCCCAGCCTAGGGCTAGGCTCCCTGCAGTACCCCAGCCTAGAGCTAGGCTCACTGCAGTACCCCAGCTAGGGCTAGGCTCACTGCAGTACCCCAGCCTAGGGCTAGGCTTACTGCACTTCACATAAAATTAACAATTACAGAAAATTATACATTTAAAATCAACTATTGGGGAAAAGCTTCTAGCCATGGACAGCACCCAGCAGCATCGAGCGTTGTTTGTCAGTTAGAGGGGGGTGAGAATGAGTCAGTATAGTACAGTTTGAAGAAATCACCCTTGAGGGCAGTTTTGAACGCTGGGATGGTCGTTATATTGCAGATGTGTAATCGGTGAGAATTCTATCCTTTTGGGGGCACAGAAAGAGAAAGATAGTTTACCATATGTGTTAGTGCATGTTCTGGGAACTGAAAGACTATGCGTGTCTGCAGAGTAACGAAGTTTTCGAAAGGGTGAATAGACAGAAGTTCATTTAACAAAAGTATCAAAGTGCCCTTATAAGGCTTTATCATTGACACCATGTCTTCTTTCAAGTACAGGTTCTTATAATATTATCTTGATTTTTATGCACTGGAATTTTGACAAATGTAATATTGCGAGAATCATAGTGATAAAAGTAATCGTTGATCAGCATTGAATTTTAATGGAGTCACGCTTACAGACACCCTCTCCATGGACAAACATGTCACGAATATATGCAGATCAGCATATAACGAAATTAGAAAAATCAGCACCATTAGACACCTCCTCTCCTTTGATGCCACAAAAACTCTAGTCTCTTCACTCATTCTTTCAAAATTTGACTACTGTAACACTCTTCTCGCAGGCATTCCTCAACACCACATAGACAAACTTCAGAAGGCACAGAACTCAGCATGCAGACTCATTTTTAAATCAAAGAAACATGACCACATTCAACCACACATGCGGCAACTCCACTGGCTTCCAATATCCTCTCGCATCAAATACAAGACTGCCAATCTTTGCTTCAACTCGTTCACTGACCCTCACTTTCCTGTCTATCTCTCTGAACTGTTGCTTCCTTACATCTCCACAAGACAACTACGTTCTTCCATTGACAGTAGAACCCTCTCAATCCCAAGAACCAAAACTAAGACCATCGGTGAATGCTCCTTCTGCTTCCATGGGCCCACGTTCTGGAACCAGCTCCCCTTCCATATCCGTCATTGTGAAACCTCGTCCATTTTCAAAAAGTCCCTTAAAACTCATCTGTTTAGGTCCGCCTATGACCTGTGATGCACCCTCCTTGCCCTGCCTCATTTTCTGTTTCGGGTTGATCCTGAAGTATAGGCCAAAACGTGTCAAAGTGTCCTCGTTTTATAGCCATTTTCATTGTTTCTATAGTAAAGTAGTTACTGTCCTAGTGTCTCATTTTTATTTTACTTAGTTTACATGTTTTTAATAATTGTAAAGCGCTTAGAGCTTTATGGTAAGCGCTATATAAAAATGCCTAAATAAATAAATAAATAAATAATGGCACTGAAAATAACCCGATTTCTGTCCAGCATTTTAAGTTACTTATAATTTTGCCCCAGCCTGCGTCATTGGACAGCGTCTTGAGAGCTTGCAGAATTTCAACATCAAGCCAAGAAGAACATTGAAAGGTCATCAAGGGAAAGTACTGTGCATGGACTGGTCATCTGATAAAAGACATATTGTCAGTTCTTCTCAAGATGGAAAAATGTTAATTTGGGATGCCTTCACTACGAATAAAGTTAGTACCTTATCATTACTTTATAGAAAAATGTTGGTTATCTGGCATTCCTTTTTATCAAAAAGTTTAAGAAATTATTAATTTTTCTCAGACCTAATTGATGTACATAATTATTTTATAGATTTTTGGTATTCTTGAAATAAAAAATAAATTCATTATTTAAGAATTCAAAAGCATTCACATACTAACATTTTCCTAACCTTTGGTAGTTGAATAAACTGTTGTTGACACAGAACAATAAAATTAGTTTCTACATTCTAATAACCATCTTAAATATACTGCTGATTTTAAAAAATTGTTTCATGTTTTTTTTAAGGAACATGCAATAACAATGCCAACAACTTGGGTCATGGCATGTTCATATGGGCCTTCTGGGAATGTAGTTGCTTGTGGGTTAGTGGTTTAAAATATCATTTAAATATATAAAATGATCATTCTGTATTTTATTTGTTTGTAGTTGTATCTATTTTGTAATCTTGATTTGTGAAATGGTTCTCTATCCATTCTGTTTAATCCATTTAGCCTAACGTTTTTATAGTCATTAACTATTTTTGAAAATGTTGGCAATTATAAAATTACTCAGACTCTCTTTCAACAGTGATAAAATAACTTAAAGATCAATGTTAAGTTTCATTTTTACAAAATTTCTTTCAGTGGGCTTGATAATAAATGCACATTATATCCCTTGAGCATGGAAGAAGATCCAGCCACGAAGAAAAAAGCTATTGCCACACACACCAGCTATTTATCCTGTTGTTCTTTTACAAGCTCAGATCACCAGGTAGAGTATGGTTTATTTGCATGGTTGACACACCTGGCAAAATTTATATAAGAATGAGCTACGTTGACCATAAAAGGCTTAAAGACAAATCAATTTAAATACATTCAGAATCTTAAAAACAACTATAGGAATTTTCTAATATTTAATGGAAATCAAATCAATTTAAATATTATCAAGATAAAACATATTTGCTTATATTTAACTATATGCTAAAGTATTATTATTATAAATTAGAAATACAACTAAAATAACAATTTAAGAAGTTTTTAAAGTATTTTATCCAAATTTAAAAGTTAATATATTCATTTTATTAGCAATAAATTATCGTCTAAATATTAGTATAATTAATACATAATTATATTTATAGAGAAAACCCAAATATCTGGTGGGTTTTTATTGCATTTTTAAATTGTGATATTAAATTTACATTAATGTTATCCTAATATCTTCCAACAATAAATTAAAATTTCAAAGAGAAAAAAAAGGGAAATTATCTTATAAGAATTTAGTTCAAACTTGCAAATCACAAGTTTTAAATTTCTTTGAGTTAATACCTTCGTGTGACAAAACTGATGTTTTTTCCCCTTTGCTTTTTAAAAAATATATTTAATAGATTGCTTATGCAATTGGTAATACACAACACCAAATTGTAGCTTTGTATTTTTAATATTTAATCAGTTTTACTTATTTTGCGTTCCAAAATGTATATTATTCCCACCAGTTGATTTTCTAAAATCCTTAGATTCTGACAGGAAGTGGGGACAGCACATGCGCTTTGTGGGATGTTGAAAATGCCCAGCTTATTCAGAGCTTCCATGGCCATGCTGGGGATGTGATGAGCATTGACCTTTCCCCCACTGAGACGGGAAACATTTTTGTGTCTGGGGTAACTTTTTTAATGTTTCAGTATGAGCCTTATATAAATATATTTTTATGAATCCCCTTGAAGGGGAAAATTCATTATCGTAAGTATCTTATGTACTTTTAAAGGATTCTAGCGAATGGTAATAATTGTCACATGACATAACTGAACAAAATTTTATACTTGATAAGGGACCTTTAATACTTTGGGAATGCAAGTTTATCAAATATTTCGTGGATGATTTGAGTAGATTCATTCAATCAGAGCAGTAAGCTTATTTTGTATTTCATTATTGATTGTTTCAAATGGGTTTGCACTAAATTCTGAGCTATATTGTTTTAGGGCTGCGATAAAGTGGCTATGGTTTGGGACATGAGAACTGGTGACTGTGTACAGGTTTTTGATGGACACGAATCAGATATAAACAGTGTTAAATTCTACCCCAGTGGTGATGCCTTTGCTACAGGCTCGGATGATGCAACTGTAAGTAAATTTGTATTTCTAATGTTATAAATTTTCCAAAAGCGTATATAAATTCTGTAGCTGATTTTTCATGAATTTTTTTTAAGCACCAAGACACATCTTTTTTTATCTATTTTGCTGCTGACACTCATGGGTTGACATGGAAATTAACATTTATCATAATCCTTTTTTTGTTTAACATCATCAATGTCACATCCTTAAGATGCTCTTATTTAAAAGGAATTAACAATAGGTTCTTCATCATGATTTTTCACTATTTCAGTGTCGTTTGTTTGACCTCCGTGCAGACAGGGAGGTTAACTGCTATAAGAAAGACAGTATTATTTTTGGATGCAATGCTGTGGACTTTTCTATGAGTGGTAAGAGAAATTTTTCGAAAAGAATCTGGAAATTTATTTATTTATTTATTTAGGCATTTTTATATAGCGCTTATCATAAAGCTCTAAGCGCTTTACAATTATTAAAACATGTAAACTAAGTAAATACAAATGAGACACTAGGATAGTAACTACTATTCTATAGAAACAATGAAAATGGCTATAAAAAGAGGACACTTTGACACTTCAGGATTAAACCGAAACAGAAAATTAGGATAGTAACTACTATTCTATAGAAACAATGAAAATGGCTATAAAAAGAGGACACTTTGACACTTCAGGATTAAACCGAAACAGAAAATTAGGTAGGGCAAGGAGGGTGCATCACAGGTCATAGGCGGACCTAAACAGGTGAGTTTTAAGGGACTTTTTGAAAATGGACGAGGTTTCACTATGACGTATATGGAAGGGGAGCTGGTTCCAGAACGTGGGCCCATGGAAGCAGAAGGAGCGTTCACCGATGGTCTTAGTTTTAGTTCTTGGGATTGAGAGGGTTCTACTGTCAATGGAAGAACGCAGGATAATTAAACAAGAGTTTTTGTCTCTTTCAGTCATGGTATGTATTTTTTTCTCTTCACAGGTCGTGTGTTATTTGGAGGTTATAACGACTACACAGTAAATGTATGGGATGCACTTAAAGGTACACGTATCACCATTTTATATTGCCATGACAACCGTGTCAGCTGTCTAGGTGTTTCCCCGGATGGTACATCATTGTGCACAGGTAGTTGGGACTACACACTCAGGGTAAGTGCCGACATTTGAAATTGCAATCAGGGTTTCACCGATGAGCAAAGTTATAGATTACTTGCCCTTGCCACATGAGAAAATGTCAAGTGAAACACTATCAATTATTTTAATATAATTGTCTATTTTTGTATGGAAATGTGTCTTTTAAATATTTTTTGGTAAGGATGGTTTGGAAGGGGTTAGGGGCAAGGCAGGGGTATAAAACGCAGCCATTAAATTCATTCTACTTTTTAGTTTTATGCCTAGGTAAAGAGTTGTCACTTAAACTGTGCTTTTGTAAGCAATCGTTGTTTTAAAAAAGGACATATTTCTTCTTTTGTCCATAATTTAAAGATTACATTGTTAATGCTAAAAAGTTAAAAATAAAGAAGTAGAAAAATTTTTTTTTTAAAAGCACTTTCTATCAAAGATGAGTTTAAACTCACTAAAAAGAAGAAAATAATTAAAAATTTCTAAAAATGCTCTACTCAAAGAAAGTCTGTGCAGCCTTAAAAAATCAATAAAAGTAAAACATATTTAATTTTTGTATACATTTAATTCGAATCCTTTGACTACATAAAATCCTTTTTAACACTTCTGCTCTAACTTTCTTAGTGCATTTTATGAAATTTTCAATTATTTTCCACCTTTTAGTGTATTTAAACTCGTCTTTGATATATTTGAAAAAAGTCTTTAAAATATTTTTTTATTTATAAATTTTGTGTGTAAGAAAAAAAAAATTTATCATAACATGACTTTAAAAAAATAAAGGCTACTGGTATTTAATCTGTCAAAAATGTGTCTATACCAAAACTAATTCTTAGGCAAAATGACAACAAATATTTTCTTTCACTCTCAGGTTTGGGCCTAAATCTATAACTTCAAAGATTTTCATGGATCAAGCTTTTGCATTTGTGTGTGTGTGAAACACCAAAGATAAATGAATTATTTTAGTGGAGTAGATTCAGTAAAAATTTGACAGAAATTTTTTTTAAAAAATGCTAAACATGAAATTTTTTGACATGGGTAATTGTGATATTGCTTCTATTACCAAAAAAAAATTAAAAAATGAATATCGTTGTTAGAACTGTCTTAAAATTTGTTGGAATGAAATGAAATACAAAGTACAGCAGCAAGAATAAGAAGATATTATAATTAAATTGTCAACTTTCAGCTTTGTAAAAATCTTGATGTGACTGAATTTCAGCAAAAAATTCAGCATTACTTTTACTGAAATCTAGCATATTTTATGTCAAGTGTTATTTGTGATCCTATACAAATATTTTGAAGCTTCAGCCTAGCATTTTCTTAGTCACCAATAAATAGGAAATGAAATTAAGGCATAAATCTATGAACAAATGTTTTGAAAAATACCCTCACTGTGAATAGTGTTTAAAAAATTATATAATTTATCCTATGTAGGAGCATACAGTATAAAAACAACTCTGTCCGAAAGACTTCATTTTACACTCTACTTTTCCATCTACATTTTACTAAATCTTTTGTCTCCGTCACAAGTCATCAATTGAAATGAGAACGTCCTGCACTCGGGCAGGTTTGTATTTTTCATGTTTCAAAACTTCGTTTTCCTATTCACATTTTTACTAATGTAATGGTGTTCCCAATTTTCATTTCAATCTGTGCAATTTTGTTTGTTTGTTGAATGTGCAATAATGGCTCATGCTGGTAGCTTTAATTTGAAATTTAAAAGGTTTGCGGGAGCATCGTTAAGAACTGTAAAAAATGTTTGGGACCAGAAAGCACAATGAGGAACTAGCATTTATTAACAAAGTATTGTATGATAGATTATCATGACCAACTTCAAAACAGATGTGCAAAAAAAAAAGAAACATTTGGTTTTTTATTAGAGTTAACAGACTGGTCTAACCTTTTAAAGGGTTTGATTTTTTTGTGTAAAAGCGTATAAGTTAGTTGAATAAATCATATGAATTTATTATGATATTATAATAAGTAGGTCAGTAAGAGGAAGCCAGATTAAGTTAAGTGGACATATGTTTTATTATTGAGTTATCAGTTGTTTTTTTTAATAATATTTTATAAAACCTTTGCTGTCACTATTGTACAGGTCATTATTTTATTTCATGAATAATCTCAAAATAATCCATGAAAACATTTATTTAAACAATTACTTTCATGATGATTAAATTAAATTAATTAACACAAAAAAAAACATTTCATATATCTATATAGTTTGAGTTTAGAGTGACTAGTTTTAATCAGTCTGTTTTAATCCTATAATTTTTTTATATCATGGATTCCAGACATGATCCACATACAACTTTGGTACTTTTAACTTGCCAATAGTTTTGACAACTAATTTTTATAATTTTATTTTTAAAATAGAAAATAAATTACTTTTTAAAGAATTCAACTACCAAATTTTTTTTGTATTCTATACTAAAATGATCACATAATGCTTCTTAAAAATATGGATCAACAACAACTACGAATCTATTTATATTAATAAAGTGTCATGTCTTGGTGATTCTTGAGAAAACCCGACAGACTATGACTCAATGACTCTAGCTCTTCACAATTGGCTTATATATAATGTGGAACATCCTGGTGGATTTTCAATGCATTCTTATTTAAGAGTTAAATATAATTTATCATTTTTCAATACAACAATGAAGTTCCATTTTTGTTCAGGGTGCCTAAATACAACAATCATAAAGTCTGGAGACTCCTGAGAAAGAATATTGTTATCTGTAGACATAAAGATTTGTTTGGGTATTTAACAATTTTGTGTTCATTATTATTTCTTTCTTTGCTAAGTTTAACTGTATTTTAATGACTAGATCTTCTGAATGCAGCTTAGATTTAATTACAAATTTGGATACACAAAAGTATTGTCTATGATCTTTTCATCAGACTTGTTAGCGCTAATTCTGCACTATTGCTCTGGACAAATATAATAGACAATTCCACTCCTAAAAAACACATGCAACTGAAAATAGGATGATCCTTTTTGTGCTAAAATTAAAGTGTTTAACCTTTGAGCCTATCAATTCAAGTAGACAGTGTATCACCACTCTTTTTTTGTAACATTTTTATTTTCATGCTATTAAATCTATTTTACTTTTCTTTGACAACCTTTTTTAATTGGAATTTTTAGTCTTAAACAACAGTTTGATGCTCTCTAAATTTGTTGGGATAGCTTCAACAATATTCTTGCATAGTTATCTAGCATTATCTACATATTTCAACCTACATTTTGTAGAGTAAGACTCTTTTGTTATAGGTATTAACATTAATCCACCGCACTAAGCTACATAAATAAATAGCACATGCTATAAATGAACTTTCAAAGCAATAATATAAATATAATCTCTGAACCTATAACCTATACAGTTTTGGATAACAAAGCTGTGTACCGGTATAGCTGTTTTGGTGTATACAAATAGTAAGTGGCAAAGAACTTCTAGTAATACTTTTTAGATTTGCTTCCTTCAGTAACCTTTAAGAAAATTTCTTATGTTTTGGAATGATATATTAGTTCACTTGTATGAGAGCAGATTTTCTACAAATTTCAATTTTTCAATGATTGGTATACCTCTCCTCAGATGTTTTTGTGTTCAAGGCCAAAATTTAAGTCAGGCCATAAATCAAGCATTGATATTAAAGCTGTGATCAAAGTATTTTAACAATTTAATTTATTTTGCCATCTCCTTTTTTTCTTAAGCATGTTTATACATTTTTACACTTTTTTTTCTCTACATTTTACGTAATTCTGTATCTCTTGGTTTTATTTATATTAGCAAACCTGCAAATATTTTTTGTGAGCAATTTCTAAATGCTTGTACATGTGTAAACTTATGGGGCCATTCATATTTTACATACACTTTTGAGGGAAAGGATGAGGAGATGTTTTGCATATGCAGTACTATGGCTGAGAGCAAAATAGTTTTTGTTTATTCAACATTAAAAAAAAATGTTTGTTTTTTAAACAAAATTCTATGAAATTTATTCTTGGCACATCCAAAAATAGATGCCCCCCCCCCCATCTTTATGTAACATATTATTGTCTTTGGAATTTCAATGTTTAGTTAGTATTTATGCATAATTATAGCTGCCATAACAAACAATACATGCACACCAAACACTCATATGACCTTCGGTTTTATTTAGGATTACAATGTTAGAAATGTCTGCTAGTCAAAGCACTGCTCTTTTTACATTTTGCAAAATCCTTAAAATATATTATGCTACCATATGCTAGATGCACATGCCTTGAGAAACAATATGAAAATAAAAAAATAAATGTTTTGTATATTTTATTTTCTCACATAAGTTCATGCTTGTATTAACTGGTTGTTAAGTCCAGCATAACTCACACCCTGTCCCTAGCTAAGCCATTACCTAGTCTTGCCTTGTTGACTAATTTTAATTGACTATCTAGGCTATTTAAGTAAGAGCTTTTAAAGACCTATTTCAATTTTTAAGAAAAGATTAAGGAAACCACTTTGCAGTCTGTGTATATTCATTTAACTGAAAAATAAAAATTACACCAATTTCACAAGCCCTGAAGACATAATTCCAGAAGTGGGAGGGCAAAAGTTCAAAGCCATTTAAATCTATGGGGGGCATAGTAGGAGGCATGCCTGTAAAAGCCAATGTCTGAATTAATAAAACTTTGTTAACTTCAAAAAAATACTTTTAAAATTGTATAATGCAAGGCTTCATTTTGTTTTATCTGAAGCTTAAAAACTTAAATTTGCTTCTTTTAATTACTAAAAATGAATGTTAGAATTAAGATAAAACTTCAAAATAAAGAGATTTTTATTATGTAAATGTATTCAGTTTTGCACAATAAATATTCAACAAAGCATTTATTATTTATCTTCTTGGACCACATATTTATTTAAATAAATATTTTTCACGAAAAAAAAAAATGAAAAATAATACATTCTAGAGATTCCTTATTAGCTGAAGGCACACCCTTCTTGCAGAAATCAATTGAAACAATATTATTTATGTTAAAAAAAAATCACTCGGATTTTAAAAAGAAAATGCAGTGGTATGAAAAGGTTTTACTCTTGTTTATGTTTAAGCATGTCTTGGTAAGCCAAGGTCACATATCTTCTAACATTATTTTACCAGCACTCTTTAATTTCATATATTATTGGTAAATGTAATTATCTAATGTGTAATATATCAATTTAATGTAACAATGAATGCTTTTATGTCATATGCTTTTGTGTTAGTTCGATAACATTGCTGACATCTAGAATATCTGTTAAAAAATATTAAGCACCTAACAGAACAGTTAGAGTCATGGCTTAAGAAATGATATGATATGATTGAACAGTCAGTTAATGAATATTGCTATTTTGGAATAGTCTAAAATATGTCTTTACTTCAATCATAATATTTCCTATCACAACAAGGCTTTTATGTAAAGTCCTAACCATTTATGCTAGAAATATTCTTTTATTCTTTTTGATAAAATAAAATATGTCTTATGATAAACGCTTATGTCATGGGCTAGAATACTTCCTCTTTTGCAGTATTTTAAATGATATATTAGCAGTATTTTTCAACTTAAACATAAAAGACTGCAGCATCACATGAATGTAAAGTGGGAGAGACTGAACAAGTTTTTTCTTTATTTTTAATGATTACTATTTATTCACATCATGAGTAAAATGTGGAGTAAGAGCACAAATGAAATACGTGTGATTTATTGTGATGTTGAAATAAAATATTAATGTCTAGTCAACTCCAACAGTGTTTCAAATTACTGGTCTTTAATTTTTTTATTGTATTTAGTCAAATAAATTTGGATAATTATCTTACAGCCTTTTTTTATACTAAATTACCACATACCAATTACACTTTAAAAAAAAAATATTTGTAAAAATTCTCCAACCATTCTCCGTGCTAAAATGGTTTAGACCATATTTTACTGGATGTTTTCTTTTAATTGGAGGATTACATTTTTGTAACAAAAAGTGGGAGTTTTATTATATTTTTTAAACTGAGCATGATGCAAGTAGAACCTTAAAACTTTAAAGAAAGAACAAGGGATCCCATTGATTTCAATAATATAAATGTAGTTAAGAATTATTTTTTAGTATTTTTTAATTGAAATTGAACACATGATACAACGTAGCAGAGGGGTTCAATACTTTATGAGGAAGTTAAAGATTCACAAAATGTAAACGTATACATTAAATATTAGTGTGGAAAGATTTTAATAGCAATAAAGTAATATTACATTTATTTACTTGAGATTACATTGTGTCTCTCATTTTCTTTTTTTTTAAAACAAATAATTAATAAAAATAGACAAATTGCAATTTTTACCAAAGCTGGCTGAATGCTTGATATCCAATTCAGCTAAATGCAAAAATTTGTCCTTATCTTTATAAGGAGAACCAACCAAATCTCTGTTGAAATTCTCATAACCCCTATTTATTGCCATAAAACAGATGGTGTGGTCAAATTAAATTTATACGGTAAGAAATACTTTCTGCCTCAATGTCTACTATAGTTTGTTACAAAAACTTATGAATTCCCTTAAAATAAGCGTTATTATAATATGTGGATGTATACACAAACTTTAGTTTTAATTATAGTGAAAAAATACAATTTTTCTTTACAAATGTTAAACATTAACTATTTCCATTTTGGGACTGTAAAGTAAATTTGTAATTATATAGTTAAAATTCCAAAAGCAAAACATTTAGCTTACTATGTGATTGACCTTCAAGAAGTTCATCACAATTTTTTGGAACACAATAACATTTTACAATTTTAAAAATAAATTCTGTCTTTGCTTTAACCTTAAGGTTAGACTGTTACTTCATACATACATGTATCATGTAAACATTATAAAAGTGCATTCATTAAGTAAAAGACATTTATTAATATAAACCAGTGGTCACCAGGGACTCCGCTGTCGCTCCAGGAAATAAAATTAAATGAAACTTGTCATACATGGTTAAAGGCTAAAGTGCTCCCCCAAAGAATTTGATCGTAAAAAGGGCTCTGCAGGTCAAAAAGGTTGGGAACCACTGATATAAACAATTATTTTAATGAGTAAAATTTCTTATACAATGTTTATGTTAAAAAAGATTTATATACCATTACAAAGAAATTGATTATACATTTTACATAAAAATATCTTAATTAGTACATCCTGAAAGCTTTGTTGTTATTAGTTCTTTAAAAAAATGTCAGCAGTGGAAGTAAGCTCTCCAGAAAGGCATTCCAGTTAAAAGATCAAGCAGGAGCAGAAGCTTGTTCTGGTTTAAAATCCTGTCTAATTATAAAGTTAAATACAGTTAAGTGAACAATATTCCATTAAAAAAAATATGGTGCTGGGCTTCAGGAGTTATATTTTTACTGCTTTCACCAGTCTTTACATTTCATTAAAAAAAGGGGCAGAATTATTGCTTTTGCCATTTTTTTTTAAAAAAGCATGGGGGGGGGGGTGTTTAAACATAATACAATTGGTAAGTAAGAATGTACACTGGAAATGTTGGAAAAGACAGCAATCCCGTACATGTTAACAGCTATGTCTAACTCAAAAGCAAAAATAACATGAACTTCACATCATTGTATCTTTTTTTTTGTTTCATTCAAGTTTGACAAATTCTGTGATAAAATGAACTTACTAACAAGGTGATTTTAAAAAAGAATATAAAAGTTTGACAAGTTTAATAATTTACATGACATTACAAGCTTTTGAGGACTTCTGATCTGTCTTTGCCCGTGCTTCCTTGGCTTCAGCCTCCATCTTTTCCTGCTTCAGTCTCTGCTGCTGCTCATATTCTTTGTGCCTTTCATATAGAAAAATATCTCTGGGGAAACAATGGAATTATGCTACACTTCAAACTAGAGACATACTGAATGTGATTTTGTATGTTAGGCCAAAACCAAACCAAAAGTTAAAAATGACTTAGGCCAAAATGAAACCAAAAGCTTAACAAGTTTTTCAGCCAAAACCGAAAGATTTAAATACTTCGAAACTCATTTGCACTTGTTTGTTGTACGTCAAAATTTGGGAAAGTATCGATATTTATATTCTTTTTTAAAAAATTGGGACTATTGTACATTTTAATAGATAAACATCTAATGAATACTTTGGCTTTTACCATTTGAATTAAAAAGTAATTTTAGTTGATAAAAATATTTTTTAAAGTTGTATGGTACGAGAAAATTTTGACCGGGGTGGGGGCGGCAAAATAGACGCTTGGGCCCCCTTTGCTTTTACAATATACTTACAAATTTGGTATCGATTGAAAGCTTAAACTATTTATCTTTTATTGGTATGAACCACTAAAATGTCCAGACATAAGCCTTGAAGGAACTCTTTGTCCCGCTAACCCATACATTTTTGTTGAAACTCACACTCTTATTGGTCGACATTTAAATTTTTCATTTATCTGCAATTACCATTTATCGGTTTATTTTGTATTTGACCCAGAGTAAACAAAGGTTGGACGATAGTTGAGCTACGTTTAGTTTAATAAACTACTACATAATTATTATATGAAATAGTGTTACATGCACACCTGTGTGTAGGCGTATGATTTAAATTAAAGGCTATTTTATGCCAAATTATACAAAATTGAAAAAAATAAGTATATTTATTTTAATATTACTAAAGTTTTCATTATTCTCTTTCTTTACATTTGTATCCAAAGACGTGACTAATTTTGTGGAATATTTTATTACGCCAATGACAATGTTTATCTGCATGATAATGATGAATTTCAATAAATGAATGAAATGAATAAGTCTAAGGTTCCCTAATTGTAGTAGAGTGGTGACGTGGCTTACAGTTTAAATAAAATCACAATAAAACAATCAGGTCTGAGAACTATAGCTTTTTAATGTAAGGTACAATCCGTTGACAGAGCCGACAGGAAAATCTCTCACACCTGCCGCCGACCCGACGCATCCGTTGCACATCACAACCTCAAAATGTACACACTCCAAGTCCCAGTTCACCCCCCCCCCTTTATATAGCACACAGTCACAGGGAACCCCCGTCCCGAGCTGACCATGGGTCAACCCCGGGGCAGGGATGGTTATTCCCGCATATAAATAACCAACATAAAATTTAAGGCCAGTACAGAGCTGTGTGTAACTTTAAATGACCATGGATGTGTACGAGCTTGGGCGTTACCCATAGCAGCCACACTATGACTATGAGAGTGGATTCTCTTGCATCTGTTGCATACTGCCGAAAATAAAATGTTACCTAAAAGCAGTTGCAAATAGTGGCACATTGCCACATATTTAAAAAATAAAATGCAAATAATAATGAACATTTTGCCATTCTTTTGGATTTTTTTTTCACCTTTGCCTATGACAACATTTATGAGCATGATAATGATAAATTAAAATGAATATTACAAATAAATGAATTAAATAAAGCTAGGGTTCCAAAATTTTATTTTTGAAGAAATAAAAATAAAAATTATAATATAATTATTAGCCTTCCATTCCCTTTGTTTTTTACACAAAACTATTTACCTTTGGCTAAGCCTAACTAAAATTTTATTTTTGGAAATATTGGACAAGTAGGTCATCATGCAGCTGTGAGAAGTGTTCACAGAAGATTTATGATGTGGAATAAGATGACAGCAAGAAGTCGAGCAATAATGAATATCAGATTGCCTGCCGACAGACAGAGTGACATTCTGACTTCTAGTCTGTTTTTGCCAAAGCTATGTTGAAAGTGATCAAATGGCAACTTTCAGCACCAAAACCGAAATTTGGTTGGCCTCTACTTCAAACTTTTTAAAATGTTAAGTTAAAATTACAAAAAACTTAATTAACAAGATAATTTAAAAAAAACACAGTGATGACTATTATCATACCTTTCAGCTTTTGATAGTTTTTCCAAGCTTATATTCTCCTTTGCTACCTGATTAGATCTATTGACATCCATTAATTTTGAATCACTAGGAAATGGATTCGCCTCACCTATTTGTTCTATTATTATTTAAAAGAAAACAAAAAGTGATTTATTAAGTAATTTAAAATACTTCCATATAGTACATTAAATGTTAGTAAAAGATGAAAGTAAGTTGGAATTTGCTTAGGTGATTTAGTGATTTATTTTTAATAAAATAAATTTTAAGCAAATCTTTAAAAAAATCTGGTTAATCGGGAATTCAAAATATTAATAAACTTATTTGAATTTACACAAACTATACATTTTTAAAATCCAAAATAACATCTCTTATTTCCTGAGTAATAGCGTCCTTAGACAAATACAGTTAAAAATTACTTACAAAAGAAATCATAAAACAAATGAAAAATAAAAACTAGCACTATATGAAGTAAATGGTTATTGTGTGCAAACCTTAGAAACATAATTATTGCATTGTTAATGATAAGAAAATGACTTAATAATAAATAAATGAACCCGAGGTGTTAAATATCAATTAGTAGCTCTTGGTTCCCCAATGATTAAACAAAATAATATTAATTTAAATACCTGTGTTATTAAACATAATTTGTTTTAGTATCATTACTAAAAATAATTCATTGTATTGCTTTGTTCATAAATTGAGCTGGCCTTGGTAAGATGCTTAGATTTTGGTTTCATTGCATTTCATTGAAGTAATGTAAACAAATTTTATCCAGCTGTTCATATTTTGTAAACATATCATAAAGTTTAAAAATGAATAAGGGGAAAAAATACTTGCAATATTATTTATTAATACTAGAAAAATAAAAATAAAATATTAGCCAAGCACTTTGTTCTTTTGTATAACAGAAAGGAATTATACAAAAATGATTTAAAGCAGATTCTTTTCATTAAAGTCATCTGAAGACTTTAAGAGTAGTTTACACAAAATAATTATAATATCTTTTGAGGAGACTTAATGACAAAATAAAAAAATTCTATCCAAAGCAAATTTCAGACTAGCTCAAAGAAGGAAAAAAAAAATGATTGGTGTATTAAGGAAGCATAAGGAAATGTATTTAGTATTGTTGTATGAAGGTACTGTTTATGATTATTCAAAACATCTCTTCCTTTTTTATGGCCAAATTCTTGAGTAATTATTAATGTATACATGAATAGATTTTAAACAAATAAACGTGCATGATGATAGTTTAGTAAAAACAAAAAGATTTAATAAAAAACATTTAAAATCTTAGTTCAAAATGGGAAAATAAACGTTCCTATTTTTACCTGGTGACACCTCATCATTTTCACCTACTTCTTCATATATTGTTTGAGACATGCCTGTACCAGTCCGTATTTCGTCATCCTCAGAATGGAAGAAATTCACACTGCTTGATGGTCTTTTAGTTAAAGTCAGTCTCTCACCTTTGTCTTTTTCTTTACTACTGGTTGCTTGTGAAGAAAAGTCAATAGTTTCATAGTGCAGCTCCTTTATGACTGGAACTTCATATGTCCCTAAAGGTTTGATTTCAGTAGCTGGTGGTGATGAGCTGGGAACAGGGGGTGAAGGGTTGCTAGGCAAGAAATGATTTTAAATTAATTATTGTGATGTGTCCAGTAGTGTATTGATTCTAATTTTTAAAAATGGATTGAGAAATCATCATTACAATAAAATTGTTTGGTAAATCCATAATTTCTAGACTTTTAAAAATATTCAATAACATGTTTATAGTTAATTTATTTGAGTTAAATAATCACAGATTTAAAAAAAAAAAAGAAAACAGAAAATATAGTCTATCTTAGAATTCGATACTTAAAAACCACTCAAAATTCATAATTAAAATAAGTACAAATAAAATAATTTCAAAGTGTGATGAAGTTTAATATTTTTTTTCCAAGTTATCTATAGCCTAAATTTAATAACTTAAGTCAACTGTTTACTTGACTTTTCTGGATGAATGTTCATCTGAATCACTTGAATCACTTGTTTCTTCCTGCTCACTGCTTCCTTCTGTTTCAGTTTCAGACTCATTCTGATCAACAAATTCTTCTTGCTATAACAAGAAAAGACAACAGTTAATCAAGTTAAAGAAATTTACTTTTACTTTCAAAAACTGACATAAGCTTTGGAGCAGATGTCAGGGCTAGAATTGGGAAGGCTAAGTCAGCATTTGTGCTGTCAAAGAAAATATGGGAGTCAAAGGAGCTTACTCTGCAAACCAAAGACAGAATTTTCAAAGAGCCGAAAATTGGAAAACAACAGCGAGCATTACACAGAAAGTACAGACCTTCATAAACACTTGCCTTAGAAAGATCCTGAACATCAAATGACCAAACGCCATCACCAACAAAGACTTATTGTAAATAACATACTAGGGTAAAAGAAAGAGATGAAGGCCAAAAAATACATGGAGATGCGAGCTAGAGGCAGACACACAAAGTATGGTTTACACATGGAAGCAACTGGAAAGGAAAGCGCTGGACCTAGCTGAATGGAAAATTCTTGTAGATGGCCTATCCCCCAGATGGGGTGAAAGGTATAGGTAAGTAAGTAAAAAAATGGACTTACACAAAAGAAACTAACAATGAGGGAGATAAACAAAATATTTATTGGAATTATTGCAAACAATAAGTCACATCTGAGGGAAGGGGAGAGCCAAAAAAGATGAATGACTTTACGGATCCACAGCATCAGACAATTAAAAAAAAACTTTAAAACAATTTAATGAAACTTGCTATTTGCATAAACTTGTTCTCATTTATACCTTTTTTATAGCCTATAATGCTAAAGGTCAGAAAAAACAAACAACTTTAAATTATATTTATTATTTATATAATTTCTTTAAAGCATAATATTTATGGAATATCAATATGCTTTATGGTAGGTCTTTTAAATCCTATATTGACAGTAAAAATCTTTTATAAAGATGTGTTAGGCAAATGAATTCTTTCAGTTAGAGACAGGTGTATCACAAGACTGTATAACCCCTTATCTGTTCATACTTAATTGGATTTCGCTTAAAACAGAGCAATGGTGTCACCTGATTTTGAGCCTCACTTTACAGTCTTTGAATTAAATTCTATCGAGAAATTGTGCTGCTGTTGACCAGAACAGATAAATTTAGAGGGAGGAAATTCAAAAGGGCTCCAAATAATTAGGTATTAGCCTTGCTAATGCTATAAATTAATAAATAGTGGAAAAAGATATATTATCCTAATGTTATAAATGAGGCAGCATACAATGAAATACAAATTGCATAGGGAACTAAGACTAAAAGGCTGAAATAATATTTACCTCCACTATAGATTTTCCCTGGGGATTCTCTAATAACATATAATCCTCTTCCTGACCTGAAAAGTACTAATAAAAGTATTTAAGGGTTCACTTCCTTCATTGCTTCATATAACTAAATTAAACCAAGCTAAAAATTTATTCAAACAATTTTTATACAAAGTTATTGGATCTTTCAACTTTTCTGGCCTTATACACCATTTTTCTTGTGCAGAAAGGGGCAAAATAATTTGTATACCTTTAAAAATAGCTTTTTAATATTTACAGCATTGCTCACAATATACTGACTTTCAGCATGACCAATTTGGTATATGAGATTTTTAGTTTGAATATTCATCATAGTTGAAAATAATGTGGTGGTATAAATGAAGAACAATAGCATTTATTTACAACTACTAACACTAACTGAAAGGTCACAGGGGATTCTTTGGTTTGTTCTAGATTCTTAACATCTTACAACTTTAAGAAATTTAAATATATCTTAAATTCAGAGCACCAAATGTGTTAAATTTACTTTAAATGCTCCTAAAAAGTGTTTTAGCATTAAAAATATTCCTAGTGGGGGATAAAAAACATTGGTTTTTCCAGATTTAACCACAAATTATGTCTAAAGGAAAATACTGTTAGAAATAATATAGAAACATTTAAACTTTTACCATTTATTTTAGCCATGGCTTCATAAACCTGTCTTTGTTCTTCATTCTCATCATTATCTTCATTACTGGACATTTCATCACTTTCCCCTTCTTCATTCACTACTTGTTCATTTAGGTATCCAAATGATCTATAAGAGAAAGAATATTTCATGTACATTTAAATAAAACTTAACTGATTTATTGATAATTTACATTAAAGGAAATGTAATAATCACAAATAATTATTCTCTTAGTATGAATTTTTGTATAACTTTAATGCTGTGTTCAATAGGCATCAAACATACAATTTCCAGAAATTAGCACTTTTGGGTATTCCTAAAAAGTGCGTTACTTGAATGCATGTTTTGTCAAGTAACTCTAATGTGAATTTCAAATAGTGATGCCGCCATTGTTTTGCGGGTTATTTCTAGTTATATTATAAAAAATAATTACTGATTAGGGTTTTCAAATCTTTCATCTTTTTCCTCCTCAAAGTCAGAAAGAGTCTGTGCTGATAAAATTTCCACATCAGTGGCAGCATCAATCCCTTGAAAACCTGGTTTGTCAAAATTTCTGGCTGTCAAGTCGGAATCAAGTCCTAGGGCAACTTTTTGAAATTTGCGCAGAGATGCTGATTTTCTCACTCTTAAATACCTATTATCCAATTTAAAAAAAGCTAAATCATTTCTTTCTCATATTTAAGAAAAACAATTTAGATAGCTAAATACAGGTACACATTCAAAAAGACTGATTGGAAAATAATTTGAAATAAAATATATTTTTACAAAAAATAATGGAAGCTTAAAGGTCAATTTCAATTTTAAATACCATCAATTGTATTAAATAATACAAATTAAAACTATTTTTCATGCAAGAAGCCTCAAGTGGATAAGGTACAGTAAACATTTTTACCAATGATCATAATTGGCATTGTAGAGAGTATGAATAAATAAATAAGACTTTATTGTCATAAATTTAACCTACTTCACTTTCCCTTCCTTTTTTATACCAAGTAAGCCTACACTTCCATCTTGGGTAGCTTTTAGTTCTTGTTTTAAAACAGCTGTCCTTTTTGGAGAAATCTGATCTTGTTGCTAAAAAAAAACCATGAATTTAATTTTTACTGAAACATACCAAGTAGCAATATGGAGACTTGATTCAGAGTCCTGGCCAAGCTAACTAACATCCATATTCTGGATGAGGCCCCTGCTAGTACTGTGGCAACCAGCTCCATCTGTTAGGCTATGCTATATAACCAGAGCCATCATATGAGCCCTGCAAACCTATTGGTTGCAAGGGGCCTCAGATATTTAAGGGGCCCAAAGTTGGGATTCTGAAAAATTTAAACTATCAACTTTGAATGCATGACATGCAAACCAAAAAGTTGCAGAAGGTTAGCAAAAGTCATGCAATGGCTCTGCTTATAACATCTTCTGAATAAAGGACTACAATGGCTCTGCTTATAACATATTATGAACAAATGACTCTCTTGCCTACCTGGCCTCCCCAACATCAAGCTTGAGGGGAAAAGTCAGCAGGTGCGCTACTGTCTCTGGGGCCAGCATGCAATGCTGGCAGGTCGTATCCCTTTTTATGTCTAGCTTGTTAAAGTAAAAGTTAGTAGGGCAATTTTCCTATTTTCCTGCCTTACTTAATCGGTTCTTTCACAAGAAATTACAAAATAGCCAAAATTTGTGTTTGAAGCAATGTGCTTCATTTAAGAAAAATGTCATGAATTATGAACAGCAATTAAGGATGAACAACTTAAGGCACTACGTTCTAATAACTTAAATAACATGTTAAGACAGAAAAAAATAATTTTTTTACCTCTTGGACTTGACTGACTGAGCCAACTTGAACAGCAGGTGCAGATTTTTCAATCTGAATTTGAAGGATATTTGTTAATTTCCCCAAGATTCGATCTTGAATGTTTTTGTCTTTAGCATTAGGAGAGCCTAAAAAAACTGTCAGTGCCTGTTTGTAGTACTCCTGGGCACGCTTCTTAAAACCTTGATTGAAAGCCACAGCACCCAAAGATTCCAGACTTTGCCATTCTGTTTTCTTATCTCCTGATAATGCAGAACCACAATAATTGTTAAATGAGTTTTAAAGTGTTCATATCTTGATGCAAACTTCTCTTCAATATTTTAGAATAATTACCATATCAAGATTCTTGATGCTAATGAAATTTCCATTTTAATTTTAATAAAATCATCTCTTAATTCTGTTTATAAAATGCAAAAAAAGCTATAAAGTTAGCAATTGATTTTCAATGATCAGATTAATGAAAACTATGAAAAATAAAAAGACAGATATTAAATAAATATCTGAATGCTGAATTTCTCATTTACCACAGTCCCTTGAGGCTTGCAAAGCATGTTGGAAACATTCCCCAGCTTTTTCCAATTCATTCAGTTGACTGTATGAATAGCCCATATTAATGAAGCAGTGACCTTGGCTTCTATAATTTTTAAGTTCAACTGAAGAATAAAAAATAGAACATTATAAAAAAAACTTACACAAGTCTGTTTCAGCTTCAAGACTCAATTGAATGAAGAGAATACTATTTCATTTTTATAGTCATTTTGAAAAGTGGGGCATTTCCAATAAATAATGATAAAATATAACTTTTAAAAATAAATTAAAATTGTTCATAATATCTCTGATGCAAAACTTTGGTATGCTTCTGAGTCCTAGAATCATTTGTTTAATTAGTAATTATATTGTATTATTTCATTTCAAAGATGTTTACATTTTACTTAACCATAAATAGTTAAAGAGTGAAACGAAATAATCATCACCATGTCTTTGAAGGGCATCTTTGTGATACCTCAGTGCCTCTTCACATTGTCCTCTTTGGTTGCAAAGTGCTCCAAGATTCTGATAAAGGACCGCTGCCAATTTCGGGTTAGTCATGGACACTGGTTGTAAAGCAGCTTCATAGCACTGCCATGCCATATCATAATTTTTTAACTGACAGAATACTAATCCAAGTTCATTGAAGAGTTTCCCTAAAATAAAACATTAATTTTAACAGATAGGTGATTAAATGATGTGGCATTATAATCCACGCCTTTACAAAACAGCATTCACCACCCAATACTCTCGTGGAATTCGACCTCGGGGTAAGGTTATAACAAAAGGCCATGAATGGTGTCTCCCTCCACCGTTATACCAGGCATATTAAGAAAGCATTTTTGTGCTATTTGTATAGGTTCTTTTCTAGTTAAACATTATTACAATAATATAATTTTAATTGCCATTTGTATAACACTTGTATTATTAGTTAAGTATATTTTGTCATAATCTGTAATTGCTGAGTTATTTAACATGTTTATTGTTAGCTGTATAATTCAATGTTAGGCAGGACTTATTAACTTGTACTATTTGTATCTTTTCAGATATTGTCTTTTTTCTTACGACTGTTTGTTACGATTTCTTTTAGGATCCATTTTCTTCTATCAATCCTTTTTATACAACACTGATAGAGCCAAATAAAGGCTATAGTCCTCAGGCTGGAATTTATTGAGTTTATATATAAAACTGTCTCTTCACCACTCAGCTACAGTTTTTGGTGCTGTGAGTAGGATAAAAGCGAGATGACAACCAACACAATCACACACCCCTTACTCCGACCACAGGTTTCAATAAAATAGACAATAAACAAAATAGTTTTAAATTTCACTAAATAAAATTCAGAGAAAATGCTATAGGCATACCAATATTTTCTGATGGCTCTAAGTTTTTTGCAGCTTCCATGCACACATTGAGAATTTCTTGTGTCTCATCAATTTTTCCCATCTTTTGCAGCAGATTAGCTCTTTCCACTTGTGACTGATTTCAATTAAAGGATATAGAATTAACTGATGTATAAATTAGTGATAAAGTTCTGGTTATCTGTTTTCTAAAGAAGGCCAAAAAGATCCTTGATCTACTTGATTTCAGCAGTCAATATATATATAAAATATATATATAAAAAAAAATATATATATATATATATATATATATATATATATATATATATATAGGCTGCGACTATTCCCACCCGGGTATCAGAAGTGGGAGGTTGGGATTAAAAAAACTATTTAAAATATTATTGTTGGGTTTTTAAGACAAAATGGGGTATCAAATGAAAGATAATTGAATGGAATACATGTTTGTAAACTTACTTCTTCAGTTTAACTAAAATAAACTGCCACAAATGACATCCAAATAGGATTTAGTCTAAAGAGACCCAGGTCCAAAATTAGGTGAGATGTGGGTGATGTGAAGATTAGTAAAAAAAGGGCTACACTTTCAATTTAACATTTGCTATAGATCCTTGAAAAAGTTTTTCTGAAGCAATAAACCTTTATAACTTATAACATTTTTTTTTCAAGGTTATATAAATAGACAATGTAAAGTCTCTCACTTACTATTAACTGCTGTTCATTTAGTCCAAGGTCCTTGTAAATCTGTATGAGTTGCTTTAACCAACTTTCTGCTTCTAAAAATTGACTGTTAGAAACACAAATCTTTCCTAGTCTATGAATTGTGTCAGCCTCCATCTTTTTATTGTTTTCTTCTAATTTATACTCCTTCAGAGCTTTTTCAAAATAATTCTTGCAGTCAACCAGTTTACTCAGGCCTTCATATGCAAGCCCAAAGTTGAAATACAAGTCCCCATTGGACCTACCATCACGGCATCCATCAGGTGGCACCTTTTGGATTGAAAAGTATTATTACACTTAATAGATGGATTGAAAAAAAATCAAATAACTTTTTAAAAACAATTACCGGTATAAATCATAAATTATATATTAAACAAAAAATAAACTTTCAGAAAATAATAGCCTCACTGCTTGATGTAAGTAATGCAGGCCATCAGTAAAATTTCCAGTGTAAATGAGGGCAGCTCCTAAATTGAAAGCACAAGCTCTCAGCATATAGCCTTGGTGACCAGCAGAAAAAACACTGTGGTATGCATATCTGAAGGCTTCCAGAGCTTTCTGATGCTGTCCATGATGCAGCTGTAAAGTGCCCAGTTTTGAAAAACGTTCCACCTCCTCTGCCATCATGCTATCATCTTTGTCTAGTGTCATTGCCTTTAATATCTGTAAAGATCAAATAGAAACATTTCAAGCAAATTTTTTTATAGAGGATTCAACTTAATCTGTTTTATTTTGGAAACAAGAACAAGTTGGGGAACAAGTAGAGAAATTTGTATCCTGTCATTTTGAGGAAATAAAAGATATGTGCCTAGAGGAGATAAAATGAATTAATGATCTGCACATTTTCATGCTATGATGCCAACCAAAAACAGCATGTCATATTTGAAATTCCAGCCTGATACAAAACTAAGAAAATAATTCAAGGAACAAAAGAGTAGGGTATTGTTATCATGTATTAAACTATCTGATAAAATATGAAGAAGACTTCTTTTATTATAATTCATATGCATCTACATTTAAAATACGTAAGTATTCAACTTTTAAAATTCGCTTAAATTGCTAAATTAAAAAAAAACCATTGCCCTAGACTACCTTGCATAAAAATAAGATCTATTAAATCTATTATTTTTTCAAAAATTTGAATGAAAAATATTTCTTGAAAATTATATTCAAGCCATCCATGGGGGTCCTCATAGAGATGATTTGGAGAACCTCATCCTTATACTTACAATTATATTTAAATAATAATTATTAATTACTTACTCTGGCCACTCTAGATCTAATTATGAAGACTTTAATATATATTATACTTATTTCCTTGAAGCAAGTTGCTTATAAAATGTATAAGGTTTACTCCTCATAAATTTAAATAAGTCAATCAATTTCAATACACTAAATTATTTTTTCTACCTTGGCCTTGGTGCTTCTCAGAAATAAAAACTAAAATGAGCAATAAATAGAATTCTTTTTAATCCTTTAGTAAAGCCTTTAGTTTACTATATTTACTATCATAGTTTATGTCATCCTGCTTTCAAGCATTAGCATGACAAATAAGTAATTTTTTATGTGCTGTGATACTATCCCACCAAGTTTGTTAGTCTACTGTCTATAACTTAATCAATTATAACTATAACTATAAAACTGGCTGAGAGTGAGAGTACAAAGAAATAGTCACTGTTAGTGTTAGAGGTAAAACGAAGTCAAACTCAGTAATTCATTAAGTCTTGTGAAGTCTATAACTAAATTCTTGACTTTAAGCAACACGGTGTTAATCAAAGCCTAATTATTTGTAATTATTGATCGTGGCTTACCTTGATCGTGATATTTAGATTTCAATAACATTTCATTTTAACATTTTTACCTGTCAATTTCACAAATGTCCGTCGGCGTCGCCTACAACAATTTCAGTGTAAACTACTCCTTAGCAACAGACGAAGTGACCATTTTATTTTCTGCATTGTTTCCCTTGACTCAAAAAAAAAAAAAAAGAGTACTGGTCTACAACTTCAGAATTCAGTCCATTTTAATTATTCTTAACACTTCGTGTTCACTAATATTTGTGATCTTAATTAATTAATATTCTTTTTTTAAATCTCCTTTCATCACTGAGCCTGATTATTTGTTAACAACTTCTTTCTTCGCATTTACATCTAAGGCCATGCGAAGAGATGGGGGCGAAGGGGGACACTCGCCTTGGGTGCCGGTGGGGGCGAAGGGGGACACTCGCCTTGGGTGCCATCTTCAGAGGGCGCCAAAATCGTCATTGTTCTTAAAAAATTATATTCCCTATTTGGAAGAGTGCGCCTAAATTCAGTCTTTGCCATGGCACACATTTTATTTGTCACGGCCTTGTTTACATCAGTTAATTAATTAGAATTTATAATTACACGTTTTTCAAGCAGCTCTTACTCTTGAGACTTAATTTGTCATGGTACATTGTTAATTTGAATTGCATTTATCTGCATGCCATGCAATTCGTATAAGATTTTAAAAAAAAAGATAAATACGATTAAGGCCCAATGGATGTTGTTTGCAAGGGCTTAGTCTTACTCTCTATTTTAATTACTACTTGAGGTCAGTGATTATTTCAGAAATTTCCCCTGGGGAGCAATGTTCCCTTTAAGGTTTGCTGGTGCCTGTGCAAAATCATACAGTTGTGTGCAAAGTTTAACAGCATCAATTTTTTTTGTGTGCAAAATTTTACAGCCCACAAAACATAAACACACACTTAAATGGAAATTTGCTGCGCGGATACTGGGCGGATACTGGGCGGATACTGGGGGGCATCGCAGCTTAAAGGGAACATGGAAAAGGGGGGGGGGGGGAACGACGGACTTCAGATTGGGGGGGGGCCCTTTGTCAATGTTTTTGTGAATATGTACCAACTAGATCACCATTCTAAAAAATTTATTACACATTGAAGCTAACAATGTATTTGTACAAATGAATCATTTTGTTATATAGTATAGTAGTCCTCTGAAATAATAACCCTAAAAATAACAAATTAATTTACATGAAAGCAACACAATAATAAAAACAATGAAACAGATTCAACACTAACAGTTGATTTTTTTTTTATTTGGTCATTTACAAATGTAGTTGTGTATATCTTGCCACAGAACATTCTCACATCACCATAGATCATTATTTTTCAACCATTTCACATCAGGCACCCACAGAAAGCCAAAAGAAAGCAGCAACACAAGTAAGAACACATGACTCTTCTTCCTGGCCCTTAAAAATACAACAAAATAATGATGAAGGGGATGGGGGGAACAAATATCCATCCTCCAAGCAATCACAATGCACTTAGAATTTTCTTAATTTATTTTTGTTTGCTCAAATTGACTGCAGACTATACAATGACATGAAACCTGTCTTGTCACTACAGAAGTATCAAATCATATTATTAATTGAAATGTCCTGCTTAACTTGCAAAGGGGATACTGAAGAAAATAAAGCAAGCACCGAGAAAAAAAAACAAACAAAAAAAAAAAAAAAAAAAAAAAAAAAAAAAAAAAAAAAAAAAAAAAAAAAAAAAAAACCACGAAAAAAAAAAAAAAAAAAAAAAAAAAAAAAAAAAAAAAAAAAAAAAACAAAACCAAAAAAATGGGTCAAAAACAATTTGGCTTAAATTGATGTTTACATGAGACACATTGGCAGACAGGATGCAACCATTCTGAAAGACTATTGGCAAACATTTGTCCATGTCTGAAACAAGCTGGTTCACCAAAGCCCTAGTTATGATCACACACAAAAAAAACCCACAATGGGTAGATGAATTATAATGAACAATGAGATGTCTTCATAATAAAATTATAAATACCAGGCAAATAAAGATGAACATAGGGATTCGAAAATTTAATAATCCTTCATTCGGGCATATACATATTTATTCTATGCACGTTATATAGTCAATTTACACATTTGTGTGATGCACACAAACATTTTTGTAATCCTATATAGTGTAATTATAAAAATAAAACAATTAGGGTTTGGAAAAATAACAAAACTTGATTATTTGTACTAATAATTTCATACATCGCAAGGCCTACTTCAACATATATATTGTTTTCTTTAATAACAAAGAGAGAAATGCCTTTAAAAAATAAATTAACAAGTGTAAGGTTGGTGTATGTGTGTACAAGTTTTGTTTAGAAATAATAAGTAGAATGATATTTATTAGAAATATAACACATAACAAAAAGATGGCAAAGTAAAGAAACTTTAAAGGAGATTCTTTTAATGTCCAACAAGATAAAAAATAAATTACTGTCTTGTTTTTTTATAAAGAAAGTTTTTCTTCAATCTAGATTCAACTAAATCAATTCTATTATTTTCTTTTGCGGTTTTCAGAAATAAATTTATCTGCTGATTTTTACCCCTGATAACTAACTATAACTATAACTAACTATAGGAATATCTGTTGACATTATGCTGATTGGATACTTGGGTAACCTCAGGGACCTGCCTGCTTTGCACTGACTTGGGAGTCAACTTTGGAATATTTTTCCATTTAAGGTTGGGATACAATGTATAAAAAGATCTAAATAAAATAAGTCTAAATAATAAAAATGGCTAAGTAAATTTTAATATAATCATGAAACTCCAAGTAAAAGCATAATTTTTAAGCTAAAGCATTTTGAGGGAAAATTTGACAGGTTTAAGATTTACAGCTATTTAAATTATCTGTGACCAGAAACAAAAACATTCACATTTAATCACATGCAGTCACACAGAAAAAGAACATGGGACTTAATTTTTTAAAATATATTAATCACTATGTAACATACAAAGTCAAATTTAATAAGTGTGCAGATGAAAAATATCTCAGATGAACTACAAATTAAAGTTGAATATTATTAACTGAGTATCATAGTTCAAAAAGAACTTAGTTAATATTAATAAGAATTGTCTATATTTATAGAAAATCAATTAATGCTCTACAATGGTGATTTTCTGTCTTAATAGTAGATTTTTAAATCAAATAAATATTTTTAAAAAAATGCACAAACATGACTTCACCATCCTTGAAGAGATTGCTGATATACTATTTCATTGAACTGAAGATTTAAACAAGATAACCTAACAAAAGTCTTGCCAAAATAAATACAGGAAATTAGTTGGGTATAAAAATAGAGAAAATAACTTATTTCCCATAGCTCTGGAGCTTTTCCAAGTAATATTTAACCTGATTTTTTAAAAGCAATTGATATTTAAATTAGTGAATTTTACAATCTCTGATCCCCTTGGCACTTTAACTAGAGAAAAAAAAGCTTATAATAAAATTTATGCAGTCGAAAGTAGATTTTAGATGAGGATTCAGGACACAACTCATCTACATACAAAAAAAAAGTCTACAGAATCAATCTGCATAATCATCAGTTGTATGCAACACTGAGATGGACAAGTTACTATCCGCACTTTGCCATGCTGCCTTGTCATATCAATGGCAGATCTTATTTTCTCCAATGTTTTTCTTAGCAGAACAGGACCTATTAATTTTTTGCATGACTGGAAATATTGTGCAACTAAAACACTTTAATATCACCAACAGGGAGTTATTAGGTTTAGGAGTTGACAATATTTTTTGTTGTGCTTGCTCTAAATTTAACAACTTTCTATGGGATTCTGTTCTACATTGATCTAATCATAATAGGCCCTTATGGCCCCAATTTGACTTAATATCTTGGTTGATATCTGAAGCAGGGAAAAAAAGAACAGCATATGGACAGACATGACATTACAAAGTGATAATCAACTGTCAACATTTAAATGACTAATAAAGCAACACACTTTCAATAACTTTCTAATCATAACTTTTTTTTTTTGTTGGATTAAAATTAAGGCCCTCTTGTTTATTCATCAGATAAAAAAAATAATTTATTGTGCACACACAAACGTACATGAGCCAAAGCTGCTTATTAGTTATTGTCCTAAAATTTATTGAAACAGAGAAGTTAAATAGGATTTAAATTAATGTTGGCAATGCTTTTGGATTTAAAAAAAAAAAAAAAGCAAATCTGTGGTCTTGAGTTTATACTGAAATGTAAAATTTGTACTCTTATGCTGTAAAACAAAATGTACATGAGAAATTTGGAAGAACATGTAAGAATGTTGAAGCTGATTTTATTTTAAAATTCACAATTAAAATCACACTGAACTTGTCTTTTATATTTTAATAACTTAGCCATAACTGTTTAAACCCTTCAAAATACTTATATAATTCCCCCCCCCCCATTCATTCTGGATATTTGCACCCTGTTGATCATACATAATGAAATGACATATTCTTTTAAATTATCAAATTTTTTTTTATAAAAGATATTTACATTTATTTACTTTCAAGATGAAGGTTCTGTGAAATTCTTTAACACATACATATGCACACTAAATTAAATGTGAGACCAATTTTCTGTCTATTATTTCTTGGACATTCATAATGTTAACAAGTAGGACTCATTTTAAAATAGGTACAAAGCACAAATTTGCATATTTCTGATACTCCACACATAAAAACCATGAAATGTTTATTACAAGGAATTTTTTAAAAAATGACTTCATAAACAAATTACGAATGAACTTTCAACATAAATTCAACTTTATAAAATTTCCCAACCCAATGTGTGGGAGAACATAAGCACAAACATATGGGCAAATAAAAAGTGAGATTAAAATGGCTGATTCTTACCACATACAAGTTAATCAACTCACAAGTGTCCATTAAAAAATCAGCAGAAAAAAATTGGGAAATTTGAGACCAATAAATTACAAGCTTATAGGGGAAGTGTAGTAAAGTTTGCTTAGACACACACCTAACTTATTTTGTTTTTGTTGGGATAACAAAAGCTATGTTTTGAAATGTACCTAAAAGTTCATAAAATGTCATTTATAAGAAGAAAAGAAAAGCTTGTTGTACTTGATAGTCAATAATAATGAGGGAAAAAAAATAAAACAGAGATATTTATGAATCTTCAAGGTGTCTAGGTAAACTTCCCCCAAAAATAATATGGAAAAAAAAAAAAAAAGTAACATGATAATTCATCTCAATGGCACTATTGCATTTTAGTTCAGTAGGAAGAAAAGGTGCGGCACAGATATTAATTTATATTGTAATCTACATTAAAAAGTCCTAAAGCGTTTATTTTTAAAAAAGAAAGCAAATTATCAGTATAAAATAATGGGCTTTAACTAAATTTGCATGACCATGTGACAAAAATATGAACACATGGTATGTGATAAAACAGACATCTGATATTAATGAAAATTTTTGAGTCAATAAAGCATCTTGAATTGTCAAAGTGAAGATTGCCATTGTCGCATTACAAAAGAATTATTTGTTTAAAAAAAAAGTTGGTGAATTTGGAGTGGGTTTGTTGGTGATTCCGTTTCCAAATGTTTGACACATTCTTCTGGTGATTGTAACTAATTCTACATGATGTCTAGTGAGATATGCATTCACAAAAAATAGTTAAATATTCTTTAAAAGTGGGATGATGAGTGCAAAGCCCTTAATTTTTGCTTATCAGAGCAATAACGCATTTGTAAATTAACAATCCAAATCCACGTGAGATGAAAAAAAAAATAATAAAAAAATAAAAACAAAAAAAGACAACTGTTGCCCACTTTCAACTAGTTATAAGCTACAAGCTTGACTCCAATATTTACAACCTTTTTTTGGAGAAGGGAAGAGGGGGGTCACTTGAACGGGGAGGAACAAACATGACAAATAAATGAAGAAAAAATTAAGGTATGTACATTAACATGCATATGTTTAAAAAAACACGCAGCGACTGAGTCACATCAGGGGGGGTAAGAGTAAGGAGACGTAGAGTAATGGATTAACATTATCTTGCTAAACCTTACTGATTCTTAAATTTTTTCTTTTAAAATTTGGTTACAGGTTAAAAACTTGCATTTAAAAAAAATATATTGTGTAAAAAATGTGACATAAGTATTAAACATTATTAATAAAAAAATCTTCCTTGATTTCCTGTAACTAACAATTTTCTGAAATAAGTGTCTTAACAATACATCTTTTAAAGTTCTTAAACTTTTTTTTAAAAATAAAAAATGCTTTTTTCAATTATAGCTTTATATTGTGTTTTTGTTTGATCTATAGTGTGTAAAAGAGGGTGGATACAGCAAAACTTTTAAAAGAAATAATTAAAAATCTGTGAAACCTGGAATTAAAAAAAGAAAGACTGGAATGAATCCCTACTATTGTACAGTTATATCTTAAATCAACCTTTCTAAATATTACAAACTGAGCTCTTTGAGAAGACCAGAATGACATCATCAGATTCACCTTAAAATTATTTTTTCTAAAAGCTTGCCAAATTGTTATTAGCTGAGGTTGACCACAAAAAAATCATCATAAGAAGGTTTGATTGACATGTCCCCACAGGGCCCCGACCCCTGGTGAGGGGGACATTATAGGAAGCTGTGGTGGAAACTGATCATCTCTAACACTGGGATAAATATGGGGGCTTTCAGCTGAGGTGCTGTCACAGGATAACTCAGGTGAATTTAATGGCTTGGCATCCCTCTGGTGACTCAGTGCTTTACGTCATTTCTGGCGCTTTGATTTTGCCCGTGGTCTTGAATTTTTCCATCTGAAGCAACCACAGCACCTGTGGAATTTGTAAACAAAAAAATTTAAATAAAAGATATGCTAAATTTTGTGCAAATGTGACTTTATGGATAGTAAAACAAGCAAGCAACAACGAAGAGAAAAGATAGCCTTTATACATTTATTTATACGGGTAAATTGAAGGCCTTTCAATTAGTTAATCTAAAGTTTAAAAAAATATTTTTTTAAATAATGAAGGACTTGAATACTTTCATAGTAATATTTTAAATAAGCTATAATTTTTTTAATTCTCAAAACCTTGCTATTTAGATTCATATTTATTACATTATTTTTAACAACAAAAAGAAGAAAAAAAAGGTTGTGTTAATATTTTAATGCTCATAATTAATAAGTAATTCTTAAAATTCAGTTTATGTCCTGAATAAGTAAATAATTGAAAAGAGGAATGTCATTTACCATTTAAAAAAATCTGAAGGCTATAAATAGTTGATTATAAATTTTTTATAAAAATAAAAGTTAATTAAAAATATTTTTGAGAAAGAAAAGCCATTTCAAAGTCTAATTAACAAATAATCTGAAAGAAATAATGTTTTTTTGGATTTATCATTTTGGATATAATATTAAATCAATATTTGTGTTGAGTATTAGCTGAATGTGTATTATTTTCATGTAGCAAAACATTAATAAAGCCTGTATAAAAATGTAATAGGACTGAATATAATAAACAATAAGAGTTATTTTTTAAACATAAAAATATAGCACAAGGTAGTTATTTTATAAAGAAGTTTTTAACATTTTTTAACAGACAGAATGAAAACTCCAAATTCTCCTCTGGGGAGCTTAAAATCATAAAAACTGTTAACTTTTATTAAGTCTCCATGATAAATAATCCTACTTAGAATTAAGATAGGAAATCCCTTTTAATTTCTGAGTCACAATAACAGTGCTAGCTGTAACTTTATAATAGGTTCTAACTGAATAGATGAACACAGACCATGTTTTTAACTGCGGCGACCCTTCTTCTTCTTGCGACGGCGGAAGAAACAGCACCTGCAAGAAGACAGAAGTGGACGTCCAGAGGAAAAAACAAGCTCATTATTGTGGGTAAGGGTAACTTAAAGAGTAGAGTTTTCATGAGCTTCAAGGTCCATAAACAAACAGAAAGATTAATCTGGGCATGACTTACGACTTTTCCTTTATGATGAAACACTTTTCAATTTTGCAACAACAAAAAAAAAAAAAAAAAAAAAAAAAAATTATATAAATTTTAAAAATAAAAACAAACAGAAAAATTAATCTGGGCATGACTTACGACTTTTCCTTTAAAATGAAACACTTTTCAATTTTGCAACAACAAAAAAAAAAAAAAAAAAAAAACAATTCTATAAATTTTAAAAATCATTACCTACAACTTATCAGAAAGGTCATCAACATGTTGTGCCAACGTGTTGTGACCTTGTTGCCACAACATTAACAAAATTTAATAAAGTGTCTTAAAAAAAAATTGAACTAGAATTTAATACGTGAACCAAATAGTGGTAACGTACTTGGTCTCATCAGGGATATCGACCTCAGGCTGTGCAGTGATAGGGGTAGTAGACGGCACAATTGGGTCCTCTTGGGCTAGTTCATTTGCAGAGCTCATCACCTAAGGAGTAAGAGAGAAAAAAGGTGCCAAATATAAAATAAACATCCATTATGTGGACAAAAATGTGAGAAATATTTACAACATAAAATTTTTAAAATCTTTTTTGCTACTAATTAATTATAAATTGTGCTCATCAGATTTATGAACTACTTCAAAGTATGGTGTTACCTGGTTTGCAAAAATAATAATCTTAAGGAGTTTAAAGCAATGCATTGAAAGTTCATATACATTTTATAAATTTTATTTAGCTATAATTAATAGTAAACCAAAAACAAACAAAAATGTGTAAATATCTTCGCAGAGTTGGTATCTTTACTAAGCAGTAAATTATTAACAAAGAGTTTTTATTTAAAAAAAAAAAAAGGAACATTAAATTGCAAGCAACAAAAAGTATTCTACAAACAGTGACCAATATCACTGATGGAATGTGACTAATCCATCTTTACAATTTTGGTTACCACCACTAAGAGTGTGTTAATTGCAAGTAAACCCTAATGTTATCATGCCAGGATTATGCAATTTGTACTGGTAATATGATAAATACCCGGTAGCTAAAACATTTGCAATATTTAACATAAAGATTAACTTGTTTTCCAGAAAGTTTTATGAGGCAAAATAAGGCAGGGACAATTATAAAGTTAATTTACTTTATCCAGTAAGTTTCATAATTTAAACTCAAAGGCCTCTTAAATCTATGTTAATTGCTAAAGCCCACACTAGGCCTAACAACTTAAGTTAATTTCATTAATAGTTTTCTAAATATATATGATTTTTAAAATAATTAGTAAGTTATTTTTTAATAATTAGTATTTCCATTACATAATTTCTCATATTGGATATGGTCAACCACAAATTTCCCTTAGCACTTTGTTATGGTGGCTATTTAAAATAACTGTGAAAAAAAGCCCTGACATACATTTAACTTTAAAACAGTCTCAATATTCAATTGATGCCATGAGTGTTTTTTTCTAATAGGTCATGCAGCATTAAATAATTTTTAACATAAGCCCCTAAATCATCCTTTTTTTTTTTTTTTTTTTTTTTTAAAAAAAAAAAAAAAAAAAAAAAAAAAAAAAAAACAAAACGTAAACCATCCTTAATTTAGGGTTTATAAAAATAAAAAAAATTAATAAATGTAACCCTTGAGGGTAATACTATAAGCATATAAATTTAACATCAAAAAAGCAGCTGACACCCTTGAATTGGAAAACAACACTTAACTTAGAAAATTAAAAAAAAACAAAAAAAAAAAAACAAACCGTAAACCATCCTTAATTTAGGGTTTATAAAAATAAAAAAAATTAATAAATGTAACCCTTGAGGGTAATACTATAAGCATATAAATTTAACATCAAAAAAGCAGCTGACACCCTTGAATGGGAAAACAACACTTAACTAGCATTAAGTTTAAGAACCTTGGCAAGGAAACACTGTCTAAATATGACAAACAGAAACCACTTAAAAGACCCATCCCAGAAGGAAATAACTCGCTTCAAATCAATGTTACCATAATCTTTTCAGATCCTTGCTCCAATAAAAATGTAAATGCAACTAACATAAACATTACACCAGAGCACGTTTTTTTTTTTTGGTTGCAACATGCCTAAATTTGAAAAAGGTTAATAAAACCACTCCATTCCATAAAATTATTGAAATTGATGAATAAGATGGGCAAGAACTTTGAGACCATAGCATTTTGGGCTATTTATTTTCCCTATTTTTACTGTATCCATTTTTTTTTTGTGATAATTATTTATTTAGTTAGGAGGATGATTGACAAACTGCGAAAAGGTATTTATAAAAGTCAATTTTTTTTCCTAAGAATGCCTTCTTAGCTATCATGGCTATTACCATCTGCATATCCTTTCAAATAGATTCTACAGCTCACTTTGAAAAATAGTTTTAAATGATCAATTGAGAAGAACAACATGGTTCCTCCATGATTGGAATTTCAATCAGACCTTGATTAGCTAGCCCTATATATAAATAAGCTGCTTTTTAAGATGCAATAATCTTAAGATTTTCATTACATGGAAAAAAAATGTCATTAGAAAAATGGTCCGATGACGATGTAATGAAATGTGTCTAAATCTATGATTTCATTGCACAATGTATAAACAATGTGATGTTACTTAACAGAGTAAGGTGGAGCATTCAAACCTGGGTGTCATACAAATTATTATTAATATGTGTTACCAATTATTTTAACTCTGCCACATTTCATCTGTTTCCATCACATAATAGTTTCATCATTTCTTTAATTGCAGCAAAAGCTTTGCAAATCAAGTTTGATACAATTTTTTTTTTTTTTAAAACAACTAAGTGACAGGCACAGGTCATTCCATGTTCTACTATGTAACACCAAATGAAAATTATTGCTGACTAGTTCTTCCCTATTAGACAGAGTTGTCAAACTAATGTGCGAAATGGTGAATAAGTCATACAATAAATAATTAAAACTATTATGTTAATGAATATAATAGTTTTAATTGTTTTTAAAGAGAAAGCAAAAAAATGACCTTAAATAAATGAAATAGTGTTAAGGTACTTATAAATTTCAATAGGTCTTATGGATAATCTGTTTACAACTATTATCCACTAACCATTTGAATTTCAGATTGCATACATTTTTTAAAATCATCCATAATTTTAATTTAATGTTATTAAAAGTAGAATGGTTAATGAATGTGTGCTATGATTAAAGCACAAAAATAAGCCTAACTCTTGTACACTCTATTTCAGGAGAGGGCAAACTATGGCATGTGACCTCAACATTTGTTCGGCCTGCATACAAGTACCTTGTGCAGAGATACTAATCTTCCATCAAGCGTCTCCCCAGGTGGTGGATGGGAGAAAGCCCACAAGATATGGTGGGTGCTGGGGAAATACCTTAACCATCACAGACCAAAATCAGAACCTACTGCCTTGTAGGAAGTGGGGGGATCCACAAAGGCAAAAAAACAAAGGCAGCTACCTTGAGAGCTATAAGGGATATTCCCCCAGACAATAGTGCGCAGGGCTGACAACCCTGGCACATCAAAAATTCTAATGTCACGAAAGCAAAATCACAAACAATATTTTAGGATGTCCACCCATGCCTGGACAACAGTATGATTAATGGATGGTGGCCCGCCTCAGAGATGAATAGATAAGATATAGAATCACTTTTGCTGCACTGCAGGAGATAAGATGGAACGACTCGGATATACTAAGTAATGAGGAATATACAAAATTTTACTGTGGAAACGACACCAACACCTTAGGAGTAGGGTTTGCAGTCACAAGAGACAGTATATACAATCATTGGGTTCAAACCTGTGAGTGAAAGACTATGCTCCATAAGGGTAAGAGGAAATATGTTTAAAATCATGTTAATTTGCATACACATTCCAATAGAAGATGCAGATGACAGTATTAAGGAAACTTTGTTATGAAATAATTGAAATAATAATGGATGTGGCACCAACCCAAGCAACAAATATAGTCCTTGGAGATTTCAATGAGTGAATCGTAAAAAGAACCTGCTTACAGACCAACTATCAGAAAGTCTGCATGATGAGAGCAATGACAACAGAGCATGTCTAAAAGATTTCAGAACAGGAAAAGGAATGACCATCAGCAGCACAATATTCCCACACAAACAAATACAAAAAGCTACATGGATATCACCAGAAGGATTATCCCGTAATCAAATAAATCACATACTCATTGACTGTGAAGGCATGGCTCTGACATATTATGAAGTTTTAGAAGGGCAGACATAGACTGAAACCTTATGCTTGTAAAAATCAAATATAAACAAAGAATTTGTAACATCCACAATAAACCAAATAAAAGAGAAAAACACTACAAAAGGCAGAAGTTAAGTAGAGACCCAAAAATCAATGAGGCTTGTCAACAGAAGATTCAAACTCAACTAGAATTATACAAAAGGGAATGGGCCAGCAACATCAATATAAATAAGCAATTGTAAAAAATGAAGCAAATTGTTAAAAGTGTATAAAAGGAAACAGTAGGATTTAAACAGGCAGGGAAAGAAGAGGTTGGTATGATGCAGAATGTAGAAAGAAACAAGGCTCACAATACTTTGAAGTGATGACTAATGGCTCACATGGAGAAGCCAATGAGAATTACTATATACCACAAGGAGGACTGGAAACCAACACTGAATGAAACAAAAAGATTTGATATTTACCATGAAGATTAACAAAACCCCAGTAATAGACCTTATCACTGCAGAACTGATAAAACTAAATAGATAAGAACTGCATAGGAAAATACATGACCTCATATTCAGAAACTGACAGGAGGAAGAAATGACAAAAGAATGGGGAACGGCACTCATAATCCCAATTCACAAGAATTGCCAGTACCTGGCATATGCATACAACATAGTGCTACTGGGAACTTGAAGATGCCTCTGTTAAAGTTGTCCTGAGGTTAAGGAAGTGAAGACAAAATATATGGTAATGTCACAAACCATACATACTGCTGACAACATCAAAATAAGGTCCCACATTATTGAGAGAGTGGCTACTTTCAAGGAGCTAACAGAAAAGCAGAGAACCTGCTCACCACAAGGGAGAGAAGAATCGTCAGGAAACTATACAATCCAGTGATAGACGATGGATGTTGAATCCATACAAACCAAGGGATATATCAGTTTTATGAAGACTCATCCATAATAGCAACAGTGAAAAAAGGCAGATTGTGCAATACAGGACACCTTGCGAGGATACCGGAGCAGCAAAATTGATCTACAGGCAGAAACCTAAGGGTAGATGGCTAACTTGTCAACTTAGATGGACTGACTGAGAAGGATTTACACCAGCTGGGGGTCTGCGCATGGAGGCGGAAGGCCATGGATCAATCTAAATGGAATAATGAGGTGGAAAAGGCCAGTGCCCTACATGAGCTGTTGCGCCACAGATGATGATGATGCATAAAGTATGATTTTAACAACAAAATGACCACACACAAAAAAAAAAACTATCAGTGGCTGTTTTTTTTGAGTGTGCATATGTGAACATATCCGCAAGCTAGTTTACTCAGCATAATCTTATGTTGACAATAAAATTGGCCTTTTTACTGGTTTTCATAATGTCACTTTCTTTTTGTATGGTTTGTGTAATGGTTTGTGTGCAAATGAAGTTAATTATTCAGCATATGTAATTTTCTTGCAGATTCCAGAGAGGAAAGTTTCCATACCACTGCTCAATTTAGGTAAAAAGAAGATGTACGAAAAAGATCAAGAACCATCAAAATATTTTATGTAAAGAACTTAGAGGTTACATGCTCTGTAGAATTTACCTTAGACATGTAGAACAAGGGAAAAGGGGGAATTACATTGATCCAATAAAATACATTTTGAAGAATGTATTTTCAAAAAAAATCAACCATTTGATTACAAATAAAAGCAGATAAGAAATCTCATTTTGGTAGAATGGAGATCCAAAAAATGCTGAGGCTGTGAAGTTAAAAGTATGATATGGAAACATTTTTTATTACAAAAAAAAAACAACCTCAAAGATAACTTCGTTCCTGTCAAAATTGCAGTGTACTATTTCAGAGGATTTTTTAATCTTTTGAAAGAAGAAATGGGAGAGAAAAAAACAGAAAATTTAGTCAGATCAAATTTAGGCATAGTTAGTGAATCAATGCAAGGCATGATAAGAATGTTAAGGTATTAAAGTACAGTTTGGTGACATGGTTATTTCTAAAGCAGCATCTAACAGTTACAAAATATAACAATACTAAGGAGTTTAAAAAAAACATTTAAAAAAGACATGCTTTGAACTACTGATAAAATGAGAGGAGGGGCACATTCAGCCTGACCACCCTTGGCAAGCACGACCTACACATCACAGAAAGCAATAGGAAAATCTCAAGCCAAACTCCCCTAGTGGAGCTGAGAGAAGGAAGCCTACCTGTACAGAACCCCCATGCCTACTAGAGGCCAGGTTGTCTCCCAGATATGTGTGTCGTGGCTGTTCACCCCAGGCATGCTGACCCCTTTGATTAGAAGACTGAAAGGCAAATCAGTATGGTTAGGAGGAAAAAGAACAGCTTGTGCGATGGGACATGGGTCCCTCCTACATAGGTGGTCAGTAGTTGACAGCCAGACTGACAAACCAGGCACTAAGCATTGGAATTTGTTAAGCTGACATTCTTAAGCAGTTAACAGGCTTGAACTCTATAATTGTTACTTAGGAAAAGTAAATAGAGATTACAATTTGATTATTCTAAGGGAAGATGAGACATGATTCTTAAGAAGGTATTTAATAGAGCACTTCCAGTATGGACAAACTATCCCTTCTAGTGTTACCAAAATAATGCAACCTTTTATAATATCGAGCGGGTAGGGTGATTATGGTTCTATTAATTTTTACATCTCACCGTATTAGTGGTATTACAACTGATTTAATCTACTTTTGATATTGTAAAAAGACAATAATATTTAAATAACTACTATAATACAATTTCTATAGTAAATAATACTATAGACCTGGTTAATCTCTTTTGAAAATAATTAACTTAAATATTGTATATATATTGGAAGGTATTTTTCTGATGGTCAAAATTACTTTTGGTTCGTTAGATTCCTACTAAAAAAAAAACAAAAAAAACCACAGATAGATAAACACTTTTGTTATTGTAATATATAAAATTCAGTCATGCATGTAAATAGTAAAATGCACAACAGAGTTACTATTCTTAAACTTAAAGAATCTGGATATAAATAGGCAGACTTTAAAAAAAAATTTTGTCTTTAAATTTAAAGTTATAAGGAAAAAAAATATAAGTGGTGCTAAGGACAGTGTTGGTAATTTAGAATGACCAATAGAGTTGGAGTTAGGGGATAAACTGAGGTACAAGTAAATACCAGAGGATTTGGTGAAACAATGCACATATGAGATCAACTTATTAAGAACATTTCAGAAGTGCATGGTGATATCTGCACATTTTAAAATTTTTAATGAAAGTTTTTTAACATTTAAATAAAATGAGTCAATTTTTGTCAAAATGGGCAGTAACATCATTTCCTAGAGAGGTCAAGCATATTTCAAGTTTCCTTTAAAACATTACTTTATAAATTTGAGAATTAATGAAAATAACTAAAAAATGTGACTATGTATATTAGCATGTTTTCTCTAACATGGGCTTGACATAAAAATATAGCCTTTAATCAAATATCCAACAGAATGTTTACACCAATATTTTATAAACTATGATATGGAAGAATTAACTTATAAGAAACAATATATCAGTAACTAAATTGTACATTTTATGTTTGCATTAGCCCAATAGCATATGACTTATACATGTTCCAACCATAACATTTACAGCAAGTCACTTAGCAAGTGCAGTAGTTAAGAATTTTGTTGTCTCAAAAAAAGTTATTTACTATATAAGAACTGGATATTTTTTCCTCTTTCACATTCCTGCATTAATTTTTGAAAAGTATGTACCCCTATACTAATCTAATAATTTTTGTAAGTTTTTCTCTTTTGTTCAATCACCTGAAGGTGTGTTGATGATAAATGTAAAACTTAAATATCTAAAACGGTGCTCATTTTAATAGTGACAGCATATTGCCTCACATACGGTCCATTGCAGATAATTCCTATAGAAATAAAAGAATGAAAATACAATAAGCCTTGACTTTACTTCTTAATATCATTTGTGTAACGGCATTGTGGCTATACTTTATTAGCACATGCAGTCTATAAAATAATAGAAATTTGTCCAAACCATTTGTGCAATGAAAAATAGCTTTTTAAAAACAAAAGCTTAAAAAAAAAAATTTTAATCCAGAGAAAGAAAAAGATTCCAAAGTCCCTTTCTTTGCTGAAATATTTTGTGTGTGTGTTATTGACCAACTTTTATTCTATAAATGTTAAGTCCATTGTTTTATAATCATTCCATATTACTAACACAATCGCCCAATGTCTGATCAACAAATGTGCAATGTGATTATAATCTATTTATCTTAGCAAATATCATATGCAACTTGAGACCAAAAAATAAAACTCCTTAAACTCCTATATTTTAAATTGAACTACAAGTCTATAAATATGTCGCAATTATGAAACATTCTATTTTAAATTCATTTATTGAACAGTGATCACCAAACTGAAATTATTAGTGTTCTTTTTTTAAAATGGTCCAGTGACATAGATTTAGAGAACCAAGATATCAACTTTAAGTATCTTGAAAAGATTAGATAACAATAATATGAGACTTTCTAACAAAATAATTAGTTTAAAACAAAAAGGAGAGTTTAGCTTATTTTGAGAGTTTTCATATAAAAGAGATTTCTTCCTTTGAGCCCAACCCAAACATACACTATTTTAATTAATGATATAGAAAGACCCAAGATATAAAATTATAATAATGAATGAAAATTGAAGAAGACAGCATCATTTAAAAGACATTTAATACCCCAATTAGATTTGATTTGACTTGACTGAGATACCTGAGAATATATATTTCAAAGATAACAACCCATGTAGAATGTCTTTATAATAATTATTTTGTTTGGAATATCTTCAATAGATCATTATTCATCTGTGCAAACAATTTTCAGCATATGCTTTCAAATCTAAGAGTAAAAAATTATTTATAATTATGATTTAAAAAATAAGGAAGAATTTCAAATGAAAGTAACTGGTCTCTTCTGGATATAGAGGATTGAATTAGTTTGCAAAATATCGAAATAATAAAAGGGAATATATGTGATGTTAAATATATATTTCTAACCATCAAAACCAAAAGCTAAGAAGAACAGATTAAAATCATGGTTAGGAAAATAAACAAGCCAATTTTCCCCCAGAAACAGTTAGTTTTGAAATGGGGCGTACTTTCACTCAAGATACAGTTTTATAATTATTCACACTGTTAGCTAGGAGTCATCAGGACAGATAAAAAGTTATGCTTCTAAGTATGCAATATCTGTTGATGCAGAAATGGTAATTTAAAACAAAAATCTAAATTTTGTGCACTGGGAAGAATATTCAAGTCAGTCCATGTGGAGATTGAAATAACAAAGAGCAGAGAGCTACAGGTATATCCAGCACATACATGGCTGATGATAAAATTACCTGCTGGGCAGTATGCCTCTCTCTGCCCACGACGGGATCCCTCTGCGGAGATACAGTTTGCTCAACAACACTCTGTGGAGTGGACTGGCGATCGAAAGGCGAAGAATTATACATTTCTTTTTTAAATTTAACCCTGCTGACATACCTGTTTCTACAAAATCAATAATCACAGCAGTAATCATTTTACATAAACTAAACAAAGACACAAAATACCAGCTGAAGAATTTTTTAAAAAGCCTTCCAAATCATACTGAAGCTTAAAGTTGAAATTCAGTGCAAGAATTTAGAGAGGAGTATATTTGATTTCGTGGTTTACTGTAAACAAATATAAAAACTCAAGAGGTTTCAAAAACAAAAAGAGGGATGACTTCACAACATCTATCCCACAACATTCATTAGGAAGGTATAGTGAAATAAAAATGATTAATGGAAAGCTTTTAAAACAATCATTGAGACCAAAAAAGAGGGCTTGATTTTTTTTAACATATTCATTAATTTGAATGAACATATTTCTCCCCTCACTTGATTCAGGAGCCCTCTGTTAAACACTGTCCATTTCACCACTTTAAGGATATAGAACATACATTTTTAATTTAAAAAATGGGAGTTGAGAAATTTGCAAGATAACAAGCCAGTTCCTGAATATATGAGCTTTTGTATTGATTAAGCTATTCAGATCTATGTTTGTATAGTTTTTGTAACTACCATGATTAAAGGGACTTGACATTCTTCAAGTTTGAAATATACTTTTAAAAAAACAAAACAGCCCATTAAAATTAAGCCCGGTTAGAACTGTATGAAGTATCTGAAACTTTATATAAAGAACAGCTCAGTGAGTTACAAGGTTTATCTATTATTTAAAGATATTTTTAATTTTCCTTAAAATAAACAAATAAATAAATAAATATATATATATTGTTGGCATTAATCTAATCCTGAGCTATAATTGTTAGGATTTGTTTTCCCTTTGTTTTTGTGTCCACTTATTACCCAACTGTCTTGACATGTCACTATGCTGAGACTTTAAAATTATTTAGTCCAATTCTTGTCCGTAAAGTTTAGAAATTCAAACAGTGTAAAACTCAACACCTTTAAACAAATTTTTTATTATTTACCAAAAAAACAAACAAACAACAAAACAAACAAAAACTGTCACTGAAAATGGAACATAATACCTAAGTTTAATCAGGACAGAAAACTTGCAATTTAACTAGAAATTTAGAGAAACATGGATTTTAGTTTCTAGTGGTGTGTTTTGGAAAAGTTTGCCATAGGGAAGAATAGCCATTTCTAAAAAAAAAAAAAACCTGTCCAAGATAGACAAGAAAATTTTAAACAAATTCAAAATTAATGTCTGGTCATTGGGAGGATGGTGTCTGGTTTTGATTCACATTCACCATCACTAAAATTTCATCTTCCTCGTTACATAACTAAGAAATATAAAAGAAAAAGAAATGTATATTTAAAAACTACTAACCACCTGTCTTCCAACCCAGTCAAACTGCCAATCACATTCATATGTCATTTTATCCATAAGATCTGTAAATAGTCTCCGCAAATAATCATAATCCGGTGTTTCAAAAAAGTCCAACTTTCGAACATACCGTAAGTATGTGGCTAGTTCTTCTGAAATAAAAACAATTTTTGTGTATAAGCAAAAGTGTAGGTTATGTGTCAGGCATCACAGATATCAATCAAGCATGCTCATGAACAATTTTCAAACAAAGAAACCACAACAGGTTTGGAAAATTTACATACAATCTGATCATGGCTGATTAAAGCAAAGGCTAATCCCAAATTGTTCATGTCTAGAAAAAGTTAAGTTTTTAGATTAAGCAAAGAAAACAAATATTTATATCTTATCAATGGACAATTTTAAAAATTTGAAAACAAAAAGTTCCATTTAAAACTCCTTGGTACAGGAAACATAAGGTGAAAACTTTTTTTCATCTCTCCTCAATCAAAACAGATTTTCCTAAACTAACTGATAAAATAAGGTTTTAGATAGGATAGTGTAGCAATAGGAATTTAGACATTACCTGGAAAATTTTCACATAGAACTTCAATTGGTGTTGCTCTTTTTGTGTCTCCTATTTTCTGATATCTTTCTTTCAACGTGTCTGCTTTTAAACCCTGCCAGGGCAAGCTACCACGAAGAAAGTACATAAACATATGACCCAATGCTTCAAGATCATCTCGCCGACTCTGCTCTGCAACAGAAAGATATGTGCAACATTAATTAAAATTTATATGTAGTAGTGCTCTAGTAAGAATCTTAACGAAGCATTAGTTAAACCCGATGAAACAAGCAACATTTTGGATATTAATAGGAGCTAGAAGAAAATCACTTCTTTGTCATTAACAGTTTTATCAATAGCTCAAATTAAATAAGACAATCAGGGGTCTAAGGGACGATTGGGGTGGTTGAGTGTCATGTTGGTGGATAATTACAGCAATTAAATTTTATTATAACAATATGATATGGTACCTTTGCCAAGATGAGTATTTATACTCATGTACCGAGCTGTCCCTGTCAGGCTTTTGTGCTCTCTATATGGAATATGTTTGTGAGTTTCTGGGTCTATATATTCTTTGGCTAAACCAAAGTCAATGATGTGGATGATATGCTGCTTTTTGGTGGATTGTCTTCCTATCAAGAAGTTCTCAGGTTTGACATCTCTGTATATCAAATGCTTTGAGTGGACATATTCCATACGTGTTATCTGCAGAAAATAATAAATAATACAATGATCCCTCATCTATTGCCAGCGGTTACAGTTAGACGAAGGTCCATGAAGTAGCGACCTTATTTAATTTATTATTTATATATATTCTAAGGCTTTATAAATCCTCACCACATTCATATTCTTAGAAACCTTTCCCACACTGTATTAACCTTCCAACATTCTTATAAACACTTCCTATGCTCTTAAACACTATCTAACACTTCCTATGCTCTTAAACACTATCTAACACTTCATATGCTCTTAAACACTATCTACCTTCTTAAACCAGAGCTTTCCATATGTGTGAGTCTTTGTCTACTTATGTGATGTACACTACATATTTTATTTTGAGTAAATATTATTTTAATGTTTTAATCAAGATTTAAAATATATATTTAAATTGTTTTCATTTTTTAGACCAGAAAATGATTATTTCATCACAGAAGTAATGATTATTTCATCTTAGAAATGATAAATTTATAAAAATACCTATGTATCGCAAAAATCCTGCAATATAGCTAAAAATCCTATATACAAAATTAGATATATACAAGTAAAAATTTTGCGATACTCTGAAAAGTGAACCCGCCATAAATGAGGGATCACTGTATTTCTTTTCTTTCTTGTACGCACATAAAAGAATCATACAAGATAAAGGCTTTATGTAGTTTCCATAAAAATATACACATTTTTTAAAGAATGAATAAATTCATATCTATTTATTTTTAATTCAAGTGCAAAATTTGTATACGAAAATAGCAACAAACAATTTCACGCCAAAATAAAGGGGACATACCAACTGTATGGCAATCATGAGCACTGTTTTGAGTGTAAATTTTCTATCACAGAGATCAAACAGATCTTCAAGACTGGGTCCCAAGAGCTCCAAAACAAGAGCATTATATTTTCCTACTGGACCAAAGTAGAACACATTGGGTACACCCTCTGAAATAAACACAAATAAATGGTGAATTTTCGCACCTCACGATAATTATTAGCTGTTTTTTTTTGTTTTTTTAAAGTCTATATGAATCATACAATCCACAAACAGCATTTCCATGAATTTATGTGAAAATATATACTTTCACCTGACAGACTGAAATGAGTTGCAAAATATTTTATTTTTATTACATTAACAAATAACGAGGGTGATGTCAAAACACACACACACAAAATTCCATTTAAAAAAAAAAAATAAAAAACAATATGAATTGTTAAGAAATATAGCTTACTGCTTTTAAAAGCAATAAAAATTGGAGGGTCATTTTTTTCTCTCTTAAACCATTAATGCTCAAAGAAAGGGGTAGCCAACCCAGAAGGCTTCACAATCCACTTTGATAGCTAATAAACCTTTTATGGTCCACAAGTAATTACATCTAATGTTAAAATAAGAACCCACTAAATTCTGTATAGAATTATTTATCTATTCTTAATGCTCATCATAATAAAATGCAAAATAACACAACAAGATCAAACTAAACTACTGTGTATTTATTAGTTATCTCATTTGGTTGCCCACTCCTGCTCAAAGAGAATTTTTTAAAATTTAAAAAAAAAAAAGCTTTCCAGAAGATGTGGAAAATCCCAATACAAATCAGAAGCCAAAGCAACTCTACCCCATTATTGTGGGGATAACAAGCTTAGTGTCAGGGAATTCTTTATAAAGGAGTTGCGTTGCCACAAGGTGTCAACTGGTGTAGACCATCAATCTACTGGTCAAGGCTTTCTCAATAACTTTAGTCACAAGAATGGAAAATCAATACTTAGCAGCTGTTAAATGGGTCTAGATCCTGGCTGAGCCAGATCTGTAATCCAGCCCTTTTACTAACCGACATCAATAAGAGAAGGATGGAACTTTTTCATTGCTTTGATATACAAATAAAAGCTAAATATTTTAGACGTGCAAGAAAGAACTTGTATGTGTGAAAAGCATATTAAAGTAATTTTTAAACAATTAGAATGAATTGGTTTCTAAAAAACAGAAATGTGGTTAAATGCAAAGTAGGTTAAACAAGATTTAATTCCAATCTCTTTAAAGTGATTTGAAATCTTAGTAATAGCAAACAATAATGTTTGAAGTGATAGTAATTCAAATTTGAATACTCTTACTTCTTAATTAACTTTAAAATAATATTATACTTGCCTGGAACTGAACCTGAAAACAAGAACGAACAGACTTTGTTTAAAGAACTGTAGTAATGAATTTTTTTTAATGATTTTAACAAACAAAACTGCATATCATTTTTAAGTGTTCATGGTTGGCTTCCGGATTTTTTAGTATGGATTTCTATGAAAACTGTGCAGACATTATTCACCTATGAAGTAAATGTACAATTTAAAAAAAAAAAAAGAAAAGAAATTCGGACCTGAACTCAAGTTGCATAACCATGTAAAAAAAAAAATTAAATTAACAAATGAAACTAAATACTGATAGTAAATAACAGAATATCTTTTTGTAGTATGGATTTCTATGAAAACTGTGCAGACATTATTAACCTATGAAGTAAATGTACAATTTAAAAAAAAAAAAAGAAAAGAAATTCGGACCTGAACTCAAGTTGCATAACCATGTAAAAAAAAAATTAAATTAACAAATGAAACTAAATACTGATAGTAAATAACAGAATATCTTTTTGTAGTTTAAAAAAGCACAATAACATACCGGTAACATCTTTAAAGATACAATAATAACATTTGGACCCTCTAAGTCATTTTTAGTATCAGTATGTTAAATGGAAACCAATATCATTAATAAGAGAATCAATTTCAAATGAGAATGTTCATAAATATATATTTGTCTCTTTAACTTTGATAGCATATTTTATATTTATGAATATAATGTACCTATTCTTGCATTACATTATTTAAAATAAAATTTTGAAAAAATAAAAGACCTAACCTGATTGTCCAAGCTGCTTGTAAAACCGATATTCCAAGTGTAATTGTGGAGCTCGTGATTTCATAGGCTCCTAAAATGGAAAAGATAATACAGTTTAAAATACCTATAGCTTTAGATCTTCATCCTTATATTATTTAGTTTAGTTAATCAAATAAATATAATTAAAAACTTTATATTATACTTATTTAATTGATATAAGATATGATAATGTGTTTAAATACAATAAATAGACATCATTTGCTAGCTTTACTTGACATATTTAAATAGATTAGTGAAAGAATAGCACATTTAATGTTTGTTTAATTTAAACTATTTTTTCAAAAACATTGATATTGAAAAAATGAATTAAACACTTTTCAGAGTAAATAAGTAATATAGAAAGAAAAAAAAAACACTTACCAACTTAATGGCAACATGTTCATTGTTGTAGAGATTTTTGCCTGAAATAAAATGCAAAGTAGGTTAAACAAGATTTAATTCCAATCAAATATATAATAATATATAATATATTTCATTAACATTACCATCTTTATGCAGCCTATGTATTTTTAACATATGAATTACACTAGCAACTTGTAAAACATCTTTAAAATCTCAAAGGAGAACTGAAATTTTCTTTGAAAATCCCATGAACACATTCACATTACATTTTAAGAAAGTTTTTTTTGCAGAATAAGTTCAGAAATGTCACATTAAATTTTTTATGAAATTCGTAAGAATTTTCCTGCATGGAATTGTAAATAATCCTTCTCTTTATTTAAATGTAACAGAAGTTAACTTTTCATACAAAGTCATTTAAATTTATACAAAGAGGTTCTATAGGCGTAACAAATTTAAACCAAAGATACCAGTGAAATAAAAACAAAGAGTTTAGCTACAATTTGGAACATGACCATTAACATATAAGGTACCGGAAACAACATAAACACTACACTATTGTACCTGAATTACGACACAATGGTGTATGTCTTTGCAAGAATTTAAAATTGAATAATTTTTAGATACCACATTAGTAGCTGATGGACAAATTACTTAGCATACTATTTTCTTTTTCTAAAGCAGATCTATTCACAATATTTATCACTTTCTTATATTTACAATTTGATTTTAATTAGGTCTGCCGGAGTCTACAAAATTTTGATTTTTTTTCTTAATTGGGGTTTTGTTTTTTGTTTTTCCATACAGATCATTATGTTTTAATCACATGAAGGAACATTAGTCATTAGTAAATTAAGAGGATATAAAGAACTTTATTTAAAATATATTTTATAACTTTTGAACATAAATATCAATCTAAAAGGGGAATTAAATCTACCAATGATGGTTGAACTTATAATTTCTTTAAATTAATTTAACATTAAAGTGCTCTTGGAATTGGAAATTGTCTTGGTTCATTCCCTCACATGGAAAGTGTTTACGAATTTTATCCTAAAATATGTTACTTAACAATTAACATGACATAATTATTCAACATCACAAAATATCAGTGCATAATAGAGATAGACCGAATAGGATTTTCTGTTTTCGGCAGAACCAAACCCAAACCAACACCTAAAAATGACTCTTCGCCAAAACCAAAAGCTCAACAAGACTTTCTGCCAACACTGAAACATATATAACTCGGTATTTTGAAACTTGTTGGGGCACACTTTCTGCAAACAGCGAAAAATGACAGAAATACTTTTGTGGCTATTAAACAATCACAGTTTGCTAACAATAAATTAATTTTGTCATCCGTTGCATAAAATATTTGTCATGACATATGGTGATGCTCATACAATTTACACAATGAGGTGAACCTCCGGTTTTCGCTGTGTCACTTTGACCATTGGGTAAGCTATAAACATCCTAAATACTTTTTTTTTAAGCCAACCTAACACAATGGAACCAAAAAGTTCCTGTTCACCACTCAAATTGGATCAGAAATAACTGTGAAATGGTCAATTAACAATTTTCCCTTGAATGCTACCCCTTTCATGTTGTCATTGCGGACACACACTACCCCCCCCCCTCCCCCCCAAAATTAGCAATTTTTTAAATCTTCACTGAGAACCTAATTGGCTCTTGATAGCAATCAATAAGAGAGTTTTAAAATTTTGTAATCTTTAAATATTTGAATAAAACGAAGTAAATTTTAAAATATAATTTTAGAATACCGAAATCAATACTATCCCAAAAATTTAATTTGAGCTTGCTTCCACCTACTATTACTAGTCCAATAATGTAAAATAGGGTTTAAAAATTTTATATTTAAAAAAATTAAAACAAAATAATAATATAAATATTATCATACCCTTACAAAGCTATATACCTTTTCCTAAGCCTAAAGTAATTTTATTTTTGGAAATATTGGACAAATAGGTCACCATGCAGCTGTAAGCAGTGTTTTCAAGAGGTTAAGTCATATATCATTACCATGGCGACCATACATTAAGCAATAATGAATATCGGATTGCCTACAGACAGAAAGAGTGACAGTCTGACTTCATGTAGATAACAGAAACCGAAAATCAACTAAAAGTTAACTTTTCTGTTTCGACAGAAACCAAAACTATACCGAAAATGATCAAATTACAACTTTCGGTGCCAAAACCGAAATTTGGTCTGTCTCTAAGTGCATATTCAAAATTATTATCCCAAGAAACTAAATCTGATGAATTTATAATGTAACTAAAGGACTGAATCAGTTGATCATGTAGAAATGACGCAAGAGAAAAAAGTTCTATGAAATGAACCTCAAACCACAATAATGGTGGGGATAAATTAACAACTCTGGTCCCGCCAGCTCTCCCAGATAAAATACAAAGCTGATGCCATAAAAATTATTGAAAGCTAATAGCTAGTGGCATTGCCAAGGGAAACATTAAAACATATTTCGCAAACAAAAGTAGTCTTTATGAATCCAATTTCAAACAGTAAAACTTTAAAAATACAGTGGAACCTCTCATAACAAGTTTAATTCGTTCCAGACTCTTACTCGTTAAGCGAAACACTCATAAACGAAACAATTTTTCCCATACAAATCAATGTAAAATACGATAATGCGTTCCATGCTGAAAAAAATACTAATTTTTCAAAAATTTGTATTAACATTTATTCAAATAAAATTACTTATGAATTGTTAAGGAGTGTAACAACTTGGAATAAAATTTAGATTTGAAACAAAAAACGTAAATAAAATATGAATTTATGACAAATAATTAATCCTTTTTAACTAGAAAACTGTCTAAAGACATTTGTTTTTGCAGACGCTTCAAGAATGACGAAAATGTGTCACAGCATTATCATTGAATAAATTTGTAGCACGAATAGCCACCTCCTTATTAGGGTGATGCTTCTCAATGTACGATGCAACCGTTTCCCATGCTTTCAGCATTTCTCTTTTTGCGCTAGAAGATTGTTACTCTGCTACTTCCTACTCCATTAATGAGCTGTCCTCCATAATTTCTTGCTGTGAAACTCGATGTAACTCCATAAGCTCTTTGGTGGTCAACTCTTGACTGTGCTCTTTCACAAGCTCTTCAATATCGTTGTTTTCCACCTAGAGTCCCATGATATTGGCCAATGACACAATCTCTTTAACTGTAGAATTCACATTTACTGTTTCACAATCACATTCAACAACACTCTCTGGCCAAAGATTTTTCCAAGAAGAAGTGAGGGAAAAAGGGACTTCCCCTTTCTGCGTAACTCGTTATGCGAAATGTCGCTCATTAAGGGAGCAACTTCTTCACATTTTTTTTTGCTAGTTATGCCAATTACTCGTTATGAGAGATGCTCGCTATGAGAGGTTCCACTGTATTAGTAAATGAGAAGCTACACAGAAATCACAACTCTTATCTATTTGCAATATACACAATACAGAATGCATGTCTGCCAAATAATGGCTTTGGATTTGCACCAAGGGCGTCATTTGGGTGGGGGGACATCATCTCTCCACACGCCCCCCCACCCCACCCCAATATTTGCAGGATTTTTTTCGACTAGGTATCAGTATTTAGGACAGCAGAAAATCAATAAGTGAAAAAAAAAAGAACTATTCATTCATTTAAAATTAACAACAGAAAACATAAATCATAATCTGGCAATTATTATTTCATTGCTAACTACCATGGCGCCTCCAGTAATAACTCAACAAGCTGGACAAGTTTTGGTTTTTCTCATTCAAAAGCACATTTTAAAGGAAATATTGCAGGAAAATGTGTTAGCAGGAAAATGTGTGTCTGTGGGGGGGGGGGTTTTATAAGCTTATGATCTGGTCATATTAATTTTTTTATAATTTACGGTGGGCACATCGATACAGTTAGAATAGAGAACAATAGAGAAACAAAAATATTAATTAACTGAAGTCACTGTAGACGTGTGCAAAACTGGGTTATAAGTTTTGTCCTTATTCTTGGACTACCTTGATTGGCTGTGCTTACAGAGTATCAAAGTACCTACATTGAATAATATAATGAAATTTCATATTGTTTAAGATCGTAGCAGCAGTTAAAATCTATTTTTAGAATGGTCAGAGTAACTCATTTTGATATGGTTTAGTACCAGCACTTGACCTATATTTAATACCAGTTAGCAGACTGCGATAATGCGATTTTGCACTTGTACAAACTTGTTAAGTGATAATCACTCTGCGACAGAATTTGGTTTACTTTGTTAATAAACTTAAAGTGCAGGAAAAAAAAAAATTTCAAGCAGAAGCATAGTTAAATTACGAGGTAAAAGGCCAAAAATAGAAGAAACACTAAGTCAAAAAGTACCCGCACTCTAAAGGGACTAAAATCAAACATATACCTATAAATAATTTGCAATAATAGGTCTATCTCAAATGACGATATCTGGTTGTCCTTACCTACTCGTAATTCTCCGAAATTGCCACAACCTATCTTTTTGCCAACTCTAAAGTTGGGACCCACCATCAACACTCCAGTGTTACTGGATGATGCTTGTCGCTGACCGTTATGCATACCGCGAGAACTGGCGGACTTCCTTCGTGTTGATTCGTCTTGCTTCTCGAATTCCTTTTTCGGTGTAGTCATTTAGGATATTTTAGGAACTAAAGAGTCCTTATCGAAATGATTAGATGTTGATCTAATCATAAGTAATAAGGACAGTGAGTATATATACTTAATAATACTTGATCTGTTCTCAAGACCAAGAACTTAATATGGGAACGAAAAGGAAGAAAGACTGAATCTAGAAGTAGCAAGTCATAAGAAGGATGATAAGGTTGCCCCATCTATATCTATTTTGAAAAAAACTTCATTGTCAGTTCCAGACATCTTATGTTACCACTAAGTCTAATGATCAGTCCCAGCCCGAAATGATCACATTATGACTTCCTTTAATGATGAGCAAGGCTTCTATTCTTCAGAGATTTCACAAACACAACAGAATTCTTGTTTTTCCTGTCTTTTGTCCAGCAGTAACAAGCGCCTTATAACTCACATATAGCCGGACCCAATCAATGCGCTATATAGCGTGTTCTATTACATATAACTTATCACCAATCAGAGAGACTCTATGTTCCCCATTTTTGAATGTACTTAATTATTTTGTATAATATGAATTTATTTGTATATATGTTTGGGATGACTTTAATACGAGTACTAGCTTTCCTTTGCGTATTGATACTCCCGGAAGTGGAAGAGGAGATGAAAAGCCGACTGCGCAAGTCGGGACTCCTGGTATCTAGGCGGAACGACCTTAGGATTTAAATCAAAAAGATAGCGTCTTTATTAAAAAAATTAGAATGTTTCAGTTTGCCCACTCCTTCCAACGCTTATTTATTTTTATTTTCCCTTGGCCCTCAACGTAAAGCACCTTTGAAAGTAAATAAAGTATATCAGCTGATATTATGACGTAATTTCCGCATCAACAAACATGGCGGATGTTTCAAACTTACCACACGGAAAGCCGATTAATAATATGTTTGTTTGGTGACTAAGATATATTCATTTATAATGGGTAGCGGCAACAAATCATTAGTTGTTATATCTGTTTTGGGAGGTAAATATTTGATTTTTAAATGTAATTGTGCTCTGTTTTTAAGGTTTTAATTCTGAAAAAAATATTATATCATTATAGTTTAGTGTTATGATGCAGGTCCATTCTTGTCTGTGATACTGCTCCTAGTGGCTGCTTTCTTTATTTTATTCACCAAATTAACACTGCTTCTGTCTCATACGTTTTACATTTTAATCAGTATTCACATTTTAGGCCTAAAGATTTTCTTTTGCAGCGGTTTTGGGTTTAAAATATTGTGATGGCTTACTTACTGGACTCAGTCTCAGCTTTATTATAATTTATAAAGTTGAACGTTTATAAATTATACTATACTGGGGTAAAAAATGCATAATTTAGTGGTGTCATGTGTAACTGAAACTGAGAAAGAAAAAAAATGAATTTATTAATGATCATCATTGATCAGTTCTTTTATTCTAATGATATATGAATATGTAAATAGATATAAATTAAAAATAAAATATATAATGTATACTTTTTATATTAGTTCCGTAATCTACGGAGTCCAGATGTCCCGGTTTACCCGGAACAGTCCCTATTTTCACATCATCTGTTCCAGCATCCCTAAAAGGTTAGGAAGCATCCTGACCTGTGGCGTTTCTAACAAACTGCTTACAAGGCGATTTTTCTAGAGTTGCGCAGGATTAGTCATATCAGACCTTTCTTAACATTCGAAGCATCAAACAGGCTGATGTCTGCATTCGTGTTATCACGCATGGACTACTGCAATGCTTTCATGGTGGGTCTCCCAGCTACGCTCCTGGATAAAATTCAAAGAGCACAGAATAATGTTCTACGCAAATTCGACCATGCTAAAACACTTCTGAGAGACCTGCACTGGCTGGCGGTCTGCCCTCGCATGGAGTACAAAATTGCAACTTTGTGCTACCGCTGCTTACGTGACCTGGCGCCGTCCTATCTCAAAGCACTCGTGACGCCTTATGTACCCACTAGACAGCTCCGCTCATCCGATAGTGGCAAAATATCGATACCACATGTTCGCCTTGAGACTTACGGAAAGCGCACTTTTGCATTTGACGGCCCAATAATTTGGAACACCCTTCCAGTCGCTCTCAGCCAGACACTGGAGTTCTTTAAAAACGATTTAAAAACACATCTATTTCGCAAACACCTACTGGGGTGATGCTATCTACCATCTTTTTTCCAGTTAATGTATATTGGATTATGTTGCATATGGTTAAAATGGAATGAAAGACTTTGACTTGGTATGCTCGTATGTAGTTTTATATTGTTGCATCTGTTTTTAAATGTGGTAAATTTTATATTGTTTTTATTTCTCTTTTGAATATGGTTGACTTTGTACTGCACTTCTAGCTTTTGGGGATGAAGCCTGTTTTTCAAATAAACTTTATTATTATTATTATTACTTTTCCCTAGGCATTCTGCTCATCATAACGTCAACTGAACTGTACATTAGTGTACATGATGAACTGAAACTGTTCAACTATTTTCGTTTTAACTTGTGTTCCTATTTTCCAAGTTGTTTTCTTACTTTTTATTGTCATTGACACAGTGTGTGATGCCAAAAGCAGACTGCAAATTTAATAAGACTTAACAGAAAAAATATCTTTTCATAAAACACACAAAGAGTAAATTAGACGCACAGTGCATCACATGTAGTGCAGAATTTTCTGTTGCACATGAGTACAGGCAGACACAGCAGCAATAGGTGCAAGTGCATCTACAAGAATTCTTACAAAGTTCTTCAGAAATGCAAGTTGTGGATCAAAAGAAATGCAATTAGCATGCATAAAGTATTTGAAAGATGTGCTGGAAAATGCAATTTCATTGGTACATCCAATCATAAGGTCAAGTTTTTTTTTATGCTTGCTATTTACCTGGAGAAACATCTGCTGTACACCACAAATATATTATGAAAACACTGGAATCACAATACAAATTTTGGTGGTGCAGAGATTGGTGGGTAAAAACAATGCTTATTGCAAACTAAATGAAACTAACATTCAGTCATAACGTTCTTGAATATGCAGCACACTTTGTTCACATTACTAATCAGTCAGCAGCGGAATGTCTTCCTGTAAATATTAAATCAGTTATTTATAAGATATGTATGTACTTTCACATATTCCCAGTTTAAGTTGCTGCCTGACAAGAATTATGTGATTTTATTTCAGTAGAGTAGAAGCTACTAAGTTACAGCAAAACCAGATGGCTCAATATAATGTCAGCTACAGAAATTATTAAAAATATATTCTGGGCTGAAATCCTACTTCCTCTCATGAGACAAATACCCTGTCTTGCTACAAGTTTTTTTTTTGTGAAGATCCAACTGCATTTTATACATAATCAGGCATCATCATTTCAAGCAACTGTTCAGCAAATTGAAAACTACAAAATGTGTTGAAGTGTACAGATCTTTGCAAGACCTTTATGACAAATGCAGGGAAAGAGCAAGACAGACGCTCATTCCAATGATAGTTCAAAGTAAGTTGAAGGAGTTAGAGAAAGAGAGTGATACCATGAAGTTTTATTCACAAATGATTGAATTTTATGAAACAAATGCATATTATCTGGACCACTGGTGCAATCAATTTGAAGGGATAGATATTTTTGATCAGATGCTTTTGAGATCACAACCATCATGGGAAGATGTACAAAAGTGCATTGGTTTTGTGAATTACTTATTTCCTGACAAAATAAATAACAATGAACTGTTTGAGATCTCCATTATCCAAAGATATGTCACTGCTAAAAAAAGTTAATCTGTGGGCTACTGCAGAATTCCCAGAAGATAAATGATGGATGGAAATCTTTATTAACCATTATATTCTATGTGATAATATCAAACTCATGGCAGAATCTGCTTTATGTCTTCCAGGGACAATTGATTCCACTTAAATAGTCATTAATAACATGTGGACATCAGATGTATTGCAAAGTCGATACATTGAAACATATCCATGGTTGTCAAATGCAGTGATTCATGTGACAAAAATGTTATTTAAAAATCCTGATGTCCTGTGAGCTCTCCACTTGTCTCAGAAATATTAGTGTGTCATAATTATGAAATATTATTATTCACTTGTTGATTCTTCATATTTCTGACATATGTTTGCTGTGTCAATTTATTTTTGTATTTTTAGATGGCAGGTGTTAGTTTTTCACTGGCAATCTGTTAATTGAAAAAGTGACAAGTCAGTTGTTAGTAGTTAGTTACTCACTGGCAATCTGTTGATTGAAAAAGTGACATGTTTAATCTCAAACTCAGAAAGTATTTAATAAATTACTCACGAAACACTTCTGGTACTTGTCTACTTTATTTTTTACAAATATTTCACCTGCGATTCCTGATGAACACAACATAAGGTTTCAGTAAGTTAATAAAAAACAGTATGCTATATAATGTACATAATGAATTAGCGCTTCAGGAAAGCGTGTCTTTTCAGGAAAGCGTGTCTTTCAGACAATTTTCACTAACTTTTTTGTTTTTTTTTGAATTGGGGAGTGCCCCAACCTCCACCTAGGTTACCCCCAGAAAAATCTTTTCACCATAGTTCATCCATCGAAAAGATCATGTTCACATTTTAATCATCTCATTGGTATGCTTCTTATGTCTATTGGTCAAATAACACTCACTATATTTGGCCTAAAAACAAAAATTTTAGTTTACACCCAAAGCTATAACTGACTGAAAAAACTTGAAAACATCTCAAATGACACCCCTCTCTTAGAAACATAAGCCTTGTTTAGATTAAATATATTATGACATGTCAATTATTTTTTTAAAATGTTATTTAATTATGTGTTAAATTTAAGTAACTTTAAAAGTGTGTGTGGTGGGGGTGTCATTCATTTTTTTAAGTGGGTGGTTAATGGAATTGTCAGATTATATTTTTTTATGGTGAAGGGCTTTGACAAATGTGAAAGTAAACAAGAATCATGACTTGACAATAATCTTAAAATTCTGCTTTCATAATTGTTACTAAACAATATTGTAGTGATGCTGGTTGATATTATGGCAGGAAGTCTCGCACTGATGTACTTTCGTTTTGTTCCCAAAGAGATCCAAAAAATATAAAAATCATCATTTTTATACCAGTATCACCTTTTATTTTTTTTTAAATTTTAACCTTTGTGTATTTATTTATGGTTTATATTAGATCTAAATGAGTAAAAAACTAAAGAAAAAATGAAAGTGGAAACTTAACAAAATAATTAAAAATAAAAAATGCTGATATTTTTCAATTAGCCATAAAAGACACACTGTTTCATAATTAGCTAATATTTTTTCTTTGGGTCATTGCTAATAATTACAGAAATATATTTTTATTTGTGACATCTCACCTAGTGTTTGGTTATTATTATTATATGTATATGGGTAGCTCATTATATATTTAACTGCAGTTAAGTGTTACCATCAGCTTTGAATTTCATAAGGATATTAAGCAAAGCTGTGGCCGTCTGCAATCGCTCATTACATTTTTAAAAAAAATATTTCTGTATGATCAGGTAGAGGTTTTCCAAAGAGAGCAAGACATCAACTAATTGTTGAAGCTAAATTTGATGGAGAATTGTTAGCAACAGATCCAGTAGCTCATACTGAAGTATTAGAGATCAATCAAGAATTAGCATGGGAGTTAGACAGGAAAGCTCTACAGCAACATCGCTTACAGAGGAGCTCTATAAAAATCCAGTGTTATGCCTGTGACACTGAGTCCACAATGAAAGAATTGGTTGGCTATGTTGTTCTAGATTTACGATCTGCCTCTGCAAATAAGAAGGTATGCATTGTATGGGAGGAAAAAAAAAGTGAATAGCTGTTGCTATTAAACATAATTTTAATAAAAGTAAAAAGACAGTGCAAACATTATTTTAGTAATAGTAGTGGATGTTACTGCCAAAGGAGCTAGAAATTATAACAGACCTGGCCTCTTGATTTCAGGTTGCAAAGTGGTGTCCACTTCTACATAACAAGTACCATAAGACCAAGGCAGAGCTCCAGCTTGCCCTATATTTGGATGAAGACAGCCAACAGCAACCAGGACCTACCCTTTCAGATACAGGTTGATCACAAGACTATTTCTAACTCTTCCCTTTTGATCAAATTATAAGATAAGATGCTTTTACTAATCCAAATAAATGGAAATTTGTTTTGATTGCATTGCACATATTGTTTTGGGAAGTCACTGAGAATTTGCTGTTGGTTCCCCAAAATTGGTTATCAGAAAAAGCTTTTGGTGAATCATTGTGTGGTCAGAATAGGTGTTACGGCTTGAGTGAATCATTATGTGGTCAGAAAAGCTGTAAGGCTCTTGAGTGAATCATTGTGGGGTCAGAATGGCTGTAATGTTCTTGAGTTAATCATCGTATGGTCAGAATAGCTGTTCGATTTTTGAATGTATAGCTGTGTGGTCAGAATAGCTGTGATGTTCTTGGATGCAAGTTTACATTTGGAACAGAGTATGTATTTGTGCGAACTGAGTTCCCGGCTTTTATGGATAATCATAATCTCTGTAGCCGACTTGTTAACTTTACTACCATTAATATTAAACTTTCAAATTTCTTTATAAGTTGATTTTGTATGATCTAATGATTTTCTGTTTTTTCATCTTTTTTTTTTTTCTTCCTCAGAATCTGTTATAGCTCCAAATTTGGAATTGAAATCCCTTGTTCCTGTTCTGAATGAGGAAGATGGATATTACCAAATTGGGCCGGCTAAAGTTTGCAAAGAGCAATTTGTCCTTTCCGTCACCATAGCTTATGCTAGAAATTTACCACACGTATGCAGCTTTTAATACTTTATTATTAATTTCTTTATCATAATGTACAAGGTTTGCTATCTCAATGTTTTTAGGGGAAAATATTTTTTAAAATGTATTTGTAATATGCTATGATTCTAGAAATAGATTTTGGGTTCCTGTGAAAAATGTGTAGAAAGTTTCAAAAAGTCCATTCTGACCCTATCTTTACAATACATCCAAGGTGGCATCAGAAAGTTCTAAAAGACTTTGAAGTGGCTGTGCTGTTTAACAAATACCTAAAATGGTTTGCCCAGTTGTGTTGTTCTTTCTACACTGGTGTATTTGTCAAACATCTTCAACCATTTTGTTCATTTTTTTGTAATGTTACAGTGTTGTTAATGCAATGAGTTGTACCTTTGTGCCTTCACTCCTCAGCTCATCCCCAGCACAACGCCCCTAAGCTCAAGCAATGGATTTTTTTTCTATTACTCTCTTCTGGGCAATGATGTAACAAATGAACCCTTCTATGACCTGGTCAGTCCCAACTTCCCTGCTGAGAGAGCCTCTGTAAAAATACGCAGCAGTGTGGCTGCTCTTAGGTCTTTCTTTGCCCATCAGCCAGGATTACAAGTAGGTAGTCCAAACTAAAGAAAAAATGCGTTTTACAAGTGAGATTAATATAACTTGTTCCCCTCTGTTATTCAGTGATGGCTGTCATTATTTCATATTTGTAACATTAATTGTTAAATACTTTTATCTGTTGATGTAACTGCTTATGTCTGGAACTATTTGCTATGCTCAGGTGTGGGGTTTACATTAGATCCCATTGGGCTAGCTAAATATACATGCAGTGTGTATTTGCTGCAGAATTGTCAAGAATTTATAATTAATCTTTTTATATGAATACTTAATATCTATTTCCTTTAGCTTCACCTGTGTTGTGGCGATCAGTCTCTTGGAAATTGTGAAATACCTTTAAAATCACTTCTAAAGACAGACAGCACAGAGATTTACATGAGACCTGTCACTATTGAAGGTTCATTTCAGGTAAAAATATTTTATCAAAATGTTCTCTTTTTAAAAAAAAATAGTTTGTCAGTTTTAGACATTGAAACCTGTGTTACATTTTATTTAGGAAATTTTAATTACTGGTATATAAATTTTTTTTACATATTTATCTCATTTAGCTTTACCAAACAAATAAGCCAAAACAGCAAGTGGCGGCTTTGCCAGCAACAACACAACCCAGCGTAGAAGTGTCTGTAGTTCTTCGCAAAGATGACATGGTGAGTTTAAACTAAATCATATGTTTTAGAAAGAAAATTGTGGAATGTGTGACCATATTAAATAAAAAGCGTAGTCTTGGTTGTTTTTGTTTTTTTGTTTTAAAGTGCATGGCATGCAAATTAAAATAGTGATTTTTAGATCAGCTCAGAGCTTGATAATTTCATTCTTCATGAGTAGGCTTATTTCATTTACAGTGGGTCATTCCGACACTTTTGTTCTATTTGTTTGTTTCCTTCACAATTAGGCACTAATGTTTAAGTTATCTTTTACAAATATTGATTGTTCTCTTATATCGACTGTCTTGAATAAAAATATTAAGCAAATATTTTCCAGGCTGTGAAAAGTCCTTCCAGAGATAACCCTCAATCAGCTCTTGTGATAGGAGCACCAAGTTTAGAGACTCGCACAAAGTCACCAAAGCACACAAAAAATCATAATCAAAACAACAAAGTAAGAGATGACGATGATAAACAAAGAGAAAAAGATGAAGCCCAGTACTCTGAAGACACCTTTGAAGAAGATACAGTATCACAAGGACAAAAAATTAAAGGTGAGGTGATCACTAGTTTAGTTTAGTAAGGATCTGGTCCAGGGTTGGGCAACCACTGACCATCTGAAGCTTTTACTGCGGCCCACAAAACTTTCTGGGAACTGGATTGTTTTAGTAAAATGTACAAAGCCTTTGAAAAATAATAATCACAGTGTAATTGTCAAACTGTAATAATAATAATTATGGAAAATGTCAAAATTATCCCACTGCTTATGTTCAAACTTATTTTCAATTTATTGTCTTGAACTCTTAGATTCCTAGAAAATTATCATGCGCCCCACCAAAGATTTTTTTAAATTTCCATGCAGCCCTCTGCAAAAAATTTTTTTAATGGTTTTCTACCCCAGGTCTACATTAAATATCATACAACATTAATAATCTTTTCCCTTTAAATTTATAGAAAAATTTAAATTTTAAAAAAAAAAAAAAAAATTATGATGGTTTGTGTCAAATATCTCTTATGATTATTTTGAAACAAAACATTACATATTTTTCTAGCAATTATGATGACTCATAGGTTCACAGAGGACTTTAATTTGAGTATAAAGGACTTAAAAATCATTCAAAGGCATTTTAAAAAAAAATTATATTGTCACAAACAAAACATTAATTATAGACGATGAAGAAACGTGTTTAAGGAAACCATGAGATTATTTTGTTAGGCATTCTGTTTTATAAAAAGAAATTTATATTGATCAGAGCTTGCCAAGACAAATGAAAAGGCTGCTCCTGTCCCACTAGGACCAAAAGCACAAAAACAAAACCTTTCACCAGTACGGGACCAGCCAGTTTACATGACACATAACACAATAAGTAAGTAATAATTTTGTTGTTCAGTAACAAGTTATTTATGTCAATTTAAATTGAAAAGATTTACTTTAACTGTTATCTGACAAGGCTTAGCAGATACCCCCTCACCTGACCTCTAGGACTCTGGTTCACATTATTATAAATTTCAAAATAAAAAATAATAGTTAATAGTTTTTGATGCACCTGTTTGAAAAAGGTATTGTCTCTATATTTCCCACAGCACTTCCAAGCAACATGAGTGTTCCCCCACAAGCTCATCATTTTACATTCAGCATAGACTTACGCAGCATCAGAGACAACCACTCAACCAATACAATAAATATCTTTCTCAGGTTAGGTACATCATTATTTAAAATCCATCTTGACCAAACTACCATTCCATCTATGTCAAACACATTAGGAATTGGAATGATAGTTTTGGGCGTCTTGTGGTAATGTTTATTATTTTTGTTTTTAATTTTTCTATGGTTGTTTACCTTTTTAAAATTTTATACTAAAAATTCTGGAAATTCCCCTCACACATTAGATCATTAAATTTTTTTTAAAAATCGATTAGTTTTGTTTAATAATCACAATTTATTATTCCAGGTACATCTATCCATTCTTTGGCAGTGCTGCCCCAATTCTCACTCACCCTCCAGTGGAAATACGAAAAGGTTCAGAGGTGCTTCTTCCACAGTCATTTTGTGCCTTTGATTTTGCTTGCACTGTACAGCAGTTGCAGGACACTTTCACTAGGTTAGTTGAAAGAAATTTAATCTACTTGAAGTGTTTTAAGGTCGCACATTTTGCAAAAGTTATTTGGTTTAAATAAATAACTTATTTATTCAGTCACAAACTGCTAACAATTGTCGTTATGAAATTACATCATTTGTATAACACATTTTCTGTGTCAGCTTGTCTTAATTTTTGTCCTTTGAATTTAAAGCCATGAATTTTGGCAAAATAATGTTAAAAACATTTGATTTCAATTGGGACTGTATGTGCTTGTCATTATTTTCTGTTTATTTATAAATGTAACTTTATTTACCAGGGTTCCTTTGATTGTAGAGGTCTGGCATCGAGACAGACAGCTGTCACAAGATATTCTTGTAGGCACTGCCAAACTGCCTTTAAGTTTGGTCATTTCTTCTGACAGAACACGCTTGATGGTAATTTATTAATTTTTTTAAAGGAAAAAAAAAATCTATGTTGTTTCATTTTGATCCATTCTAAGTTACAATCCTTAGAATCTTAATTATCATTCTAGGGTCTTCCTTGTTAGATCACATCCCAGTTATATTATAATTCATCATTTAGACTTTCACATTTAAATGGTACATTAAAAAGAACAAAAAATTCAACACTATTTAATACAGAACTAATAATCATAGGGGCCAACTATAAAAGACTTACACGCTTCTGAAAAGGTTTTGACACTGCTAGCGCCGCCGCTCCCCCCCCTCCCCCCCTTTTAAATCCCGCCCCCCCCCCCCCCTTTTAAATCTCACAAAAGGTTAGACACCCCTTTGCTACAAATCATCACAATTACCTGCCACGCCTTCCCAGATGCATGACGTCATTTTTGGATAGTTTCAAAAGAAACAAAAATCATCAACTATTTACAGTTATGCTTTAGGAATGACGTAAATACTTTAGGAATGGCATAATACTCCACTTCAAGTCAACATTGAAACATTTTTGCTCTATTGTGATTTGCATAGTTATGGTGATTTGTTTGATTCCTCGTGCAACTATTTTTGTTTTGTCAGAGTTCAGCTGGAGTGACAGGTTGGAGGCAGGATGCATCTGACAGAGTGGCTGTTGTTTCTGCAGATGGGTAAATGCAATGTTTTATTTTCTCATTCTTTTCCAACCATCCGGTTAGTTTATTTTACTAGATGTCATTTTGTTACTTTATATTTATTGAACTGCAACAATTCCAAAAACTTATATGGAAGGCCCAAAAAGTTTTTTTTTAAATAATTGTGGCTTTATTGATGTTTATTTCTCTATAACAATTAACATGCAAAACTGTCTTAAAAATTATGCTCTTTTTTCCCCCCTCCCCCCAGAAAAATGGACAAATGTGCTGAAATAAGTCTAGTACTTAGTTTAGAGGATTGGGGTCCCATAATACCTCCCAACTCAGCAAAACAGGTAGATATCTGCTTTATTGTATCAATTTTTTAAATCATATGTTTGCTGATGCAGATCTGTTTACTCTTACCATTTTGAGATGACTTTTATTACTGTGCGCCAAGACCTGTCAGAACTAGGATTTTACGAGGCAGAGTAAAAGTATATTCCCTACTGGTTTCTACCATTTTTAAAAAAAAAATAAAAATTCTCTGTTATTAGTTTTAGCTCTTTTCTACACCTGGCGGTGAATAGACAGGGTATTACAATTGGCTGGGGACCACAATTATATTACGTACGCACTGAGAAGGGAAAGGGGTGGTGTTGACTTAGAAGCCTACAGATATGCATGGGAGGGGTATTGTGATTCATCTAAATATTTGTCTAAATATTTTTTTAAGGCTATAACATAACACCACCACAATGTTTGTAATGATTGTAATATTTTTGCGTTGTGTTTTCACAATGAACTTGCTAGATACAGCAACGGTAATATTTAGCGTATTCCCCCAAGTGACCAAGGGCTAATTTAGTAAATATTTGCTTTTGTCTGCCTTGGTTCTGTATGAAGTAATTTTGTGACATAATCATTTCTTTCTTTGCTTACGCCGGGAGCTCCTAGGCTTAATGCAGGGGTGGGCAAACTATATGAAGGTATATGCAAGGGTGCATTCCTTCATTTTTTATTTATAAGCCCCATCCCACTTTTGCAAGGATGAATTCAGCTGTCATCCTCAATTTCTGCTCCCCCACCACATCTTCGTCTATCAAAGTGGCAAATGACTGGTACCTTTTTATTTGCAATAATGCACTGTATGTAAATATATAAACATCAGTCCACTTCTTTGAGAAGTGACCTCTATAAGACATGTGATTCAAATAGTTATTGTATATAACTTTTTTTGTATGTATATTTATTTTACTATTACAATACGATACTGTACGATTTTGAGATGGTAAAGTACTATTCTGAGACTATATTGTACTATTTTGGGAATTCCAGGGTATCCAGGTCTGCTGATAATCTTTTTTTAAGTTGGACTAGTCACTTATTAGATGACCAAAAAAATCACAAAAACCACAGTATTGAAAGAAATAAAAATTTACTTTGATTACTTGGGTATTAGGCCAATTAATTGTTAAATGATGAGGTTTGTTTTAGGCATTCTGGCTTGCTGTTTATTGTATTACTTTTGAGCAACTAGTTATTCATAACCCGTAATTATATTTTTAATTTATTTTTATTTTTTAATTGAGAATAATGCAGTTTCTGGGGCTTCAGGCTATCCAGCTGTGCCATCACAGTCATCAAGTAGTGGTGGGTTGGCTGGCGCAGGGGCCAGCAGTCCTAGAGCTTCAGCTGAATACCAGGCTGCGATGGAGTTGGAACTGTGGAAAGAAACTCAGGAGAGAGAGTTTGAGAAAAAGGTTTGCTATATTGAAATAAAGTGGGGTGGTCCTTTTCTGTGTAGTTAATTTTTTTTTTAATCCATGGCACCAGCCTCACATATGACCTGAGATCAAGATAATAATTATTATGTTCAATTCATATAGCAGTTTAATAAATATATACCTTCAGAACCCAATCATAGTTGCCTCATAGATTGGATGCACTTTTTGTATATCTAACAACATCACAGGATGCATTTTGGTCTTCTATTCGACAATGAAATTTTTCAGAAATCACTTTTGTGCTTTTTGTCTTAAAGGATGCCCTACTTATTTGGAAAGAGGAATTTTATAATAATAGAAATATATTATCTGAGCTGGGTTCATTGTTCAGAATAGATTGCACTCTGCCAGATACAGTTAATTCTTTAGATACTTTTCCCAGAGCCCGCTCAACAATCTGTGATAAATCTTATCACTCTTCTCTCTTTTAGTTAAAACTAAAAGAAGCAACCTACATGAAAGCCTTAGCCGACGAGTGGAAAAAGCGAGACACAGAACGAGAAGTGTTAACACAGAAAACGGTATTGATTTTTTTTCAATAACTTTAAAAGCAAATTTAACATATGATTACTCTTATAAGTTTTCCCAGCATATTTGTTAAACCATTTTTTTTTTTTTTTGGTAACATTTTTATATTGTATAAATGTTTTAACATTTCTTTTACATTGTTTAGCTCACAGAATACAAGAACTTAGAAGACCAACTGAGAAAAACATTAACACAGAAAACGGTATTGATTTTTTTTCAATAACTTTAAAAGCAAATTTAACATATGATTACTCTTATAAGTTTTCCCAGCATATTTGTTAAACCATTTTTTTTTTTTTGGTAACATTTTTATATTGTATAAATGTTTTAACATTTCTTTTACATTGTTTAGCTCACAGAATACAAGAACTTAGAGGACCAACTGAGAAAAACATTGACAGACCTGGAGAAAAGAGAGAAGAAATTGGCCATTAATGAACATGAGGTGACCTACATTTTTAATTATGGATATTTTTTAATAATAAAAAATTTAATTTTTTAATGTGTCATTATACTAGTGGAAACTTATTTAAAAATGGTACAAGTGCTACAAGTAGATCTTTTTGAACAACCAGTACCAAAGGCAAGTGTGACAAGCTATAAAAAAAATGTACAGTTATCAATTTCATTGAGAAATTTTTTTCCTGTAAAATGATTTTATACTTCTATAGCATGTATAGAAATTGTTTCTTCTTTAAATTAAAGGTGATGAAACTGAGGTCGGACTTACAAAGAGAGCATGACAGAAAACTTCAGGAGATGAAGGAGGCATCAAGGAGAATGAAAGAAGACTGTGATCACCAAGTGGAGCTACAAAAGTTGGTTTTAGTTTAACTTTGATCAAACTAAAAGATTACAAGTTATACAGAGGTTGGGACTACAATCCCTTCATTGTTTTGGTGTATGATTGTTACATATCCATTTCTTAAGGCCTCACAACATACATTTTTAATGAAAACTTAAGAATATAAAAGGTCTTTGTTTACCACTTCAAAATACAACACAGTAATTGAAGTATTCTTTACTACACCGTTTTGTAGTTTAAGATGACATTCAAGTGCACTCAAAACAACAGTTCATTAAAATATGCTGTACTGGCCACAAAATACTTCACCGAATTTATTGAGAACTTACCAAAATAACAATCAATTCTTCCTTGAAAGCAACCATCTTAAAAATTCCAAAGGACGTCACCCAATCAATATTCTGTCTTAACAATGTTCATCCAATCTGAGTTTTACTGATTTCAATGTTAACTGTTCTCCAACAATCACCCCCATTTAAAATCCCTACTGTGTGTTGATCTATAGGTGTTTCTTAACAGACACCATATATGTGGGTAATTTTAGCATTAATTTTGTTCAAGTTTCTTTTTGAAGAATTCAAAACAAATTTTTCTAACACTATAAAAATTATTTTTCAGAATGAAGCTGAAGGAAGTGGAAGAAATAACCAACAGATACAAGCAAGATGTAAGATGATTAATTCTTATCTTGTCAATTCTAAAATGGCATGACTTTCATATTCTATAATATTATGAGGCTTAGAGTGTTATGGATGGTCATAGTAAGGACAGAAATCTTTAGCCGTCATGTTCCTTTAACTTTAAACATTGAGGATTTTTAGCTAATGAAATTTATCAGAATATTACAGCTTTGATGTCGACTTCACCAAGGTTTGTTGAAGCTCTAATATAAAATCATTTTGAATTAAAAATATTGCTCTTCATTATAATTTATTCATCTGCTGCTTGTCTTTTCTCCAGCTCAATGAAAGTGATAAAAGATACAGAGCATTGGAAAGAGAATTTTCTTTGTACAAAGAGCAACAAACCAAAACTCCTGAGGTCAGGCTGCAGTCCGAGCTTAACTTGATGAATATGGAGAAGGTGGGCATTTTCTTTCTTTGTAAAGGAATTTTTTTTATTTTTTATGAATGATTGAATCCATGTTCTTTTCACTGCAATAACTTTAATGTATTGTTTACTATATCGTGCCACTTGATAGAACAACTGGTCGTGATGCTTACAAATTTAACAGTATTATTTTATTAAAGCTCATTTTATAATCAGATTGAGCTGGAAAGAAAACTTGACGCAGCCATAAAGTCCAAACTACACTACAAGCAACAGTGGGGGCGTGCACTCAAAGAAGTAGCCAGGCTTAAGCAGAAGGAACAGGATGTTGCCAAAGCACAACTTTTGGTCAGTGAACAAGATTGCATCACAATGTTTAATCTCTATATCATTACTCTTCACAAGTAGTAAATTAGTATGGGTGTATATAGATGTTTTTCCCATTACAGTTCATGAAATATTTCAATAAAATAGGCAGACACTTGGAAATGGAGTTTAACTATATTAATTATTATGGATACCGGTACAGAAAGTTGGTACTTAAAAATTTGGATTTTATACCTTTTCTTATTAAAATTCTTGTTATCTTAGCGCCAGCAACAAGAACTTGAGCATATGAGGTTGCGCTACCTTGCAGCAGAGGAGAAAGAAGTTGTCAACAAGGAAAGCCGAGAACTGGAAGAAATTAAAAGTCAAATCAATAAGTGAGTCTTATATTTCACAATTTTTCTTCTTTTTTTTTTTGGCCACAAATTACTTGAAATCTCTGAATACTTTTGTTAGGTAGTTAAAATCTTCAAAATATCTAAGATATCAGGCATTTTAAAATCACCAATTTATCAAAGTATTTGTATTGTGCACTAATTTTTATATTATTGCAGACCTGTTTACTCTTACGATTTTGGCGTACAATGTATGATTTTGAGGTGTATACATTATATATACTGTATTTTTATTTTTTACTATTAAGATAATGTATTGAACGATTTTGTGATGATATTGTATGATTTTAAGAGTTTGTGGGTAAACCGGTTCTGTATTGTCATCAAATTTGCAAACTTTTTAAAAAGGTGCGCTTATTACTGTAAGCAATTTTTTTTTAGCTGGGGAGGTTCACCCACTAGTCTAAACTGTTTATATTATGTCAACAGACTTAAGCAGATGGAGGAGGAACGCATGCGCAACACATCAGACTCCAACCAAATTCCCCATGTGAAGGATGCCTATGGTAAACCACTTAACATTGATCTGGACACTTCTGTGGATGAGCACGTTGCCAGGCTTGTTGAAGAGAGGGACACTCTTCTGAGAACTGGGGTATACACATCACAGGACAAAATCATAGCCGAGTTGGACAGACAGATACGAGAGGCTATAGGTTTAAAGGGTAGCTAGTATTCTTTTTATAGTGCTGTTTCCCTATTTATTGAAATGAAAATTATTTCAATGAGATGTTAAGACTATCACAAAACCAAACCTCTTTTGAAAATGTAAAAAAAATATTTTTTAAAGAGTTGTATGATCTTTTTGAAAATTTTAAAACATTTTTACAATTCACACTAAGTTGCTATGAAATCAAATGAAAGCATCTTTATAGTGATGTAAGCAATGATCCGTGTACATGAGCAACTGACATTTCTTCTTCTTCTATATATTAAGGGTCCACGATCAATTTATGGATCATTTTGGCTTCTATTTTGTGCAGGCTTAATTAAAGGACAAGTCTAAAATGCTCTCTTGACTTTTAGAGTCTAGAGCAGGGGTGGGCAAACTACTGCAGGCCGCAACTGATATTATGTGGCCCTCGAAGGCATTTAGATATAAAAAAATTACTTTGTTTTAAAGTTATTTTGTTGAATTTTACAGAATTTCATGTACCGTTAAGGTTAAGATTGTTTTAACACTTTTGATCAAATTTCTTTCTTTCTAATATTCTATTTTTTTAAACAGTCCTTGACATTTATTTGTCATAGATGCTAAAATGCGAAATTACAGATTTTAATATAGAGAAAGGTTTATCGACATGTACAAAATGGACACAATATACATGCGGCCCCCCAATAGCTTTACATATGTTAATGTGGCCCTCCGCACAAAAAGTTTGCCCACTCCTGGTCTAGAGTGATAAATGGATCAGTGTGCAAAGGTCATGTTAAGTATATCAGTTTTAATCAAATTTGATGACAGATCTATCTAAACTATTTTAAATAGATATTTCAATGAAATGGTTAATTAAGCTAGAAATTTGTCTGAATGTGGTTTATCCTCAATTATTAGGTTAGCCCTTTCAAAATGTTAAAGTTACATTTTCAGTAACATACAGTCAGTTACTGTGATTGTACTATTTTTAGATCCTGTAAATTTTCTTGTAACTTGTTTCTGATAATAATTAAGCATTTGAGCCCAATAAAAAGGCAAATATGATTTTCAAATGTATAATTCTCTCTTTATCACTCTCTTACAGAACTCCCCTGTCCCAACCCCTCTTCCATGTCCGTCCATGTATTACTTTTTACTAACTGTAAATTTGTACAGCTGTTGAGTTAAGTGATGTAAGATCATATTATAAATTTGCTTCAAATTGGTAAAAATTTATTTTAAAAAGCATCATGCATTATCTCAAGACCAATATTGGTTTGAAAAGGTCACAAAGTTAGCATTATTATATAAACCTTTTTTTTTTTTTTTTTATATAAAATTCTTTTTATATCATTTTAAATATTTTATTACATTTTTTTTCCTCTAGTTCTAGTTCTGACAAAAATAGATTGTTGGTTTTTAACAAATCAGCTTCATGTTATATAACTTCTGAAAAGGTGCAAAATTTTTGTCTTTTTGCAAAAATGTTCAGGGATAACATTAAAATTCATTAAAAATCTTCTCCTTTTGAGAAGAGCAAGACCATAAGTCCAGCCTTATATATGCATATTAAAAATTATGGTTTCTGTCCTTCTTATGCCGAAGAAAAAACACTTTAGTTCTAATTTATTTTATATCATACATGTCTGTTGTATATGACCATGATACATATATATATATATTATATCATTGTGATATTGATGTAAGTTTTACATGAAAATAAAAGTCTGAGGTATTCTTTTATTAATGCATTTATCCTGTACTTGTTAACATTTAGGTTTTAGCAGTATTTAGTGTTTTAATGATTTAAAACACACAAAACTTTTTTTGCAAATCTCAGAAGACTAAATGAATACAGGAAGTGGGGAAACTTATTTATAAATAAAACCAACAGATTTGTTAAGTATTGACTCATTAACAAATTAGTTTGCATTATTTTTTTGAGTTAAACCACTGGGTACAAAACAATAAGAACTCATCAAATACGGGTCAGTTTTGTATCTTTGACTGTTTGTGGATATAGATTGTTCAAGTTAAATTTGTATATCATTAGTAAAACAGATAATGTTTTATTTTACATGTGCTCCAATTCATTTGATGAAGTTCTACATTTATTGTACTTACATTTCAATTTATTTCACAGAGTGGTATTTTCCTCCAATTTTTTTTTCATTTTGGAGTAAAGTCAAAAAATATTTATCAATAGACCATAGAAGCATTTTTTAAAAAAAAATACTTATCTTAAATATCACAGAAATAGGGGAAAAAGGAGGGGGGGGGGGGGATCCGCAAAAAAAAAACAATTATGAACTTGACTTGCAACAACAGACAGGTGTTTTGAAGATATGTTAAATTTTGTGTTCCATTCCATAGTCGAAAGTTTAATAAATTACTTTCTTTTTACTGGGAAAAAGGGGGGGGGGGGGGAGATCCGCAAAAAAACAACAATTATGCACTTGACTTGCAACAACAGACAGGTGTTTTGAAGATATGTTAAATTTTGTGTTCCATTCCATAGTCGAAAGTTTAATAAATTACTTTCTTTTGACACCTGGGTCATCTTGTAACATTTCTTCAGCACAGTAGAAAAAAAAGGCAAGGGTGCATCTTTTTCCTCTTTGCTATACACGACATACGGTAAAAACTTTGGATTTTCTTGTGGGGAGTTCTTCTCTTATTTGTCTCCACCAGGATTGTGGGGTAAATGTTGCTGCATGGCTCCTGTGTTTGTGCAGACACATACAATGCATTCTGCCTGTGGAGGTAATGAACTGAGGAGTACACAAAATGAAGCACGGGTTCAATCATCTTTTTTACAAGTTAAACAACAAGGGGAGGATCCAAAGAAAAATTATACATTTTGAACAGTTTGTTATTAAATGTTATTGATTTCATTTATTTTTCTATATTAATCTCTTGCTTTATCATTTCCTTACTAAGTAATGGGCACTTGGAACTTATACTAAGTGCAATACACATGCCACCTTCTTTTTTTTTTCTTCAACTGCCATGATGTAAATGGCCATGGCTTGAAGTTTTAAAATATTTCTTGGTTTGCTGATTGTTTCAAGATTTAGTTAACTTTAGTTAGCTGAAGGACATAGCAGTTGGAAGAATTGTAAAGTGAGATATGAAATTCCAGTTTCATAATCCAAATTGTTTTATAGGGATGGAAATCAGTCCCTCCCCATTTTCAAAATGGTGTGAAATCATGGAAGACTTGGTTCCTTTTATGTGGTTAATTAAGGCTGCAAACTCGTGGCAGAGTTGTTTGTCTTTATTTGTATTAGTATCCATTCTTTCTGGTTGCTGTGTTGCAAAGTTTGTCAGGGGGTGCAATACTGTGCAAGTATACGAGAATTATTTTAGTTTCTTTTAAGATTTTTGGGACAAAAGACCATAGAAATTATATGGGTCTAGTTCTTGGGCCAGGATATGTAAAACCCACAAGTGCTACACCTTGTGGTATAATTAATGACCAGAGTTGCGTAACTGAAATGTTGACCTAGACCAAATGTACAATGAATGTTGTAAAAGCATCTTGATAAAATGCTATGATTTTGTCTCAAACGGTAGTTGTGACGTGAGTGTTTCTTGTTTTTTTAAAAATGTAAGTGGGTTTCAGTTAAAGTTTTAAAAAGAGACACCCCGCTGCTTAATTAAAATCTCACAACACACACAATACGTTTTTAAAAATTAGGAAAAATTAATTTTAAAAAAATCAAAAAATTTTGCAACAAATATGGCTCCAGTATGGCCCTCAAGGGGAAAAGGCTGGATACAGTCATAAGATGTAATGTTTGAATCAGAGAGCAGCTGCAAAGCATGAAGTGATCAGCATTGTGAGTGTATTGCAACAGCCAAGTTTAAGTAATTATAGGATTTGATTCCACTGGCAAGAATAAAATTCTCATACAAAAAACAAAAAAAGAAAAAAAATTCAACTTAATAATAGTGGTACCGGTATAGAATGTACCATGTATCAGCACATTGTAGCTCTGCTTACCCCAGATCCAGATGTGATCCTAAATCATTTTTGTGTGTTGTATACTCATTAAGCTATTCCTCATTTTCTCTTTATTGAAAAATTAGACATATAAATACTACAAGCTAAGCATCTTCTTACTTCTCTGTGATAAATATATCTCTTTCTCTCTGATCTTCTGCTGCCTTTGGACATTCATTGATCTGATCATGAACCTGTAGTCTTCTATTTTTCTCATCTGTTGAACACAAAAACTGATAGCAGGTACTAATGCCTGTATAGTCTCAACGGACCATAGAAACACATACTGTTTGTTACTGTGAATGAATTTTGTTTTTAATGTCATAAATTTTCTCTTAACATCTTAGTAAGGCACAGTAAATACTAATGTAAAAACAAAAATGCTGTCACTAACCATTCATTCAACCAGGATTAATAACAACGTTAAAACACCGTCACGTTTTTGTTTAAAATATATATATATATTTAAGCTTCAACTACTGATGCCATTCATAAGTATATTTATCCCCAACTCCCCCCCCCCCTAAAGCAGTATTTAGGCTACTTTAAAACACCGTCACGTTTTTGTTTAAAATATATATATATATTTAAGCTTCAACTACTGATGCCATTCATAAGTATATTTATCCCCAACTCCCCCCCCCCCCTAAAGCAGTATTTAGGCTACTTCAAACTACTTGCTCTGGTGTCACTATAGGGCATTTGGTGATTGGAGCAAAAACAGTTTCCATATCCTATCAAACATCTTAGTATAATCATATGCAGGACTTAAAAATCGCTGCAGCTCTAGCGAGAGCATTGGCGTCGCAGTATATGGCAAGTGGGGAGGCGCAGTTGAACCTTTCCCACTGAAATTTAATACATTTCTAACTATTATTGATAAAACAATTACGAAATGCTATCTCGTGTCATGACATTTCTAAAGCTTATTTGAACTTATTTAACCAAGTCACCTGGACGTGATTGAAAGACTGACACTGCCCCCCCCCCCTTTTTTTTTACGGCCTTGACGGATAGATTGACCCACCTCCACTACAAAAATAGATTCCCGCGGGCGCACATGAGCGGGAATTAGAACTAGGCAAGTCACTGCTGGCTTATCTGGACCGTGTCATGACCCATGATACCTTAATTAAAATAATTTAAAAAAAACAACAACAAAAACAGAGCCTTTCTAAGGCCGAGACAACCGAGTAAATCACTCGGAGCCAATGTTCCCTCTAAGGTTTGTTGGTTCGTGTGCAAAATCACACAGTTGTGTGCAAAGTTTTACAGCATCAATTCTTGAATCAGAAACTTTAAACAATTTTTAAACCTTTATTCTGTTGTTTTGTTCGCTGACGAAGGCTTTCTGCCGACAAGTTCGTTGTTTTGTTGCGTTTATTTTTTCAGGTTTAACTCTACTCTGTTTTACTCAGCTTAAAGGGAACATTGCTCGGAGCCCTGTCCAATAGGGTGTCCCCAATGGGTGATTTTTTTATTTTGTTTTACAATTACGTTTGATAAAATTATTTTGAAATTTGTCGTGATAAAAATTTGGATTTGCTCGGGACCCAAAAATCCTCGTGGCCCTGATGAAAACACGCACTGTGTGGTCATTAACTAGAAAATGTTACTTAAAAATCGTTGTCCCAGTGGTAGGCCTACCGTAATCATATAAAGATTTGTGATAATAGCGCCATTGGTCGCTGGTCCCTAAATCTGTATTACCTTTAAAACAATTTCATTAACAGAACTCTCGATTCAAAAATTGTGAAGCCACTTATTGATAATATTTTAAGTACAGTTCGAAAAAAAACAAACAAACAAACAAACACCCTCCATTTTCTCCTCTCACACCACACAAACAACTGGTCATGAAAACGACGTTCACCATGATTGTGTATTTCCTCCTGTTGTCTTTCAATAACACTTGAAGATACAGTGGGCTCACTGAGATCTTTGCGTCCATCAGATTCATCAAATACTCAAAATGTCCTTCTGATGACTGCAGTACTCGGTGAGAATACAGTTAAATATAATGTATTATATGACAGAGCAGTGGCAACGAGAAAGAAAAATCGCTGTTTTACTTTGAATAATTAAAATCTTTTTCTCTTTCATATTTATAACTTTAAAAAAAAATATAAGACTATCTCTCTGTTCGCATTTCCATCTTGTGTGTGGGTGTGTGGATAGCGCGTTATGTCGCTTGTTTACATACGCGACATGCTAAGATTTCTCATGCAGTGTTCACCTGGTGAACTACTGGAAAACAAGGTCGATGGAGGCGGTTGTCGCTCAAATGATCGTGGTTGATCGCATCTGC